GGCTGGAGAGTATAACATTTTCCCCTGCCCGAGGACTGAAAAAGATCACGGGCAGATGCGGTCCCGTACAACGAAGTCAGTTGAATCAGCCCCCAGACGACGGCCCGATTGCCATCAGCGGAAGAGCTCCCAGATTCAATCCGCTGATTGATAAACTCCGGAATGACTATCTGTGCCACGATGGGACGATCATTGTTGGGCATCCAAGGCGGGTTCATGTCAGCCAGTAGTATGCGCAAGTGGGGCCTGTTCTGTACTGTGCAGAACATGTAATGCTGACCGTCACATGTGTCAATTGCATTGAGAACCGATATTTATACGGCTTCACACGAACCGAAGGTGTCTTAAAGCCATCAGCCAATTCGAGTTCGGCTAGCTCGTTGAACGCCTATTGGCGCGAGATTGGAGTCAATCACACTGGCACCGCGAGTCCCAGCATGACAATCACGTACCGCAATGTAGTCGCATGCTCTCGAGCTTCGACGTGCCGCCTCTTCTGTGGTACAGTATACTATCCGCCTCTGTCGCCCGCCGGCAGCTACCTGTGCCTCCAGCCGTTGGCCTTCGTACTCATGGACTCGGATGACCGCCCATCTTGCGACTAAGAGCGTCTCCCCTTCATCTACAATCTGGTCTCCAACTACTTCGCCAAGAACCCAGTTCTCCACGTCTTCTTCTCTGCCTTTGATCAAACAGTACGGCACGCCGCCCAGGAGGATCCCGTGTCTGTCGAGGATCGAGAGCTTAACAGACTTCCCCCAGTATCCACAATATATTTGGAATTCTTCCGCGCCAGCTTGAGTGTTACCGCCAAGCAGAATATAACACTGTTGGGTGACATAGCCAAGGTGAGAGTATACACCTTGCGCATTGGTATAGAGCTGACTCGCATCTACGAGCCTAAGGCTGCCGTCCTCAGAGGTTCCCGCCAAAGAGCGGGGTTCGCCGGTATGAAGGGCCTCTGAAGAATACAAGAATCTTCGCCATGAGCCCCATAGGCCAAAGGGGGTGCACGGAGGATACTGGAGCGAAATCGCCGTGCGCCGCTGGGCGTCCATGTGCTTGAGTAACAGAGTCCACGCGACCTCCGGATCCACGTTCTCGTCGTAGATAGGCAGTGTGCGGCAACGGAAGATGTACGCCAGCCCGGATATCCTGTCGAGCTCGTTGGTGCATGAGCGTTCGCGAAGAGCTTGAGCAAGGCTGAAATCATCGCTATGACTATTGACCGCCGTCACGATACCGCGAAGACGGTCGAAGAACGCATGAGGATCTGCGAGAGGTCTGCCAGTTAAGCCTCCTGGAAGCCAGCTGGGCGGAGACTCCTGCAATGTCCAGACGCGATTGAACCACTGTCGCGTTGAGCGCAGGACAGCTGGTGAGGTATCGAGAGGCAGACCCAGGCCATTGAAATAGGTGATACAGGGTGTCGAGGGACGAGAGTACGCATAACCGATAGTGGGGACGTCGAGCTTCCATTCCTCTTGCCGTTGGATCTCGGCCTCGTCTCGTCCTTTCTGCCTTAAGCACAAGACATCCAGCCACGCATACTCGGCACCCATGTTCAGTAGCTCTATGCGAACGTGATCGAGGCTGGTATCGCGTGGAGTAGGGACAGGCCATTGCTCTCCGTTGATCTTCGTCCATACATCGACGCGGTCCTTATCGTCAACCCAGCTATGCGACACACACCAGACGTTGGATGGTATATCTTCAGAATTCGAGTCCACCTCTCGGGGAAGGGCGTGAAGGGGGAGGACACGGTTAGAGTGTAGATCCCATACATGGCGCGGAGGAATCTTGGAATTTTGAATGCAGGAGCCACGGACGGCGTCACGACGGATTGTCTCGAGCTCATGTTTGCGAGCGTCTACCTGCTGCACGACATCGCGGAAATCACTGCGCCACCAAGGACGCAAGAAGCCGTATAGTTCACCAATATCCTTCGACTGTTGTGCAAAATATTGCAAGCAACTCTCAAGACCGGGGGTGTTCAAAGAGTAGTCGGTTTGGAAGATGTGGTTGAGGGTGCCGAGCAGGTCCCGCCGATCAATGCCGACACAGGGCGCGGCTGCCAACGTATTTGTTATAGTACCATGGCCCACGTGCAGTCGCTGAAGCGGGACTTCAGAGCGTCGAGACGGCTCCAAGGTAAACGTTGTGCTATTGTCCGCATCCCGAGATCTGAACAAGAGCTTTTCGGAGACACGTCCCGACCTTGCAAGTTGCACCGTTCCCCAGAGGTTCAGCCGGTTCTCCTCCGAGGTTGTGTACGAGTCTCCTCTCCCCCTGACACGTTGTTCGAGCGCAGTAGGAATCACGGCCATGCCATTGGCAACAGATTGCCAGGGAGGACCCTCGCAAGAGACCGCGACAGGCGTCCCTTCCAGTTCGAAATGCCATCCCGTGTTCCCCGCCTGCGAGAGAATATCAGCACGCTGGGCCTGACGTGGCATTCGCACGAAGCGTGCTTCCATCCTAAGAACGCACCGGCGCTAGATTGCTCGAGTTGAGCATATCCGAGTCGTCTCCACTGCCGCTCGTTCTAGTTTTTCCCGTGTTCGTCTTGAGTAGGGTAAAAAAAAGTCTTCGTTAGTTTATATGATACGAAGATGAGTGTAACCGTTGCAAACGCACCGGAGAATCTGCAGCTTCGCCAAGATCCGCCATGCTTGGATTACCAGCCCGGTAAGATAACAAAAACCTAGCAGAAAAAGCGCGTGAATATTGAGGTTGTGCGAGTCACAGGGCAAGCCTGCCAGAGAAACGTGCGATAGGCTTAGGGAAGTTGAAGTAGCAATAGCCGTCACAGTTGTTGCAGTGGCTATAGCGGGAGAACAAGCTACGAAGGCTGGCCCAGATGTAATGAGAAAGATTGCGTGGATCGCCGTCGGCTTGCCCCCACGTACCGGCAGCGGATGGGTATCGTCTATGGTCTGCCTTTCTGCGTAGCAGTCAGTTTCATAGAACTACGGCATGAGTGAACGTGGGTCGCCGCAGCTCAATGACAGTCTGGGCGAGCAAAGCCAGAGTAGTGCGGCGCCGCAGAGACGCATGATGGTTGGCCCAGCACGCCAGAACTAGTATCTAGATGAAAACGACGTACTTTGAGCAGTATCGCTGATATCTTGAATTTAGCTTCCTCTGTATGTGTTCGCGTTCGCAGCGTTGTCGTGGACAAGAAACGAGGCGCAGAGACCGTGTGACGAGGAGGGCCCTCGGCATGCAGACTGCAATGCCGAGCAGATCCGTGAACGGGGATGGCCATGAGCTGTCGGCCGCTCCGCCAATGCGAGTGCATGCACAAACTCTATCTAGTCCCACGGTTGTCAACGCGCTACATAGCATGCTGTTGCGACCCCCTCATCGCACTCGCGGTGAAAGACGCGTTGTTGAAACAGGCATCGATTAGACACGCACGGCTATGGACAGCAGGTCTGGGATGCACGAAGATCATGAGTACCGGTCTAAGACCGGGAAGATGCCTGCATGCGCGCATACGTCGAGTTTTCGCGAGATTTAAGACAATGCATGGCACAACGCAAAATCGAAAGAACACCCGCACCCAGAACACTGAAACTAGCCTCGCTGTCAGCGATATCCTGTGCAGCTCTATGCGGGACTCACCTCACCATCCAGACAGTGACTATCCCTACTGTTCCGTTCTTTCTCTCGAAGGGTACCAGCGCTTCAAACACCAGCATTTTCATGACTCGCACACGGGATTTGCGTGATTAATGTTGAAGGTCACACGCGCGGGCTTGGACAGCGATGAAACTGTGAGGACTGGCCCAACCATCTTCTGTCGTCGGTGCGAGTAAGACGCATATTGCAAGGGAAGAATACATCTGCCGGAATGGTTATCGGTTGCACATCCATAGCTTCTTGAGATTACGTACCTTAAATGTGGTCTTTGCTGAACGCGCAGAATAGATATTCTGCCAGGAACAGTCTTTCTTTCTTTCTTTTTCACTTTTTCTCAATACTTTACTTCGCTGTGAGTTATTTTCCCCCAATTCTTCGGCCGGTGCATTGCTTCTGGATCTCAACGATGTAGATTCGGGATGGAAGATAGTGCGAGATATCGCTATTGTGAACATTTCGTGACACTCCTACGTCATGTTCGACGATGGCAGCACATCTCCACGGCCGCGGGCAATGGGCCATGCCTCGAGCGAACAGTAAAGGCTGAGGGAAACGACCATTCGGGTCTGGTGTGAAGAGGCGGAAACGAGGCGGTAGAATTAAACTTGTCATATGCAGCGACGATGTTCAGAAACGCAAAGTCTGCGTCACCGAAGCTTGAAATATGTGCCTGAAGAATCCCACCTCACTTGAAGCGCATGGAGTGCATTTGACGGTAGAACTCACCTGCGTACTGGGTGTGCCACGAGTGGACAGGCTGAAACGCCAAACAGTACTTCGGCAAGACTTGTCGTATGTACCTCTGTGAAGGGTCCTATCGAGCAGAAGGACGGAACTAATAAATACTTGTGTGTCAAAGTCACACTAGCCGCTTTGCCGAGAGATGACTAGCTCGATAGAGCTGCTGGACTTGTCCGTGAGCGAGGTGTGCAGGACACAGCAATCAAGGAGACACACGTTAAGATTCCTCATCGCTTCGACCACTCTGTTCACCCTTCAAAGCAACCGCGTAGCATATGCATTACTGAATCGTCGAATATGCACGTTCTGTTGATGGGTTGAGCTGAGTCCGTCTTCCACACAAATAGACGTACCACAAGGTCAGTACTCAGTTAGACTTGCCATGACCGCAGTGCGCACAGACGACAGAAAGTAAGCAGATGCAGCAGGACAGCGATCACCCATAATATGATCTGAGCAGCGGAGGATGGAGGTCGTGAAGGACGTTGGACACCCGCCCGTTGTGTCGCAAATTTCACCCTCGCGAGGGGGACGTCCCAAAATTGCACCAAAATTGCACCAAAACTGCCTCGTGATTGCATCATAATTTTGGGAAACATTTGCGACATCGCCTGCCACAAACCCTCACTGCAGACGCCAGCCTGCCTGCCACTATCTCTACCGTCCACTTCGTTATCTTATGGACGCATCGCTGCACAAGGACCTCTTTACCTCCCGCGGCCTGGCATATTGTTGCCACTTCCCCCTTGCTCAGTCCTCCAAGCCGACCCTGCTATTATGCTATAGCTTCCCATCACGTCTTGCGACTGGCGCCACAATGTGCCTCGTCTGAGGACAAAGGCTATGGCATGCTCGCCCTCGACATACTCGGCTATGGCGAGACCAACAAGCACCGACCCAGCGGCGTATGTCCAGAGCCTGATATCCAAGGACTTTGCGGACGTCTTGGATGCCGAGAAGCTTGACGAGGTTGATTGTCCCATCCCTCTTTACCGAAAGCTATCTCAGGTGCTGAACCGCCAATAACAGGGACTGCAGGGGAATCCTCGCGAACTATTACCCCGAGCGTATCCTCGCCTACGTCGTCCTCGCCGTCTCCTTCGTATAGGTGCTCGATGGACATCCAAGTGCTCTTGGGCTTCCTGAAGCAGCAACTCAGGTACGAGACGTTTGGCTACTGGAAATTTCTCAGCGAACTAAACGTGAACGAGGTTATACAAGCGTACGTAGGTGGCGGACGCCCGCCCGCCCCGTCCTGCAGTCGCTAACGCGTTCCGCAGATCGACTCGTTCGTCAACATCGTGTTTCCGCATGACTCTGTGATCTGGAAGGAGCGCCTGGCCTCGACGGGCGCGCTCAGGTAGGGCCTGCTCGAAAACTTCACCTCGCTCCGCCCAGCTTACCTGTCCGAGGTTGAAGCAAAGCATTTTGTGGAGGCACTCACTGGCGCGGCGGCTTTCCAGCGCTGACGTGCTGGTTCAATATAAGACGAACCAGCCGTTCACCAAGGACGATGAGCGTGCGTCTCTGAATCTCCATTAACCTGCTCCCCTTTGCGTGGCTGATATAAGGACATTGCTGCAGAGATTCCGCCCGAATGCATGTTCCCGCCTGCTGGGGCACTATCTACTTTGCTGCGACGAAGAACAGCTGTAGTACGGACCCGAATTTTATCTGAGAGTGGATGGCACGCACAGGCTGGCAGGAAAGCCAAGGTGCGTAATCTACCTTGATTGCTGGGCGTTACTTACTGAACTCAACTGTGCTGTCCTTAGCGCATGCTCTCTAATCACCACCCCTGCCAGCCAATATCAACGAATCGACTGGGCAGTCGCATTTGCAACTGGTCGGGAAACACCCTTCTGCGACTAGCCCGTAGCCATAGGGAATTATCCTTGTGTCGGCTCGCCGCCGCGTCGCTAGACTACTCGAAGTAGACACTGAACGCTGTATGTTCTCCCCTTACTTGTTCATATATCTAGCGCCTCTCATTTCTATCCACAGGATGTGACCTACGGCAAGAGCCTCAATAGCCTTGTTGACCTCTATATACGTGGTGTCATGGGTTTGTTACGTGCCTGACAACTTTGGCGCTATCTCGGGTCTCCATTCCAAGGATATCCTCTCCCTGCAAGTCTCCCCCTACCCTTTGACTACTCATAGTGCTAATTATGACCTCAAGCAGCAGTGCTACAGATCTAAACTTCCCCAGCGATCAGCGGTCATATCAACCACATCAACGTTGTGGCACTTGGCACTTGGCTTTAAGACCTGGCCATCGACCTTGGTCCCTGTGAGCCGTCCACATATCCGCGTCTCTCGCGACCTACGCTCTCGCCTTGAATGGCTGCTGCGAGACGGAGGCCTGTACGCGCCGACATCGACGGGTTACCGAAGCGAGGGCGGCGCAGACAGCTTCGAGTAAATAGCAGGCACGCGGTCGGTCACATGCGTCGGGATGAGAGAAGAGATGTTCAAAATCCAGGAGGCGGCGACGAAGAAGACGATGCTAATCCCCAGCGGCGCGAGACGAGAGCCTAGAAGCAACGGCGAAGGCAGAACCAATCGCATGTCTGGTCGCCTCTGCTGCATCTTGGCGAAGAGACAGACTGTGATGCGTGCGGTGGGTTGATGAGGGGCAAGCGGGAGTGAGTTACCAGGAACGACATTGCGCGGTACTATACACGGCAGCGTCGGGGTTCCGCTCGCCTCTGGCCGGCAGAACGGACGTTGAGAACGACCTGGATCAGCCAGCACATCGCAAAGGAGGCCGATGACAGCCACTATGGATGTCCGGCTGGGGAGAGGGGAGGGGGGGGGGGGGCAGGAGACGAAAGAGGTGGACGACTAACTGCCGCAGAGCAACTACCCTCGCGTAATTCGCTGTAGTATCGTAAGTGGCTCCCTCAACTTACTCTTGGCACGGACCGTTAACATAGGCGAGTAGTCGTGTAATCACGCCCAAAGTGATTACCGGGCTCAACAATATTGGGCACTGCGACGTCTTGCTGATGGCATACTTGGCATAGGTGGCGACTACGATCATGCTCATGAGAAAGCAGGAGATGTTCTGTGGCGAGCTCGAAATGGACTCGCTTTTGCGGCTCAAGCTTGCGGATGGTGATATCGTAAGGTAGATTAGGACCTACGTTAAGTTTGAAAATAAACACAGCCTGGCCTGTGGTTCCGTATGTTAAGCGTCGCAGCTCTACGACCGATTTAGATAAGAAAACATGCGGCTGCAACGGACAGGATAGTCAATTGCGAGAAAGAGACGCCACAACTGGGCGGACTTACCCTCACATGCAAGGTTACCTTAGTCAACCTCAGAAACCATGGCGCTGTCTGCTGTGCCGTACTCTAATGATTCGCCAATGTTTCCAAGTGCTTCGCTTGCAGGCATTGCAAAAGTAAGCGCACTTGTGTCTAGCGTCATCAATGTTGCGCTTGGGTCTGTCGGCTGGCTGAGCTGACGGAGGTTGATCAGGAAGCGGTTCACGAGGACGTTTGGCTAGGGGAAAGGTGATCAGCGCGGCTGTCTGGGTAGAAGCGGGAAGAAACCGACCATCGATGTTAACGGAACGTTTGCAATATTCGCGTTCTGCACAAAGATGGCCTCAGCGAGCTTCGACTACAGCAATTTAGATTGGTCAAGACTAACGATGCTTGCGTCCCAGAAGGTCGCCATCTGAGCGATGTTCATCGCGAGTAAAGCACTGGGACGTGGTGAGGGGTGCCGTCGCTGCAGAAGTTAGACTACTTACATGAAGTAAATTGTACCTGTTGCGAAGCATTCCTTTCGTTAAATTCGTATTTAATTGACTAGTTGCCACTTACCATCGCGCAAAAGCAGAGTAGAAGCAGGAAGATGTATATGCAGCTGCCGCGCCTCCCGCCACTGGCTGAACGTCCTGAGCCAGGTCGCGATCAGCACGATGATGTCGCACGCTAAAGCGCTGCTGCGAGTAAGCTGGAGCACTGCGCTGCGCTGTTAGCGCAGCTTAAATGTGCAGTCAAGGCCAGCTGAATGCACATACTTCTGTAGAGACAGCTGTTAGCGTAAGAGCAGCTAAAATGGGCCCATTCGTTACGCACATCATGTTCAACTCGTCGGAGGTGTTGATATACGCCGCACATCCATCCAACAAAGGACCCTGGTAGGTCAGAACAATGTTTGCCCATCCGAACTGCAAACTTTCAATACTGACTGTAAAATATATTCAGGACGACGTACAATGTTCGTTGCGACAGGCACAAATCCTAGTGTCAGAACAACTGCTAATAGGAAGTGTTTGTACTTCCAGTCGTACCAGAGGGCGTACACGCGGAAAGCCGCGAACACTTGTGTGTGGAATCAGTGATCTAGCTTAGAAGCGATGACTAGAACCTACAAGCAATCTGCGCCAGTGAGAAGAGATAGAAGAGCGTAGACGGCGCATATGTTGTTATGCAGCTAAAAAGATACCTACGTCATGTGCTCACTCTCTTGGACGGGATGAAATGTGCATCTGCAGGAGAATTAGGACTGCGATTCTTCTCTGAGATGGAAAGAGGCGAACACTTGGTCTTAGGTGTTGAGGGCATCCATACTATAGCCTGGTTGATGATCATGACCCAGCGAGTGGTGAGCAGCAAGACTGACGTCGCGCTGAACTTGCGCTGCCACACGCAGGTCAGCTCCTGGTCAAATGTCACGAGATATTCGAACACGACGATCGCTAAGTAAATGCTCGCTAGTACGCCAAAACATATTTTTCAGCGTACATACCTGTCATTGCAACGTCGGCATAGCTCTGCGCTTGTCTTTTGGCACGGTCGTCAGCGACGCTTCACGAAAGCGGAACTTCGGACTTACATCTGTTTCACTGCTTCAATCAAGTCTGAATCCATCGCGTCAGTGTCGGGTAAGATGAGGGCGAGCTACGGTGTGGGGCGAGGAATCCAGATAGTGCGATATATACCACGCACAGCACCCCTGAGCGCGTACCTGTATTAGAGCCGGAAGCTTCTCTGCGGTCTATGTGCTGATTCACGCTCGTCAAATGTGCCAACTTTTGATTGCATTCGATTTTCACGTACGCGACTCACAGATCCTAAGCTGAGGATGAGCGATCACAAATCGGTGGGCGATGTTCGGCCGGCGCCAGCATGAGACACTTGACAGCACGGCTTATCAGCATCGTGCACTGCATAGGCATCGAACAGGACCCTTGATATATAACTTGTGGGAGGACGATGCTCATCATCCGAAGCCGCGACAAGAGTCCTACCGCACTTGAGTAGCAAGCTGTCAGACCAGACCAGCGAATAACAGGTAGCGTTTCTGTTTGACTTAGGTGTCAGTATGCAGTGGAGGGGGAAGGCGTCATCGAGAGACCGGCGCGTACTCTCTTGCTCTCGCAGGATTCATGCGCGGTCGGCAATGAACCTCAGGGCTAGGGTCTCTCTCGGTGTCGCCGGGCCGTGGACAGCCAGAGCATCACGGCGAAGATTGAGGGACTTCCAAAACGCCGCATTACAGGCTGAATCTATGCGAGCATCTTGTACGTTAGGGCGGCACAGCTACAATGGAGCCGTCGGAAGTGCGCTGAGAAAGCAAGACTCAGCCGCAGGACGGCCCGCCGACGACCTCGGAAGTGCGACATAGAGGTGTGAGTAGGGCTGGGCACTTGTGTTTGTCTAGGCGTCGTTATGCCGACAAATATGCAAGGTTCTTGAAGCGATGGTTGTTTCAGGCCAACAATCTGCGGCCGTGAGGTGTGGCATTAGAATTATTACTCGCGCGCCGTTCGTCTCGTGACCCATGGGCACTAGCACAACGGACAGCTCAGAACGGACAGTCTACCATTGCCAAAATTTAGCGATCACAATGGACGTTGTGGGAGTGAACAGGGTCATACCAGGACTTCCGTTGCGACGCTGCACTTTGGTCCTGTAAGCGGTCTTCTTGGCACCAGAACTTTGAAGTCTGCTATGTGCAGAGATAATCATAGATGTTAGCGAAAGATGCTCTGCTTGTGAGAATGTTACGATAACGGCACGCATCTCAATCAGTGGACGAAGCTCACCCGTAGCGGGCAACGGGACCTCCGGGAGCACTCGGAATATTCCTATCTTTTTTTTTCCGCTTGTTTATAAAGGCCCGTAGAACTACTGCTACATGAGGGCCTGTGCTACAGCCACAACAGGGTCCGTGCCGGTTCACCTGGTTGACCTAAGGTCTGGGGGCGCAGAGGAATTCGCAGGACCGCGCCAGACGGCCCTGGCCTCGCACGAGCACCGAGCCGGTCGATGGACTCTACCCTACCAAACATTAGACCTACCTCTAATGGTTCCCCTCACCCACGCCCTACATAACCGAAACACAAATTATCATCATGGTGACCCCCATTAAGTATGGTCACCGGTTGTCGGATGGTTATACTCCAGCCGCCCTGTGACGATTTGCCCAACTTATCTGTGCGCTTCGTCAACCTGATTGCCCCATTCATCCTCGTCTGCGGGCGGATCTTCAGCGTCGGAAAACGCTTTGAAAGCTTGTCCTACAGGTTTATACGTGCCCCTGTATCCAAACTCCCGCCCCAATGCCTCTTCCTCAACCACTGGGAGGCTCTCATTGTGGTTGAAAAGTATTCGGTATTGAGATACCGCGTACTTTGCATACCACTGTGTGAATTTACGTTCGGCTTGGTCCGGGTTGGGATACGATTGTTGCCACTTTCCCGGATCCATTGGTATGTCCCCTGGTTTTAGGAGGCGGTTGTGATGTCGAACCGCGCTGGAGTATGTAGCTCTACAGCGCTGTTCCAAGTCTTTAGTGTAATCATTGCGTTTCTCCTTGCGTCTCTTCGAGTGCATGAGAGCTTTCCATATGTGGACCGAAGTGGTGTAGTCGCGACCTTTGTTGACATCATCAAATGCTTTATCAACAAGGTCAGACCATTCGAAGGTACCCGCCATGGGGTTGGCTCGCACGAAGTGGTAAATATCTTCCCACTTGGTGCCTAATATTTTCTTTCTATAGTTAAGGTCCTGGCTGTATTCAGTCAGTTCGTCGACTTTAGTCAAGTCATTTTGCATCTCCCAGTACGCGCAATGCATTTCGCGTACTTCGGTATCAGTTTTGAGATGGTGTCCTATCTTGGTCCTGTCGTATAACGGGTGACCCGCTATGTGCATTTCTTTGAAGTCATATAGGCGACTCCATCCCGGGCACATGTAGACCATGTGGTCTCTTGTTTCCGTCAATGTCTGACCTAGTTCATGGTGGCAGTACCAACATGTGGTGGGTCCTTCTAGGTTAAAGCGTTGTCTGAACGCTCCAATCGGTGCGTGTCCAGACATTAATCTGGTGAGTCTGCCCATCTCTCGGTTCTTTCCCCCGCTGTGGGCTATGAACCAGTTTGAGGACGTGTGTTTAATTTGCCGTAGATGATCATGATGATCTCCAGCTATCAGTTGGTGTCCCCTATATTTGGGGGACTCTCTGATTTTCTGCTGCCATACGCGAACTTCATTCTCGGTGATCTTTTGCTTGATGTAGGCATAAGATTTAATTGTTGGTTGTGTGAGTTCAGCCCCCTCTTTAGCTAGGGTATCAACTCGTTCATTTAAGGGCACGTTAACATGGCTTGGGCACCATGACATGTGTATGGTTCGTTCCGGGTCTGCTTCCAGCCAGCGTCGTATGCGTTCGCTAGCTAGCAAGGAGCATTTTTGTGAGGGGCCAATTCGCGGGTTAAAGATGCGCTGCAGTGCTCCTTTATTGTCCGCAAATAGGTATAACAGTTTGTGTTTTCCCGGTGTGTTACACGCCGTGTTAATGCCCATCCACAGGGCCTGCATTTCTGCATCGAATGGTGTGACTTGGCCACATCCAATTTTCTTTTCTATGGTTTTTCGTTCTCCCCTTTCTAGGGTGTACGTAACTGAGCATGCAGCACCAGTGATGACCTTTTCAGGTTCATTTTCCTCGTGTGTTTTACATTGTGAGCCGTCAGTGAACACTGCCCGGCTTTCGTAGTTGGAAGATGCTAATTTTATGATTGGATTAAGGAACGTCCTTATCCAATCATGGAGTTCTTCCTTCTGGGCCTTCGGTAGGCCCTCAAGGCTCATGGTGATGCGGTCTGCATATAAGTCTAGTATGCGGTTTCCCGGTTGTGCTTCGGTGCTAATGGAGTTAAATTCCTCCGTGAAGCCCTCCGTGACTTTGTATGCCGTTACTATGGGGGTTTCGGCATCTCTGGTTTTAGTCCCGTGGTATGGAAGCGGTGCCTTAATATTAAGTGTCCCACTTTCCATCAGATTCGGCATGTGGGCCCTTATAGGATGATTTTCATGTAACATGTGTGTGCGCAGTGCTGCACGTTTCATGAGTTTGTTAATATTTTGTCAGACAGGGATTAGTCCTGCAGACATTTCAAGAAAGCCCACGGGGGTTGTTTTGAACGCCCCCGTGATCCAGCGGGCTGCTCGGCTCTGGGCCTTGGATATTTCTTTCTCGATCCAGTGTATACCCTTCCAGGAGGGGTTCCACCATAGTTGTGCCCCATAGGACAGCAGGGGTACTACATTGGATATATAAATCCGCCGTTTATCTCTAGGTTTAAGCCCTCTAGACGAGTTGCCTAACATGTGGATTGCAGCGACAGTGCTGCAAGCCTTGTTTGTGTAGACTTTAATATGGTCCCTGAACGTAAGCTTAGGGTCAAGCCAGAAACCTAGATACCTCATTACCGGTTTAGGGGTAATGATAAAGGACAAATTTTCATCGTAAATTCGTAATTTGGGACCAAGCGGTTGCTCGTCACTCCACCTCCATCCTTTGGCTTTCCGCCGGCGTATGAAGTGCATTAATTCGAGTTTATCAGTTTCTGCTGATAACCCCAATCTATGTAGGGTATGTATAAGTTTGGAATATATGTCCTGGATTAGGACGTTATTGTATAGCAGCTGCTCGTGGTCTGGGTCTTCCAACCCTTTGCCCAGCTTGCCTCCGACGTGAATGAGGCCATCGTCGACGAAGAACTGCACGGTGGCATGTCCGTTGGCCTGTATGTTTTTGTCAGTCCACTGTGTGCGGACCGTAACTCGGTGGTCCCCTAGAGTAAGGGTAATCGCCTTTTTTAAAGGGGCGATTTTGTGCATGGCCGGGGCTAGGTATAGACCCGTAAGAATAGGAGAAAGGCTCGAGCCTTGTTCAACTCCTAATGAGAAATCCATAGGGTCAAGGGTTTCTCCATTAAACATGAATTGTGTCTGTCTGTCTGACAGGTAACTGACGAAATATTTGCACAAATTTCCTGCAAATCCTTGTTTAGACAGGATTCTTGTCAGGAGATTGTGATTAACTGATGGGAAGAATTGGGCAACGTCAAGAAGGACTGCCGAAGAGTCAATTCCTTTTTTCCACAATTGTTTCACGTTGTGGACAAGTTGTATTCCTGCATCCGTGGTACTATGTTGCATTGTACCACCGAATTGACACGGATGCATCGCACCATACTTTTGTGCTTCAAATTGCATTCGTCGGGATTTTATTTTTTCCATCAATTTGCCTAAGCAATTGAGGAGGACGATGGGCCAGTAGGCCTTTGCCTTGGTGTAATCAGGTCTCTTTGGCTTCGCTATGATAACCGTTTTCGAGACCTTGAATACCCGTGGTTGTATACCTAGCTTAACGCATGCATCGTAAAATACGAGTATGGGAAGCTCGCAATCCTTCTTGTCGGACTCATCATCATTGCGATACTCGGGAGATGATTCGTCTTTAAGTATTCGTTTAAGCCAGAACCACGAGACGTGGTCCGGGCCCGGTGCAGAAAAGTTGCTAGTGCCCTTGAGGGCTTCTTGCATTTCAGTGCGACTCATGGGTGGGAAAGCTCTTTCCTCGAGCTGCTCCATCTCATCCGCAATGGTCATGTCGACAGGTCGACCATTGGTCGGAGTAAATTGTTGTTGGAATATTTCTCCGACCCCTTTCGAGTCGGTGACAATATCCCCTTGGCTATTTGTGAGGGCGACGTTAGTCACTTGTTTTTGTGGCTTCATCCATTCAACATTGTTCCATATTCTTGAAGGGTGTGTGTGTTTCAACACCCCTTCGAAGAAATCACGTTTAGCTCGTTTGGCCGCCGCTCGGAGGCGGTTGGACGCATTCTTTATTTTCTGGGCTTCCTCTATAAGGTGGATAGAAGCCAAATCGTTCTTGTTCTCGATACTAGTTAGTATCTCATCATCATTCTCAGATATTCCAAGACGATGAATCATGATGTATCTCGCCCGGATTAGCTTGTTTCACCTCCGGATGTCCTTTTTAATAGACTTGACCGAAGCACATATATTACGTAACTCCTTGGCCCTTTTGTTACACTCAGCGTTCCACCACGACTTTGCATGGTGTGAAGGCTTGACTTTCTCGACGTTAGCCGACCAGGCCATGTCGAATGCATATTGGATCCAATTTCCCCAACGCTCGATGTCCTCTTCAGAGGCATAGTCATCGATGTTGACGGGCATCGCTGCAAGTCGTCCTCGACAAGCTTTAATGAATTTCTGGCCATTTTCTGAACCTCTCTTAACCATGTATGTAATTTTATCGACTGTTTCCAGGTCGATTTGAACAAATACTGGGCAATGATCACTATTAACTTGTTGATCATGTCGGTGTTCAATGTTTAGGACATTGATATCTTCGTTGGTCCAGACTAAGTCTAGGGTTCCATCGCTTTGGTCCTCTCTGTTGGACGACCAAGTATGAGCGTGTTCAGGTGATGTGCTCAAGGACAGGTTCATGTCCAGCGTGCACATTGTAATGAGGTCTTCCGCTTGGCGGTTGGCCCTAGTTCTGATGGGAACGGTGGCGTCCCACATGTGGTGACATAAGTTAAAGTTGCCTGCCATGAGATGTATTTCTGGCATGTTGCTGGCTTTATTTTCTAGGTAGTGCTGAGCACTGTGTGTTTTGGAATCATTGTACACGTTAAGGATACGTATGATTTGTTTGTTGGGCATGGTTAGCTCCAGGCATTGGGCATCGTCATGATTTACAATGCCCGTGTTAAGTCTCGGTGCGAGGTGCGCCCACCTTCTATTGACGATGGTGCACACGCGTCCTTTCTCAGATGCTCCGAGGAACATATACTGTCTGTGTGTGATTCCTTGGTGGTATTTGTCCCCGTCTTTCGACGTGGTAGACATTATTTGTTTAATATAACCCCAAAAGGGTTCTTGTACTAGCACGACGTCTGCCGTTCGGTAATTTTGTTCTAAAAAGATTTGAAGGTTGTCCTTCGATTTTTGAACGTTAAAGGAAACCACGGTGAATGGTCTGTTATTATCATCCCGGGATGTAGGGGGTTGAGTGTTATTGGGCTGTTTAACCCTGGCTTCCGCCTCCGCCCTTTCCAGGTTTATGTCAAGGGGGGGCGGCAAATCATTCATATCTTCATCTTCATCCGAGGGTAAGTCCTCGTTGTCATCCGTGTTCCAGTTTTCCTGGTACATGTTTACAAGGTAATCCACTTCGTGATTTATTCCTTGGTCTGTCTTATCATTTTCGTCGCATGAAAGATCGAATTGGAATTCTATCTCCGGCGACATAAATTTGTTCTTTTGGTCACAAGGGCGGTCTTTCGGTACCGCATCCACGTCCATGTCATTTGTTGTACTACTCATAGGCAATGGTACGAGGTAGTGGGTTATTATTACATGAGTGCATCATGTGGGGGGACGGTTGGACTCTGGACTCAAGTGGCTGTTTGAGTTCATTGCGTCCTGTCATCCTCTCAAGTATCGTGGTATACATTAAACTGTTTAGCCTAGGGCTAGGTGACAATTTTAATGTATCTAGGTGGTCTACACCTGTGATCACGTGATGAGAGCCTGGACCTAGCCCTGACAAATCAGGTGGTGACCACGTCTCAAGCTTGCCGCGTGTGAGGCGGCGTTTGTGTATCTGGTTTCCCAGGATAAAGTGAGACGCCTTCCCGAGCGTTAACTCGTTGGGGGTCTCAAGCAGCAAGGCTGCCTGTGGGATTTCTCCCTGCGTCCCCTTTCCCCCGAAGGGTCCAGGTTCAGCCAAATGACTCTGCGGCCACGTTCCACTGGGCAGAGACGACAGCATCGACCTCTTGCATGGGTCTAGCTGTTGTGGATGTGTTGGCGATGGGGGTGACTCGACGCCGTGGCTAGACGCTTCACGGTCGACCCCCAGCCCGAGGTCTTCCGGAAGCGTCGTCGGGCCCATTACCGCTCTTCAGGCGGTAGCGGACCCAGCACCTAAACAGATAAAATAAGTTCGAAGGGGATAGGGAAGTGAGAACCTAACAAAGGGCGACGGAATTGGGGAGCGAGACTCAAACGACGTGGGCGTCTAAGGTAGATGGTGGTGGTTGAAGGTCAAGGTGCGCCGTGCGGAATATTCCTATCAGCGGATCAGACTGGGCGACGGTTGGCCGAATCCCATCACGTTCATCCCGAAGCCCTCAATGCGGCTAAGATACTAGCTTTCACTACAACCTTATCAAACATTATTTCGGTCAGTTCAGCTGCTCATAGGATACCGCCCCGAATGTAACCCTATACTTTAAGCAGATTCTGTACTTTGGGACTAGTAACGCGCACGCCATGCAGCAAATTGCTCTGGTCATGCCTTGGGCTGGTGCTGCTGATCTCCCCCCAGAATTATTCGAACACATTCTTGCATATGTTTCCCCGTATGATCGCATGTTCGGCGTAGCTATGACACAAAGGGAGCTTGGAAAACTCTCTCTTGTCTGTCGCTACTGGGCGCGGCAGTGCCGTCCGCTCATGTTCAACATGAAGCCGACTTTGGATAACCTGGACGACATACAGCAACTGTGCCGCTTAGTCCAGTCTCCCATACAGCTAACACCTAGCTTACGGGACTGTCTCAAGGCAATGAATACCAGTTATAAAGGTTCCTGGACGTACTACTGGCACCATTTATCGTCAAATGGAATCCACCAATCTGAAACCACGTTGCAGAACGTGTATGTACTCGACTCCTCGATCGATTCTCAGTCCACCACAGGACATGCCCCACGGTCGTGGTCTACAGGTCTACCGCGCACCCTGCCCTCTGGACTCATTTACATCTGGCGCTTACACCTCACGGACTTGCGTTTCCGCCACGTCGGCGACCTCGTCCATCTCTTGCACGAAGCCTCAGGGCTCTCCGACGTCATCTGTACCCGGCTCAGGTTCGATGACTCAGAGTCTCTCCTGCCTTTTCCCGCCCGTATTCGACGTCGGCTCTCGCGCGGTAAACGCTGGCGCATCGAAGTCACAGAGTGCGGATCGCCCACAGTCAGCACCAAGGTCCTTTTGTCCACCATAGCGTTCAGTGTACCCAACGGTGCACCCGCATACTGCCTCGGTATTGCGCGCTGGGCTTCGCTGTGCGCCGCCGTTCAGGCAGGAGTGCCATTTGACACGAGCCGCTGCGCTCTCATCCTCACCTCTGGAGGGCTTGACCGGGGTTTCTGGCTCGAGGTGACCGGACACAACTGCGAGGCGTACGACGAACTCTTTGGCTTGCGGTTTGAATGTCATGCGCCTATACCCCCGCGTTTTGACGTGCCCAACACGGCATTGTTCTCTTCCGTCACACTCCGATTAGGTTATACAAGTATCTGGAGTGGCAGCGTACCGATGCACTTCAAGGCGCTAGCAGACCTTTCCCCCTCGCTCGAGCCTTCTACCAACATCCGCCTCGTGGCATGGTGCGACTGGCGCGTTTTCATACAGTGCGCGGAGCTCTTCGTTCGACATCGGGATGGACCGCTGGGGCAGCGCTTCAACCGGGGTAGGTTCCACCTCTATCTATCCGTCAGCGCCTCCAAGACCGTGATGGACCTCTCGCACTTCCTCCGCCACCCGGCACCCGATATACGCGGGCGTCTCGAACTCGCGATCTGCACACATGGACTCGAAGGCTCACACAAAGACGCTGTGCGGGATGTGTACCTTACTGCCATCGCGGAGTGGTCGAGGAACCCAGAGACGCGGGGTGCTACGCAGAGAGAACTTTGGTTTCTGCGGTTCCTCTGGAGCACAGAGTACCGGCGGACACGACTCGGCAGGGAGGGGTACTTCCGCGGAGTGCCTTATTGGAGCACGGCGCACGCGTATGAGCGCAGAATACTTTGGCCGGACTACAAGATCCAAGACTCGCATTACTTTGTCATCCCGAACCAGAAATTTCTCCAATTCGGCGAGGGTTCTGCATTGGACGCTGGGTTTGAACACGCGAGGGGCACACTTCGAAAGGCGAAGTCAGAGTCGTCACTCACAATGACTGTGGTGAGATCCAGTTCGATAGATGATCATGTAAGGCCGAGACGTCGTTCGTCTCTGTCGCTACATCCAACAAATAGTACCAATGTCAGAATAAAGGTAAATTTCGATATATGACTCAAAATACCGCAACAAACTTACCCATACTGCTACAGGGTTAATCTAACACAGCACTGTCATTAATTTTGGATCCAGCTGCGGGATCACGCATGGGCAAGCTCATCGGAGTCGACCTTCTTTAATTTTTTATATACTCGAAGTTAGGTTCGGCATGTTCTTCCACGAGCCACAAGCAAGCGCAGATATAGATGTCTCTACAGCTCCTCTACTAGTAGCACGCTGGTATACTCGCCATTCCTTCTATGTTGAATCTCTACTCTGCGTCATCGCTCGCCATTTTCGTTCACATTAGACAATGCGAGCGGTATTCTCCTACTAGTATTTTCCGAGAGCGACCACTTCCTCCCCTGTGTAAGACACGCCATCTTCACGAGTGAAAGATCTGGACGCCCGTAACGAGAGATCTTGCGGAGCTCGAAGCGCTCAGCTCAACTTCAACTACTCAAGGGTCACAATCTCCTGATGCAGAAAAGACTATGTATTGCGATCGAGCTAGCATAGGATTATTATAGCGACGCTTGCCTCACTTGGCGTAAATACATTAGCTCAGATACGCAGAACAAAAGCGGAAAATACGATACAGTCGTGCGATGAGTGAAGATGGGGGAGACGTGCGCGAGATAAGCGTACGGTCTAACTCTGGCGAAGTGGAGACGAGAAATGGAAAAAAAAAATTGTCGGCTCCCAGCACAAGATGGGCCAAGGGGCGATGTCCGACATGGTTGTCTTCTGCCGCTCAGTGTACTCAACGCTGACGAAGAGCTACATTTTTGCTGACTGTGTCGCGATTCTTCTGTGAATTCTAACGCATCCCGCCGACGCGCGACGCGGCGGCCACTTCCTCAGATCTTGGAGGGTTCAGCTTTCTAATCTTCTTGGGCGGCTCGGACCGCGTGTCCTCTTCCTCGGAGAGTGTAGGCGCCGGAGTAAGCTGTCCGACAGCCTCGAGCATGGCGATCATCTCTCTCTGTTGTTCTGAAAGAAAAATCGTTGTAGGCTTGAAGGAGATGTGATCTTTCTCGTTGGCACGGAACCACCGTCCTTTGCAAATGCTCCGAAAGATTTCGGCCGCCTTCCTGTAAAACTTGGTTTTGCGCGCAGCCGTGTACAGTATCACATCCGGAACCGTCGTCGTATTGCCGGCAGATGCGGCCTCGATCGCGGCTTGCATTTGTCGCTGTTCTGCATACATGTAAAGGTTGACCAGTTCGACGAGGTACTCGTTTAGCTTGATGCAGATCGCCTGGAGGGTGGGGTGTAGCTTGGACAGTGACGAGTAGAATGCGGACCCGGATCCTACTACATCGGCCCGAAAGACGCTATTGTCGAACACTTTCGCGGCAAGCCTATAGCGTGCCAAGGAGTAGTTGGCCCATTGCTCGTCGGGGAGATCCGTGTCCCACTTCTCGATGGTCGAGCAGAGGACGATGTATAAGGCTAGCCATAAGACCGACTCCAAATCGTGTAGTGGGTTGTGTCTAAACGGCATGACGGGAAGGATATGCAAGGTGTATGGTTTAGGCCTCGTTTTATTATCTTCGTCCGACGGCCTTTCTGAGTCAGGCGCAAGCTTCCGCTTCTTGCACCGCTGTATTTTTTCGGGCGGTCTCTGCATCGGAGTCTTCTGATTCCTCTTGCTTGTCAGGCAACGACGTGTGGTCTCTGTTTGCGTATAGGCCTTTTCCCCCATTAAACCTATATCTGTGCCGTTCGACTTCGACCGCCGTGAAATAAGGCGTGCCCTGCCGGTCGTAATTAGACGAAAACCTAAGGATAAAATGACAATTCCGATACGTACCATTCGCACTTTATGTCTCCAATCATCGGATTCGTGTTTGGCGTACTCGAAATCGACCAGTTTCCCGACATTATCGATGATGAGAACGTTGCCGGCACTAACGTCTCTGTGGACCCAACCACATTGGTGAAGAAGCCTCAGGACTGTTGGATAGGGAAAGGATTAGTCGATGGAAAAAGTGCGCGACACATATAAACTTACTCATAATGACGTCTGCAAGGACTAGAAATGCAGTCCCGAGCGTTCCGGCTTCCATGATCGTCTTGCCTACCTCGCCGAATAGGACGCGGTGATGAACCTTCGCAGCAAACATGACAGGTCCTGGTCCTTCAGATAGTGCTCTTGCTATGGCGCCTCGAGATAAGGTCACGTCCACTATTTCGTCTTCGTCCGGATACATCTCTACGGATGTCGCCCTCGCTGTTGGGGAGATCGATCGGCGGCAGATGGCTCTGCGCGTGCTGTCCACCTTCTTCTCGGTAGTAAGGACGTCCCAAGAGTCCTTTATATCGATCAGGTAGGCATCAAACGCCTCACGCTGTACGTCGGTAGTCGCTGACTTGCGAATTTTCTGAAGAATGGTGGCCTCGCGGTCGCGACCTGCGTCAACCCAGGAATCCTTGACCACCAATGGTGGCCCAATTTTTTCTCCTCCTCGTTTGTCCAGTTCCCTGACCTCCCAGGCTCGAGTACCTCTTCCACGGAGCGCCTCGGCCCCGACGTCCGAAATGAGACGCTGCGTTCGGTACCACTTCTTGTTGACCAAGATTTCGTACTGAGGACCATCACGACTGTCGAGTGTCGGGAGCCGCATGATTGTATGGTCGAAGCCTAGTTCATCTCTTTGGGAAAACGAGATTCGCAAGACAAAGTCGATAAACTTTTCAATATCCTGAGGGCGGCATGAGTATTCAGAAGTCGAATAAGCGGATATATGCCGGAGAGTTACGTACAGTCAATAAATCTATCGGGTAGGATACTAAGACATCTGTGCGCGTTGCGACCCACAGGCGCATCCAAAAATTTTCGATGGTGAAGCCGATGACAAACCGACGCCTGGGGTCTTCGCGCATGATATGCGTAAGAGAGCACAAGACCTGGGTTGCATTCTGAGAGAGCGATATGGGTCAGCTCACGATGCTTGTCGTCAAACGCGAGAGAGCTTACCAGACTCCTCGATTCATCGGTGTTGTCTTTCTTGAACTCTGCAGGAATGACTATGTCACTCCATCTGGGAGCCGACTTGTCCACATCGTTATCGTTGAGCAGGAAGTAGGCGTCGGACTTGGACTTGTCGTCTCTGGCGGAGGAGTAGGGCATAGTGGTGGATTTGCAGAAAAATCTGGCCTCTTTCTTGGCGTGGGTGTTGCTGGACTTATGGATGGCGGAGATGATGTCTCGTAGCACGCAAAAGACCACGCCCTCGCCGTCTAGGTCCGCTGTCGGAGGGCAGTCCGCGAATGCCGACCAGCGAAGCTGGTTATGAACCAAGGTCAAAACATGGTTGTTGGTTAGTGTCTCTATACTCTTCTCCATATCGAAGCTGTGGCGCAAAGGAGGGAGGATCGCCTTCCGAAACCACTGCCATTCGGCTTGGTACACGGTCTCTTGCGTAACACGGCGTAACTGGTTGATCGCAAGGTCCGGCGGTGCAGTTACAGCTCTCTGCTTATGAAAAAGAGTACGAGTGGCGTTCGATGCGGCCATTTTCGACTGCGTGCGAGCTGTGCGATATCTAACCGTGGGGTGAGGGGTGATCGGGGCTGATCACATTCAGGAAGGCACATTTTATAAGGGCCGATGGCCATGGCCACTGTACGACGCTTTAAAGGGATAAAATTTATAAGGCGGAAATGGCAGGTGAAAAGAACAAGGGGGGGGTTAAACCTCTGTACCGGTGACAAATGCGGGAAAGCTCTGTTTCAACTCCGCAGGCGGCCCTCATGTATCGTCGGGAAGCGCACATTCTAGCGGCCTCTGCGCATAAATATACAAACTAGGATAGTTGTGGTGCTTCGAGGAGTGCTTTTCTTGCGTTCGTTGGAGCGTGCTGGTTTATGCAGGGTCGGAGCAGCCGCCGTAGCTTAGGCTTACTGTTTATCTGAGCACAACACTCGGCAGCATCTCTGTAGCATATTGACTAGCTTTTTGATTTGACTGCTCATGACACAGGAGTGACCGGAGTGGAAGAACGGTATCTTTCTAGAAACTTGATTTCACAGTATTCAGCGGGAGTAAATTTAAACCTTTAAAAACTTTTTTTCGCTAAGCAGCACACCCATTTGGGCGGATACAGAGCATATTGTTAAGAAATGTCGATTGCCGGAAAGCTTGAAATCGAAGCAGAACGCGGCGGTGGTCAGAGTCGGGAGTCGGGCGAGGACGTTATCGGAAGATGCCGAGCCGTGGAAATGCTCTAACCATCTTTGTGGCACAAGTGTCTAGAGCATCTTCCGTCTCGCCCTCACTGCACCGCGCTGCTTCATGGTACGTACGCTTCGAGTGTTGTTCCAATAAATTTTACACATCATTTATCCTGGACTTTGTATCGCGGGACGCAGCTAACTTGTGAGCTAATGCTTACGTATTCGCGGAATACGGTGGACAGTATCACGAAATCGACAAGGCTCGCCGAGCTTGCAGCAGAACGGACCGTTCTCGAAAGCAAGAAGGAGGAATTACTCTGCGAGTACGCTCGTATAGAGGCTGGTCTCAAACAGAACGCTGTAGAGACAGCCGAGTTTGCTTCCGTCTACACCCTACCTGATGATGTTCTCATGGAGATATTCGAGATCGCATACGAGCACATCCCGCTCGACCGTCGGTGCGCGCTTGAGCGCAACCCGACAATTCCTACTCATGTCTGCCGGCGGTGGAGGCAGACTGCACTAGGGTTTCCCCGTCTGTGGAGCTGCCTTCATCTCGGTCGCTCCGCGGAGCTTTTGGCACTCTGGCTGCAGCGATCCGGGTCACTCCCTCTCCATATCATCTGCACGGGTAAAGATGTCGACAGCAGGAGGAGCACAGGCAACTCTATCGCGGTTCAGTCGCCTCCCTGGGTTGGAGCATATTTGCAAAGCCTTACCGATCTCCTTCAATATTCATCGCGCTGGCAACACTTCGACATCGAGACGAGCCACTCGGTCTTCCTACAGACTGTTCTCGAGGTCATTGGGCGCGCGAGTTTTCCTTCCCTCAAATATCTTGCGCTATGGCACACGGGACACATGAACAACCTCCCGGGCGTTATGACCTTACCCGATTGCCCGGGCTTGACGGAGCTTGCCGTTCTGCGCGTAGCCATGACATTCTCCCCGTCTACACCTCTCCGACATCTTAAGAAGCTGTACTTCGGCTGCGGCACAATCTCCGATCGGGAACTTCTTCAGCTCTCACTGGCCGCACCGGAGCTTGTGGAGCTCACTCTGGACGAAGCCCAATGCGCGCACAGCAGAAACGGGATCGTCCATACCGCGACCTTCCCGCACCTCAAACTGCTCACGTTTCTAATCACCGACTGGGAGGATCTCTTCGACTGGTTCGATGCGCCAGCGCTCGAGACGCTCGTCTGCGATCAGGGCCCGATCAGGTCCGACATGTCGTCCGCCATCGTCGCGTACCCGCACCACACCTTCCCTGCGCTGCGCGAGCTACGGCTCCTGCGCGGGATCTGCCAGTCCTGGCCGAACAACGGGCACCTCTTCCGGAAGATGCCGAACCTCGTCCACCTCGACCTCACAGACGGCGCAACTACCTATCTTGGAGTCTTGGATGGACTGGCCTCCATGTACGACGCGGAGGACCTCCTCCCCAAGCTCGAAATCCTCACGCTCACCGAGGTCGACCACGAGAATCATGGCATCCTGGTGCAGTTCCTGAGGCGGCGGATACGCTGCGAGCGCCCTTTGAAGGAGCTCAGGCTCGGAAGGGCATTGTACGCGTCACCTGAATGGCAGCTATGGAACCTTGGCGAGCTCGTGAAAGTAACATGCCTCACGGAAGAGGAAGAAGCTGTCGGTCCTGGCGGTCAGGCGAAGGAACGGACCACTGACACTGCTTATTGGTAGACAAAATTCAAAAGCGATGTCTGGACAGAATGCCTGCTGGAAGGTTAGATGTCCTGCGACAGACGCAGCAGCTAAGATGGGAGTGGTCAGGATGAATGTCGTTGACGCTCGTACAACGGCTGTGCACGGCTCCGGTGTTATTGGACTGGCCCTCCATGATGCTAAGGCCACGCATATATACGCTTCTTGCGACGATATGTTAGTAGCAAAGGCCACTATATCCTTCACGTGTCAGTTGCATCTGAGGCTGTAAACTGCGAAGTTATTCGCAGTGTCTCTCCTTCGACCTCAAGCTCAAGCTTCGAATACCTGCTAATGTGGCATGAGCTCGGACACGCGCATCTCCACGGAGCTAGTCAATGCCCGAGTAGCAAGTTTTGAACAATTGGATGCATGCTAGGAAGCTCTGGGTGTACTTAGGCAGACGGATCGTAATTCTTGTAGATTTCATCGTATGCTACAGAGTACTAGAGTTGCTCTACGGCACCTAAATTGAATTCCACGTATGTTTCAGTTACCTGGGCAAGGGAATAGCTTGCTTTATGAACCCGTCTCTAGATCTGCACGTAACACGCATATAGAGGATCACCTGCGCCCCTCCACCCAACTGCCAAATATTATATTAGGGGCAATCCATGTCAAGCAAACACGGTACATACCGCATTGCCAGCAGTCCAGGATACGGTAGGGATCGCTGATTAGAGCACACATGAGTGCCGCTAACGATTTCTCGCTGCTCAAGTTTCACTTACTACTTCTCCTTGATTTCCAGTAGTCTTTTGTAGTTAGATCCCCAGTATGATTGTTCATGATCAGGCTCGTAAACATCGCCCTCGTTCTATCGCGAGAAAATGAGTTAGCACGTCGCCGCATGTGTCTCTGCCGACGTACGAAGTAAGCACCACTTCCTGGCGTCAAGTTGCGGAACACTTGAATATGCTGGTCAACTTGTGCATACTCCGACTGACGGTCCTGCAGAGTGCTATTGAAATAAAATCGTTCTTTTACACTGAACTGCGAGCTGCTGGTTAGATGGACTATCAAAGCAGCGCTCCGAAAATACTTACATGCCACAGAGAAGTGCGCCAAGCGGGCGTGACGCTGGTCGTGCCTTCGACATACGGAAATAAAAACGGAGTGCCGACCACGATATAAGGGGTCGAGAAAGGTAAAGCGTTCGCAATAGCCGCGGATAACGCGATTTTTCCGCTATCAGTCGCAAAAAGCGAGGTGTTCAGTAGTCGAGTTCCCAGCATCAACTCTGGACCAACGGGCTACGGCGTGTCAGAGAACGAGTGGTAGGCAGCATGTTGGAGCGCTCACCGCTTCCGCAGACGTCACGTATTTGAGGAAGAACGCGTTCCATGACGGTAGCTCGTCGATCAATCCGGAGCCGCCTTGTGCAACTGCGAAATCGATAGCAACTTGCATCGATGCTTGAGCAGCGGACTGGTTGAGGAGCGGGTTAACATGAATCAAACTGCCGCCCTGTACGTCAGAGAAGCGATTAGTATACGTTGCGAGTCTTGAAATCAGCGTAATACGTACAACAATATGCCCTCCCCAGCCCTCCTGCCCCCACCTAAGGGAGTTGTTAACCATGAGCTCGTACCAAGACACGAGGTTTGACAAGTTGGCGGGGAATTCGATGATAGCTCTGCGACTAATCAACTCTCTAGCATTGTAGAAAGGGAGTGGCGAGCTCACGCTTGCAAAGTCAGCTGGGGCTCCACCCGCATCGTGAGCTCAGTGACTACACCAAACGCGCTCCCGCCACCTCCGCGCAGAGCCCAGAATAAGTCGCTATCCTCGCATTCGTTTACAGTTCGGAAGCGACCGTCGGGAGTCACAACCTTGATTTCGACCACGCGGTCGACGCCCAGGCCGTATACTGGGGACAGAATGCTGTGGCCTCCGCCCTACGGTGCAGGACTCAGTGGGTCTTAGCAGAATATGCACCATACGGCATGCGCACCAGGAAATAGCCTGTTCCAATCGTCCTGTGGTATCCCCCGACAGCGGTGACGTTATGCTGATCGGCAAAGGCGTAGAGCTGTTGCATTTCCACTCCAGTCTGCACACTGACACTCAGTACCGTCGTCTATAAACTTGCACGTGGACGTACTCCGATAGTGATAGCCCGATAGCTAGTGTTGCAGCTCTCCGGCACAAATGTTTCATTGAAGGACATCTAGGATCGTTGAGTTTTGTCGTCCAGAGGACGTCCATCAAAACGCTTACAAAGCCAGCATTGAGATGCGAAACCTGATCAGACGTTGTCAGCTAGAGCATTAGAGGACGAGACTGTCCTACCCATAGACCGAGAGTGTTCCAGCCACTGGAGCGGCCCTTGTAGTCATGACCCTTATTTTTGACCGATAGTCTAACGCCGGTCTTGAGCGAAAAGGCATACACCGCTTGAATATGCTCAACAGTCTGGACGTCAATCTACACAAGATTGGCGTTCATGATCTGCGCCGTTCTCGCCTCAGATGGCACTTACGTAGGCTGGGGCGATATTCCCTGTCTGACAGTCTTTATCTTGGTAGGCTGCAGGGTTCGTAGGGTCCGAATCGTCTAAAAGGCAGCCAGAGCCCGTGGCTTGACATGTTTCCCACTGCGACTAAGGCACGCGTAAGTGAATGCCCGCGTCATCGAAAACATGTGGAGAAAACTTACTTGCATGTACGCGCCGAAGTGTTCGGAGCGAAAGACCGGGTCGGTATAGTTTGCTTGGACAGCTGCGCATCCCAGAGAGTCCGGAGAGACGGCCTGGCCTTCGAATAACGAGAAACATGGCAGTTCGAAGGGTCTTGACAGATGGAGATGCCCGTCGACAGAGGCATTGAGTGTAGTCCATAGGTCCCAGTCTACTCCGAGCAACCTCGAAGGTGCATGTGGGCTGCTATTTGCATGTGTCAGCAAGACGAAAAGACCGCTGAAACTTAGGATGTGATTCAAAAGCACCATCGTGGCGGGATCCCGAAGACTCGGGCCTCAGCTACAAACCATCCTACATTTGTACAACGCAGGGCGTCCCAAGAAACTCGACGGGGCCCGCATTTATAAGCGCGTACCTGGCCAGAGGCGCACGGCCAGGACAGTCTAGCTTAATCAGGTCTGGATTTCATTGGAGAGGATGGATACAAGCGCATATAAGCGCGTTGTCGGCCCGCGCGACGCATTGTATGACCTAAGTGCTGATGGAGAGGCATGCAAAGTTACGACTACGTACGTAAATCGTAGCTGATCGTCTGCGCCATCATTCAATAGAACCTACAAATAGCTTTGCATTGCGCAATATACATAATCGCGTATAAAGTCATCTCTTCAGCTCCACAGGGATGATCGTTAAAGAGCGCTCCGAGGAGATTCTTGGCAACAATGCGCACCACGCGCAAGCGAAATGCGGGAGCAGCACGCATCTGCAGCACATGCTATGAATCTGCACGTCAAACTGTATGATAACGCTATCTCGTACCGAGGTTCCTTGGCAGGTGGGTGGTTGAGTACTGCGTTGAACTCGCCCTCTGCGACGTCCCCGCCGGGGTCCCAAGTTCGCCGCAAGCGGTGTCCCCCGGCACAGCACGGCCGCTTTCATCTTTCGAGGACAGCCCTCGTGCATGAGCACCAACGCGATGTTGCTCTACGCCGCGAGCTCGGTCAAGCTGATACGCCTCACCGACCGTAGATTACTTTTCCGGGCGGTCTCGGGATCTAATTCGGGGTCTGGCTTGGGCGAAGAGTTTCACATGTAGATACAGTCGGTGAAGCTGAAAGGGATCAGCCTTGCTAACGTCGCTTCCGAGATGCGATTGAAACTGAGGAGACCTGCTGCACGAGGTTGTATATCCAATTTGCGCTCATTGGGGATCCAAGCAGTTCGCTCACTGTGGTCTCTCGATACAGCGCAGACTTCTTGGCACATCTAAAGTAAAGTTAGGATACGGTGTGACAAAGCTACTATAAAAATACCTTCTCAGACTGCATCACAGCGACGACTGTAGCTCCCGGGATTTTCTAGGGGGGGGGGGGGGGGGGGGGGGCAGTTGCGCTCGCAGGGTCCATACTCTAGCCATACCGCAAGCTGTAGGAATAGTCGTGAGACGCTCGCGATATCAAGGCGTGAGAACAGATCATACTTCGAGCTGTCTCTCGCCGAAACGTAAGTTATCACCACGGCTCCCTCAATCCTCTTCCTGGGCCTAAAGTGAGATTCCATAGCTAGTAGTTCGTGCATAGTGGGGGCTCTCAGACAGACGGTGGAGAGGATGGCCGTCGGTCTGGCTCTGGAGTTCATGTAGCATGCTGATTCTGCCTTAGATTTTCGAAGTAGAAATGTATAGCAACGTAGATAAACGAGCTGTGAGCAGTTACGGGCGGACTCCGGCAGACGTGGAGGAGCAAGTCGACGCAGCACACAAAGCGTGCGAAGTTTTTACGCGCCCTAGGAAGGTCCGCACGTGATAAAGCAAAAAAGGCGCGACTCTCGAGCTTCTCCCTTGGCCAGTAAGCTGCAAGTGCATCCTTTTACGGTGTATGGTCAATTTCTAGGAGGTCGAGTGCCTTGTCTGTCCCTCCACTCTCTGTACCGTGTTTCTTATTGGAGCTAAGCGTTACAGCAGCTCACGGCACCTAGCTGCTTTATAAAACCCATAATACTATCAAGACATCAAGAAGTTGTTCTGAGACAAACGATTACCGTGACCCATGTGGGACAGACGCATCATGCGCAGCGTCTACATTCTGTTCCCAGTGAAGGCGCTGAGAGCCCGGGTTGTACAAGTATATATCACGCACTCATCTACTATCACTCCACCGGATGCCCATACGAACCCCTGTCGTCGCTGAAGTGGCACGACTACATTCTGCACCTCCCCCATCGCTATCATGCCCAGCACGTTGGCAATCCTCGACACCGCCCTCGCGCTCATCGGGATTCTCCTCGTGCGAGCACTCGCTACTCGCAGCAGACAACGCGCCCCACATCCCCCTGGTCCGAAGGGCCTGCCTGTCATAGGTAATGTCACAGAAATGCCGTCGTCGCACGAATGGTTCAAGTTTGCAGAGTGGGCAGACCAATACGGTGAGCAACTAATGCAGCGTATCCTGCCTGCCGCGCCTTGTTGACCGCCGTACGTTTACGCAGGCGATATAATATATTTAAACATTTTAGGTCAGCCTATGGTCGTCCTCAACTCTACCAAGCACGCGATCGAGCTCCTTGACAAACGCAGCAACATCTACTCCGACCGACCTGCCCTCATGATGGGAGGAGAAATCGTCGGTTGGAAATACACCCTCGCGTTAACACCTTACGGGCGGCGATTCCGCGAATATAGGCGCTTCATTGCGAAGCTGATCGGTGGGCCAGCCCAGATGCAGACCCATCTGCCGTTGGAAGAATATGAGACTAAACGCTTCCTGAAGAGAATACTCGACGACCCGGGGCGCGTTGCTGAGCATATCCGGAAGTAAGCTCTCCGTTTCCGCTGTGCGTTTCGAGTTAAGCTAAGCGAAACCCTGTGACAGGACGGCTGGCTGCATCATCCTCAAATTGTCACATGGATACGAAGTTCAAGAGGGCCGCGATCCCCTGGTCGAGCTCGTCGATGTGGCGACGGAACAGTTCTCGGAGGCGTCATCTCCTGGAGCGTTCCTTGTGGACGTGTTCCCTCTGTTGCGCTACGTGCCTGCTTGGATGCCCGGCGCTGGATTTCAGAAGAAGGCGCAGGAGTGGAAGGGGACTCTTGATCGGATGGTGGACGAGCCGCACGAGTTTGTGAAGAAGAGAATGGTTTGTTCGGGTCGCTCTGTCGCTTTTGTATGACTGACAAGCTGAGCACGCAGGAAGAGAACACGAATATTCCCAGCTATACCTCCGAACTCTTGCAGACTGAGACGCTGGAAGGAGACAAAGAGTTCAACATCAAGTGGTCTGCTGCATCTCTGTACTCTGGTATGTTCAATGATGTTGATGTGCTCTGGTCACTAAGCTGAGAGCCCCAGGTGGAGCTGATACCACAGTATCGGCAGTTTACACATTCTTCCTTGCCATGACCTTGTATCCCCACATCGCGAAACGTGCGCAGGCGGAGATTGACTCGGTCATTGGTGGCGACCGTCTTCCCACCTTCGAGGATCGGCCGAATCTGCCTTACGTCGAGGCACTTGTAAAGGAGGTCTTTCGCTGGAATCCCGTTGTTCCGCTTGGTAAGTTAAATCCTTCAACTTGACGGCGTGAACTCACGCAGGCCTACAGGCGTACCACATAGACTGACTGAGGATGACACATACGAAGGGTACTTCATACCCAAAGGTTCTATCGTCATTGCCAATATATGGTTCGCCTTGCGTGCATTTTAGTAGTGCACCAAGTGAAATTAATTACCAATCCAGGAAAATTCTACGCAACCCCAGCCTCTACACCGATCCCTCCACCTTTGACCCTACACGTTTCATTCCTGAGAGCGGCCGCATACCTGCTCCAGACTCTAGAGACTACTGCTTCGGCTTCGGCAGAAGGTACGCGACTTTGTTCATGCGAATAATAGACGCCGAATGTGAAGCCTTCCCGCAGGATATGCCCAGGCTTGCATCTTGCAGATGCCTCAGTCTTCCTCTCGTGTGCCATGGTACTTGCGACGTTTGACATTACCAAAATCGTCGAGAACGGCCAGGTCGTTGAGCCCAAGGTGGAGTACACAAGCGGAACAATCAGGTAGATTAACATATTGTCCCCGGAATTTTGCGCTGAAACCGATCACTTTCCAGCCACCCTAAGCCTTTTAAATGCATCATTAAGCCGAGATCTGCAAAAGCGGAGGCGTTAATCCTGTCCATGGACGAGCAACCTTAAAAATGGAAAGTACTGTCATCTGTTGTACGACGCCTCCACACGCTGCCACGAACTACCGATATGTATTTAGTCTGTGCAAATTCTGCGCATACATGCGGACTTTGCATTAAGACTCAAACGGTTGAGGGATATCACATGGTCATGACAGTCACACTCCCAGCCTTCCACAATCTGGCCGCTGGCTGGTATCTTGGTGTCGCTGTCGCTGGCTGGGCAGTCAGGAAGGATTTTACTCAGCAGATGTTAACCACAGTTATCTAACGCGCGACGCGGGGCAAGGCTTCACAAATCAGTTACGTAGATGTTGTCGGAAAGGGAAGGCATTTTGACCATCAGGTGAGGTAACGTCGCCTTGCAAGCCGATTTGTCGACCCCTTATAACTCCTTGCATTGAAACCGTGGTATCCGTGTGAAGCCGAAGACGCTCGCCATGGCCCTCCGGAGGTTCAATCAAGGCGACTACATACTCGCGTAGCGCTGGGGTCCTAGACTGTCCTATAGACAGGCGAGAAGTCGAGTTCAAGCGGCTCTAGACACGCCTCGATGCGCTTTTGTCCCGTTTCAAGGCACGCTTCTAACTGGACCCATTACGGCCGCCCACAGTACCAAGCTGTTTCACGAAGACTAGTCTCAAGCTACATCAAAAGACAGGCCTGAGGCCTGAAAACCTGAGGCCTGAAAACCTGAGGCCTGAAGACCAATTCCTAGTAAGGCGCTATGCGTATTCCATGCGCAGTGGCCGCAGCGCGTCTGCGTCCCGAGGTTCTCGGGCACTGCTTGGACAGCCGAGACACTGATTGTACGAATATATATCACGCTTAGGGTGAACGAGGTGAGCACTTTGGCTGCTCGCGCTCCACTCCCGCCCACGCCACCTCCCGCCGTCACTGAAGTGGCATAACTACATTCTGCACCTGCCCCCGCCGCTATCATGCTCAGCATATCGGTAAACCTTTACACCGCCCTCGCGCTCATCGGGATCTTTCTCGTCCGAGCACTCGTCACTCGCAGCAAACAGCGTGCCTCACATCCCCCCGGTCCGAAGGGACTGCCTATCATAGGCAATGTTGCAGAAATGCCCACATCACATGAGTGGCTCAAGTTTGCGGAATGGGCCGACAAATACGGTAAGTGGAAAATGCAGCACATTTTACCCAACATGCCTTCTTAACCGCCGCATGTCCATGCAGGAGACATAATATATCTAAGCATCTTGGGCCAGCCTATGATTGTCCTCAACTCTGCCAAGCACGCCGTCGAGCTCCTTGACAAGCGCAGTAACATCTACTCCGACCGACCTGTCCTCATGATGGGAGGAGAAATCGTCGGTTGGAAATACACTCTCGTGCTGACACCTTACGGGCGACGATTCCGCGAGTATAGGCGCTTCATTGCGAAGCTGATCGGTGGGCCAGCCCAGATGCAGACCCATCTGCCGTTGGAGGAATATGAGACGAGACGCTTCCTGAAGAGAATACTCAACGACCCGGAGCGTGTTTCTGACCATATCCGGAAGTAGGCATACCGCCTCCACCATTCATTACTGAGCTGATCCGTGCGGCAGGACGGTCGGCTGCATCATCCTCAAGCTGTCATATGGATACGAAGTTCAGGAAGGGCATGACCACCTAATCGAGCTCGTCGACACAGCAACTGAACAGTTCTCTATGGCGACGTCTCCTGGAGCTTTCCTTGTAGATGTCTTTCCTCTGTTGCGCTATGTGCCCGCTTGGGTCCCCGGCGCTGGATTTCAGAAGAAGGCACAGGAATGGAAGAGGACCATAAAGCGGATGGCAGATGAGCCGTGCGAGTTTGTGAAGAAAAGAATGGTTCGTGCGGATCGCTCTGTCGCTTTACATGACTGACGATATACGTACACAGGATGAGGACGCAAATATTCCCAACTACACTTCAGAACTCTTGCAGAACGAGACACTGGAAGGAGACAAGGAGTTCAACATCAAGTGGTCTGCTGCATCTCTCTACTCTGGTATGTTCACATGATGTCGATGCGTTCTGGTCGCTAAGCCAAAAGCGTTAGGTGGAGCTGATACCACGGTGTCGGCAGTTTACTCATTCTTCCTTGCCATGACCTTGTATCCCCACGTCGCTAAACGTGCACAAGCAGAGATTGACTCGGTCGTCGGTGGCGACCGTCTTCCCAACTTCGAGGACCGGCCGAATCTGCCTTACGTCGAAGCGCTGGTGAAGGAGGTCTTTCGCTGGAATCCCGTTGCTCCGCTTGGTATGTTAAATCCTTTCGTTGACCACACGGACTCACGCAGGAATTGCAGGTGCACCACATCGATTAACTGAGGATGATACATATGAAGGGTACTTCATACCCAAGGGCTCTATTGTCATTGCCAATATATGGTGTGTCTCGCGTATATTTACTACTTCGAGCGAAACTAATCACCTAGCTAGGAAATTTTTACACAACCCCAGCACCTATGTTGACCCCTTTGTCTTTGACCCTACACGTTTCCTTCCTGAGGATGGCCGTATACCGGCCCCAGACTCTAGAGACTACTGCTTCGGCTTCGGCAGAAGGTACGCGACTTTGTTTATACGAATCATCGACGCTGAATGCGGAATCTTTTCGTAGAATATGTCCAGGCTTGAATCTTGCAGATGCCTCAGTCTTCCTCTCGTGTGTCATGGTGCTTGCAACGTTTGACATTACCAAAACTGTCGAGAACGGCAGGGTTATCGAGCCTGAGGTGGAGTACACGAGCGGAACGATCAGGTACGCCGCCGTGCTGTCCCTGCCCAGGCTTCGCACTGAAGCCGATTGCTTTCCAGTCATCCGAAGCCGTTCAAATGCACCATCAAGCCAAGATCTACAAAGGCGGAGGCATTAATCTTGTCCATGGACGAGCAGCCTTAAAAATGCATAGCATCGTTCTCTGCTGTACGACGCCTCTACACGCTGCTGCAGGCCACCGATATGCGTGTAGGCTGTGGTAATTCTGCACATATATACGGTTTCGCGCCACATCGAGTATGAGAGCCGGAAGATAGGACCGAATGCTCCTCGCCTCAAGTCGCCAGCATTTGTCTCGTGCTCTCAAGGACCTGGCAAGCTCGCGTACTTGCCGGAAGAGGGGGAGAGACATGTACTACTGATGTACTGCATCCGCCGACAGCAAGAACTGATTGGCTCGGAGCCAGGCCAAATCACTACATAGACGTTTGTGCACGATGTACACAATGTTCTTTAACATGAGCATAAGATATTTACGTAAGTAAGATGACACATCGATTATATTAATTAAACTGGTAATTTAAAGATAAGATAACAAGGCCTGGTCTTCGGCCGCCGTCCTGCAGTATAATTGTAGGACGCAGGGCGTCCCAAGAAGCTCATCGAGGCCCGCCTTTAGAAGCATGTATCTGACGGGAGGCGCGCGGCCAATCTGGACAATCTAACTTAATCAGGTTCGGGCATCATTGGAGAGCATGCAAATTCGCACATGCGAACGCGTTTGGTGGGCCGCGTGATGCATTGCATGGCCTGATTACTGATGGGAATGCATGCAGGGTGATACGACCACGTACTTAAACCACAGTTATTCGCCGTCTACGATGCAGTCTTTCGATTGGAGCTGCAAATAGATTTGCGTTTGCGATGCAATGTCATCACGGATAAAGTCATCTTTTCGGCTCTGCGGGCGTGGGCTCGTCGAGGAGTGCTCCGCGGGGGGTTCTTTGCAGCGGTAGTTGCCATGCCCAGACGCGTTTCTATCGTAGCGATTCCGATACTTATGCGGGAGCACCAGTGCACCGCGCATCTGCAGCGGCACGTACTGTCAGTTTGCATGCCAGATATGCGGTATCACTATCTCGCACCGAGGTTCCTTGACGAGTGGGTGGTCGAGTCCCATGTCAGGCTCGCTCTCTACGGCGTTTCTACCGGGCCCCTCTCCCTGAGCGCCTTCAAGAGGCGTCTGAGTCGACGAGCGTCCCGCGAGCGGCATTCACCAGCACACCATCTTTCGCTAGGAGCTGTCGTTCGCAAGCACAAACGCGACGTCGCCCTCCGCCGCAATTTCCTTACCGACTGCGGATTGTATTTCCGGGCGGTCCCGGCGTCCACTCCGAAGTTTAGACGAAGGGTTCGATATGTAAACGCAGTCGATGAGACCGAAAGGGACCGGCTTCGTTAGCGTCGCTTGGCAAATTGCGACAGAAACCAGTGGAACTCGCCGTACAAGTGTAGTATATCTAATTTGCGCTCAACTGAGGGCCGCAAAGCCAAAGAGAGCCCAGGCATTTTTGGCTAGTACTGTGGTAGCTGTCAGAGTCAGCTCAAACATTTGTATCACCCGACGTAATTAAACGTACCAGTATCGATCAGGACGTCTGGGGTGTACCCAATCCTTATTTTGCGCTAAGCTGTAGGCTGAGGGCTGTATGCTTGAGAAGGCGCTTGAACTTTGAATGAGCAGGAGCAGGCTCTATAGTTAAGAACTACATACCGTACCCAACAGACGCAGTCGAGACGGCCCATTGGAGGCTTGGTCCCGCTGCATATATTGAGCCATGCAGATTCTAGTTCGCAGATAGACGCAGTCTCGCTTCCACCTTTGGAATGCCCGCAGATGCTTACGTCATCCGGCGCGGGACCGTAAATTTGGCGGGGTTCAGCTCTACTTCCTGGTCTGAGTCCATTTAAAGCAAAGCCAGGATGCATTATGACGAAGCTACTGTAAACGCATCTTGTCAGTCAGTACTAGAACGACACCTGGTCCTCTGATCACACCACAAGCTGTAGAAATATCCAAGAGACAATCGCGATATCAAATCGAGCGAACAAACCATACTCTAGGCTCTTTTCTCTCCTACGACAGGGGCATAACATCTGGACACAGGATTCTCGCCACGACCACCTTCTTCCCCTTCCTGGACCTGAGTGCGCTTCTACGAGTCACTTGCTAGCCGGCGTAACATCGAAACTATAACGTTCCAGCGATATCCGGACGAAACATAGCCAGTAGCTTGTGTGTGGCTGAGATGAAGCGGGAAGGATTGCCATCATGGTCTGTCCAGCTCTGGGGTTCCGCAACCATGCAGCACGCTTGTTCAGTCGTAAATTTTCAAAATAAGAGATTTATAGCAAGAAGTAAACGAGTATGAGCAGTCATTACCAGACTTCGGACTCTAGCAGAAATGGGAGAGGAGAATAGATGAAAGCGGGTTTACCATTATGTAAACGGAAATCACAAGGCGTGCGAATGCTTCGTGCAAACTAGGAAGGTCTGCACATGATACAGCGCCACGTAAGCGACACCTCTGCTGCGTCTGCAACCATGCACAAGACGAGTGTCTCTCCCTGGGTATTTTGCATTAATATTGTAAGCTTATCGTCAATTGCTTAACACGAGATCTAGGAGGTCAAGCACTCCACATTACTCGCCGCTCAGAGTGCGAAACACTATATGCTACGCCAATCGTCGCATCCGAATGAGCTGTGTGCCGTAATCTCGGGGGCCGTAGGTCCGGGCAGGCTCTCCTTTGGCGTTAGCTGTACTGTCCTTCTAATTGGCTCTGAGACGAACGCAGGCAATGCAGCCTGAAGACTGACCCCTAGGCGTTATACAGGCGCGGTAGCGTCTGGCTACTGTCTTCAAGCGTCCTGCTCTCAGTGGCGCAGTGCGTCCGTGCTTCGAGGTCCGCGGTGTAGCGTGGGACACCACTGGTTGTGCGAATGTATATTACGCTTGTGACGAGCGAGGTGAGTATTTTTGTTGCTCGCATTCTCCTGACCACCCACGCGACCTCTCGCCATCACTGAAGTGACATAACTACATCTTTCACTTGCTTATCGTTATTATGCACAGCACATTGGCAATCCTCAATACCTCGCTCGCGTTAATTGGGATCTTGCTCGTTCGGGCACTCATTGCTCGCAGCAGACAACGCGCCCCGTACCCCCCTGGTCCGAAAGGTCTGCCTGTCGTAGGCAATGTTACAGAAATGCCCACATCACATGAATGGCTCAAGTTTGCGGAATGGGCCGATAAATACGGTAAGTGACGGATACATCTCATCTAGTTCGTCACACCTTCTTGACCGCTGTACGTCTACGCAGGGAATATAATACATCTAAACCTCTTGGGCCAGCCCATGGTCGTCCTAAACTCTGCCAAGCACGCGATCGAGCTCCTTGACAAACGCAGTAACATCTACTCCGACCGACCTGCCCTCATGATGGGAGGAGAAATCGTCGGTTGGAAATACACCCTCGTGCTGACACCTTACGGGCGACGATTCCGCGAGTATAGGCGCTTCATCGCGAAGCTGATCGGTGGGCCGACCCAGATGCAGACCCATCTGCCGTTGGAAGAATATGAGACGAGACGCTTCCTGAAGAGAATCCTCAACAACCCGGAAGGCGTTGCTGAACATATCCGAAAGTGAGGCCTTCGTTTCCTCTGTGTTTCGAGCTACGCTCGGCTAAACTCTGTGGCAGGATGGCTGGCTGCATCATCCTCAAACTGTCACATGGATACGAAGTTCGAGAGGGCCACGACCACCTAATCGAGCTCGTCGACACAGCAACTGAACAGTTCTCTATGGCGACGTCTCCTGGAGCTTTCCTTGTAGATGTCTTTCCTCTGTTGCGCTATGTGCCCGCTTGGGTCCCCGGCGCTGGATTTCAGAAGAAGGCACAGGAATGGAAGAGGACCATAAAACAGATGGCAGACTCGCCGCACGAGTTTGTGAAGAAGAGAATGGTTCGTGTGGATCGCTCTGTCGCTTTACATGACTGACGATATACGTACACAGGATGAGGACGCAAATATTCCCAACTACACTTCAGAACTCTTGCAGAACGAGACACTGGAAGGAGACAAGGAGTTCAACATCAAGTGGTCTGCTGCATCTCTCTACTCTGGTATGTTCCATGATGTCGATGCGTTCTGGTCGCTAAGCCAAAAGCGTTAGGTGGAGCTGATACCACGGTGTCGGCAGTTTACTCATTCTTCCTTGCCATGACTTTGTATCCTCACGTCGCTAAACGCGCACAAGCAGAGATTGACTCGGTCGTTGGTTGCGACCGTCTTCCCACCTTTGAGGACCGGCCCAGCCTGCCTTATGTCGAAGCGCTGGTAAAAGAAGTCTACCGGTGGAATCCTGTTGCTCCACTTGGCGAGTCGAATCTTCCAACTTGACGGCACGGGCTCATGCAGGACTTGCAGGTGTACCACATCGATTGACTGAGGATGACATATATGAAGGGTATCTCATACCCAAGGGCTCTATTGTCATCGCCAACATATGGTTTGTCTCGCGTGTATCTCCTTACTTGAGTAACGCTAATAGCCTCGCCAGGAAAATCCTACATGACCCCAAGCTCTACGCTAATCCTTTCGTGTTCGACCCTACGCGTTTCCTTCCTGAGGATGGTCACACTCCGGCCACAGACCCTAGAGGTTACTGCTTCGGTTTCGGCAGAAGGTGTGCAGACTTGTCTACACGAATGATGGACGCTGAATATGATATATTCCTCCAGGATATGCCCAGGCTTGCATCTTGCAGACGCTTCAGTCTTCATCTCGTGTGTCATGGTTCTTGCGACGTTTGGCATTACCAAAACAGTCGAGAACGGCACGGTCGTCGAGCCCGAAGTTGAGTACACGAGCGGAACGATCAGGTACGTCACTGTGTTGTTCCTGCCCAGGCTTCGCGCTGAGGCCGATTGCTTTCCAGTCACCCGAAGCCGTTTAAGTGCACTATCAAACCGAGATCTGCAAAGGCGGAGGCGTTGGTTCAGTTTATGGATGAAGAGCCTTAAAAGTGGAAAGCATCCTTCTCTGTTACATGGCGCCTCTGCGTTCTGCCTCAGGCCGCTAATATGCATGCAGTCTACGTGAGATCTGTGCGTATATGTGGGCTTCGCGCCTAGATGAGTGTAAAGTACGAGAGCCGGCAAATAGAATCGATCGCTCCTCATTTCAGGTCGTCAGTATTTATTCTTACAGTAGGAACCCAGACTTGCGTAGTTCGGGACTAGTCGATCGACATTATCATCGACTGATTAGACAGGGCTGCCTTAGGGAGACTAGTTCGGGACTTGCGGAAAGGGGAAATACACGCACGGGCCCGGGCCGCCGACAGCGAGAACTCACCGGTTCAAGTAAACGTGACATACACGGACGGGGCTTCACAAGGCGGCTCTGCAACGACCCATGTGCGCTGCAGTTTGGGCTTGAGTTTGCCCTATGCTCGGAAGCATAGATGGTGGTGGTGGAGATGGCAAAGGCGTCGAGAAGGCTCGGACGGGTGCGCGAGATAAGGCCGCCGTGTCACCACTCACTCACTATAATCAACATAAGAACAGCCAAAGACATGACTGCTGCATGTAGGAAGCTCGCATCAGGCTGAGACACGATAAAAGCCTGTGAGACTGTTTTGGAATTTGTTGGCCATATACTGTCGATGACTATATAACTGGTCGCGATCGGCTTCAAGCAGGCGCGCAGAGGCTTCGAGGACGACCATTATACTCCATTACACATGAATCTATATGGAAAACACGCCAAGATTTGTTATGCAGTGCGTTTCACCAAGGAAGATATATTGAGTACAGTAGCTTGCGAGGGCAATAAGATGGGCAGGCGAATGCTATACACCAGGCTCTTGTTTAGCCACTGGATTATTGGGTACCTGAAAAGATCCCAATGCGAGACTCACCTTGAATCGGCAATCGTTGGCACTCTATTCTTATGGTCACTCGTCGTTAGCGAGAATCAAGGCTCTTGCCTTGGCAGAGCGAGGCTTAATGTCGCACTTAAATGGCTTCGGATGACTTGCATGGACGCAGTAAGTCACACCGCAGACCAGTGGCCTTAAATGGACAAGCGCACCTGACTGTACCACTCGTGTACTCAGGCACAACCTCAACAATCTTGCCGTCATGAACGAGCTTCTTGATATCGAAAGCCGCGAGCACCGTGGCACATGTGAGCCAGACTGAGGCGTCAGCAAGATGCAGTCCTGAGATCACGTTAGTCTGGTGGCATCTTTCACGACAGCGGAACCCTCTACCTGGGCAAATTCTAGTATATGCGCGACACGACCCCGTCAGAAACGAACTTGCACAGAACAGAGGAGAGCATACCGTCGACCAAACCCGAAGCAGTAGTTCCGGGGATCCAGCGACGGCGCTTTGCCATCCTCTGGGAGATACCGCGTCGGATCAAATTCCGAAGGGTTCGGATACACCTCCGGATCGTGAAGAAATTTCCTGTGCACCCAATGAGATCGCAGAATATGCTGAAAAATCAAAGCAGGGCGTACCAGATGTTTGGGATGACAATAGTGCCTTTCGGCAATACATACCCTTCATATACGTCGTCCTGTGTCAGTCTATGCGGTAGCCCTATGTATGCGAATGAGCTGCAATAGGCTAATAACATCTATGCACTCGCCTAATGGACCAATAGGGTGCCATCGTAGGACCTCCTTAAACACACCCTCTACATACGGCAAGTTCGGTCGATCTTCGAATGAGGGCAGTCGATCCGTTCCGATCACCGAGTCGATTTCTGCCTGAGCTCGCCTCTGTACGTGTGGGAAGAGTATCATAGTGAGGAAGAAGGTATGAATCGCTGAAACTGTCTGTAACGTAGGTTATGAGGTCTGGAAAGACTCTGATGAACCGGAAAGAAACATACCGTGTCCGCGCCACCTGCGTACAATATTTAGTCAATCAAGAGCAAAGCATGAGGAAAAAAATGTACCCGTGTAAAGCGACGACGCCGACAATTTGATGTCGCGTTCCTGGCTGCTTTCTAACCTCTCGTCTCTCAGGAGCTCAGACGTATAGCTGGGAATTTCGGCATGATTGGTCTGCATGTTCTTGAGCATACACGCCCAGCGAAAAGCGAGAACACATTAACTGACCATCTGCTCCTTCACAAATGCATGCGGCACATCTATCACTTGCTGCAGCGTATACTTCCATTGCTGTGCCTTGACTTTGAATGACGCGCCTGGTATCCAAGCAGGGACATGCCGCAGGAGCGGAAAGACGTCGACTAGGAAAGCGCCGGGAGTGGTCGCTTCAGTGAATTGCTCCATCACACGATTGACCAGGTCTACTAGAGGATCTTGGTCTTCACGGATCTCGTACCCGTAGGAGAGTTTTAGGATAATCGCACCGGCTGTCCTGGTATTAGTGGCATCTCTAAGGCCCCAGTTTCACATGAGAAAGTAAGAGCTTACCTCCTAATATTCCCAGCCACTCCTTCCGGACGTTTCAGCATCCTCTTTAAGAAGTTCTTCGTCTCGCACTCAATCAGCCTGAGATGGCGTTCCATTTGGGCCTTACCCCCAATAAACCTTGCAATAAATCTTCTGTGCTCGCGAAACCGTTCGCCATACGGACTCAACGCAAGTGTACTGCTCCAGCCGACAAGCTCTCCACCCATAATGAGAACAGGCCGGTCGGAGTAGATATTGCTGCGCTTGTCAAGCAGAGCAACGGCGTCTTTCGCCGAGTTGAGGATGACCATTGGCTGACCAAGCAAACTGAGGTAGATGATATCGCCTGGCAATAAAATTGTCAGCGGAGCGTACCTAGGCAAGATTTTGGTGGTACGTACCATACTGCTCACTCCAGCTGGCGAAAGTGAGCCACTCGTGTGTCTTGGGCATCTCGAGCACATTTCCGATGATAGGTAAACCCTTCGGGCCCGGTGGATAACGTGCGCGCTGCTTGTAACGAGTGACTGAGGCTTTCAGGAAGAGAGCCAATAGAATCGCTAGGATAGCCACCGCAGCGTCTGTGTAAGTCAGCATACCGAACATGGCTCAGGTGTGTAGCGGGTTGAACTCGAGATTGGCGTTGACCGACTGATACGGGCTCTGTCTGCATGGTTTTATAATCTGTGAGCCTTCCATGCGCACAGTCAAAATCTGACAGGGTGGGAACAAGTTATGATTGAAAAAGCACCCTTCCAAGGTTCCGGAAAGATTTTATGGTTATAATGGAAAAAGCCCATGGCTATAGTGAAAAGGGCTCAGCGCCACCTCTGCGGTCTCAGACGACGAAACTGTACATTGCGCCCATCGGTACATTTTCTAGCTCGGACAATGCATCCAGACTCTATAGGGTCGATTTTTAAAAAGCGCACGGGCGATGAATGGGTAAAGGGTTCGTACTTAATTTGTCTGCTCCTTGTATTCATAAAATGCAGACCTCGAACACCGCACAGCTGGATGCCAAGATGAATCTTTTCCCGGATTGCGATGCTTCAGATGTCCGATTTGTCCTGCAGAGCTATTGAGGCGGTATACCGCTGACCAGATCAAGCACGGCAGCATTTCCCCATTTTAAAGCAGCAGGTTCGAAATGCACATGTGATACTAGTCACTTCGGCCCGTATACACTTCGGCTTCACGAACGTGTGACTAAATCTGCAAGTAACATGCATATAACGGATCACTCGCTCCACTCCACCCGACTACAAAAAGCATTGAGCACGGGCCTTGTCGAGCAAGCAGAGTACATACCGCATTGCCAACAATTCATGATATGATAGGGATCGCTAGTTTGGACGCATATGAGTGTCGTTGGCAGTGTCTCGTTGCCCGGGTTTCACTTACTACTTCTTCTTAATTTCTAGCAACTTTTCATAGTTAGACCCCCAGTACGACTGTTCATGGTCGGGCTCGTAGACGTCGCCCTCGTTCTAGAAGCAGTGAGTTAACACGCGCCGCATGTGTCTCGGCCGACGACGTACAAAGTAAGCGCCGCTTCCTGGCGTCAGGTCGCGGAAGACTTGAGTATGCTGGTCAATTTGCGTGTACTCCGACTGACGGTCCTGCGCGGTGCTATTGAAGTAAAATCGCCCGCTAAGACCGAGCTGCAAATCACTGATCAGATACATTGTTAAAGCGGGCCCCGGAGGAGAGTACCTACATGCCACAGAGCGGTACGCCAGGCAGGCGTTACGCTGGTTGTGCCTTCGACATACGGGAACAAAAATGGAGTGCCGACTACGACGTAAGGGCTCGCGAAAGGCAGAACGTTTGTAATAGCTGCCGACAACGCCATTCTCCCACTGTCTGTCGCAAAGAGCGAGGTATTCAGCAGGCGAGTCCCCAACATGATTTCCGAGCCAACGGGCTACAAAGTGTCAGAGGCAAGACGATTATTAATATCCGAGAAGCTTACCACTTCCGCGGACGTCACGTACTTGAGGAAGAATGCGTTCCACGATGGCAGATCGTCGATTAATCCGGAGCCGCCCTGTGCAACTGCGAAATCGATAGCAACTTGCATCGATGCTTGAGCAGCGGATTGGTTGAGGAGCGGGTTAACATGGATCAAGCTGCCGCCCTGTACGTAAAACGGGCAGTGAACACACGCCATCAGTCTTTGTATAAGCATTGCACGTACAGCAATATGCCCTCCCCAGCCCTCCTGACCCCACCTAAGGGAGCTGTTGACCATGAGCTCGTACCAAGACACAAGATTTGACGAATTGGCAGGGAATTTAATGATAGCCCTGCGACTAGTCAGCCTCCTAGCAGTAAACAAAAAGAGTGGCGAGCTCACGCTTGCAAAGTCAGCTGGGGCTCCACCCGCATCGTGAGCTCAGTGACCACACCAAATGCGCTCCCGCCACCTCCACGCAGAGCCCAGAACAAGTCGCTATCCTCGCATTCGTTTACGGTTCGGAAGCGACCGTCGGGAGTCACAACCTTGATTTCGACCACGCGGTCGACGCCCAGGCCGTACACCGGGGACAGGATGCTATGGCCTCCGCCCTGTAGTACAGGACTCAGCGAATTTCAGTAGATAATACACCATGCGGCAAGCGCACCAGGAAATAGCCGGTCCCAATCGTTTTGTGGTATCCTCCGATGGCGGTGACGTTATGCTGGTCGGCAAAGGCGTAGAGCTGTTGCATTTCCACTCCAGTCTGCACACTGACAGTAAGTACCGGGGCTTGTAGGTTTACACGCGGACGTACTCCGATAGTGATAGCCCGATAGCTAGTGTTGCAGTTCTCTGACGTGAATGTTTCATTGAAGGTCATCTGGGATCATGAGCTTCGTTGTCTCGAGGACGTCCATCACAACACTTACAAAGTCTGCATTGAAATGCGAAACCTAATCAGACGTCAGCTAGAGCACTGAATGAATGGGACTGTCCTACCCATAGACCGAGAGTATTCCAGCCACTGGAGCGGCCCTTGTAATCGTGGCCTTTATTCTTAACTGACAGCTTAATGCCGGTTTTGAGCGAAAAGGTATACGCCGCTTGGACATGCTCAACAGACTGGACGTCAATCTACACAGCATCAATACCCGTGGCCTGCACCGCTCTCGAATCGAATGTCACTTACGTAGACTGGGGCGATATTCCCTGTCTGACAGTCTTTACTTTGATAAGCTGCAGGGTTCGTGGGGTCCGAGTCGTCCAAAAGGCAGCTCGCGCCTGTGACTTGGCACGTCTCCCACTGCGACTAGAGAAGATATGAATGGACGCCCGCATCAGTGAATGATGCACAAGAACTTACTTGCATGTACGCGCCGAAATGTTCGGAGCGAAACACAGGGTCGGTATAGTTCGCTTGGACAGCTGTGCATGCTGCAGAGTCTGGGGAGACGGCCTGACCTTCGAATAACGAGAAACATGGTAGTTCGAAGGGTCTTGACAGATGGAGATGCCCGTCGACAGAGCAATTGAGCGCAGCCCATTGTTCCCAGTCTATTCCAAGCAGCTGCGGAGGGGCGTGCGGGCTGCTTCTTCCACATGTCAGCAGAACAAAAAGACTGCCAAGACTCAGGACACGATCCAGAAACGTCATCCTGTAGGGATCCTAGAGGCTCACAGAGAAGTCCCCCATAAATGACGCACCGTCTTACATTTGTACAATGCAGGGCGCCCCAGGAAGGTTCACGGGGGCCGTAATTGTAGTATGTACCTGGCCATGAAGCGCGCGGCTGAACATTCATACAGGTCTGCATATCATTGGACAGTGCAGATCTTCGCGGTACATTGCATGACATGAATGCTGACGGAGTGACACGACTATGTACTTAAACCACAGTTAGCCGTCTTCTTCAGCGCCGCCGTCAGTTAATTGAACCTACAAATAGCTTAGCGTTTGCGATGCAACGCCATCACGAATAAAGTCATCTCTTCAGCTCCGCAGGCATGGGCTCATCGAAGAGCGCTCCGAGGAGGTTCTTCGCAGCGGTAGTCGCCATACCCAGACGCGTTTCTATCGTAGCGCTTCCGATATGCGGGAGCACTACGCATCTGCAGCACATCCTGTCAGTTCGCCATCCGGATGTGCGACGACACTGTCTCGCACCGAGGTTCCTTGACGAGTGGGTGGTCGAGTCCTACGCTGGGCTCGCCTTCTACGACGTCTATACCAGCACCCCAAATCCACTTCTCCCTGAGCGCCTTTGCGAGGGCGTCCGAATCGACGAGCGTCCCGCGAGCGGTGTTCACCAGCACAGCCGTCTCCTTCATCTTTCGCAGGAAATCCTCGTTCACGATGTGATATGTGCTGGCGCCACCTGGGGCAAGCACGAAAACGACATCGCTCTCCGCCGCGAGCTCGTCCAAGCCGACGCGCCTGACCGACCGCAGGTTGTATCTCCGGGCGGTTTCGGCGTCCGCCTCGGGATTCGGCTTGGACGAAGGGTTCGACATGTAGACGCAGTTGGTGAAACCGAAAGGGATCAACCGCGTTAGTGTGGCCTGAGAGATGCGACCGAAGCCGATGAAGCCCGCAGTACGGGTGTTATGTATCCAATTTGCGCTCAACTGAGGGCCACAAAAGCCAAAGGGGGCCCAGGCAGTTTTCGGCCACTGTGATGACAGTCAGTTCTGATCTCTTGGGACAGTACAGAGACCTACATCGCCGCGCCCAACCAGCTCCGTAGTCTCTCTGACATTGCGACCAGCCATGAGAGCTAGCATAACCGATATATCTGCGACTGTGAAACAAAGTCAGTTCAAACACTCGTGCACGAATGAATGAATGTCGTCGAACATACCAGCGTCGGTCAGAACGTCTGGAGTATATCCAATCTTGATATTACGCTGGGCTGCAAGCTGAAGATCTATGTGCTCTAAAAAAGTGCATGAGCAGTAGTAATTGCTAGACCAGAAGACGCACAGACCGTATCCCACAGACATAGTCGAAATCACCCGGAGACTTGGTCCCGCTGCATGTATTGAGGGTCATGTAAGCTCTAGTTCACGATCAGACCATCATCCACACCTGTGTCGTAAGCTTCTTGGTCCATCTAAAGCAGAATGAATATGCGATGTAAGGGAGTCACTGTGAAAACACCTTCTCGGACAGCATCACGACGACACCAATGGCTCCCGGGATGTTCTCAAGGAGCCATTTGCGCTCGCAGGGTCTATCTTCGGGCCATACCACAAGCTGTTGGAGTAGCCGTGTGCCTTGCGATAGTAAAGCGCGTGAACAGACCGTACCTCGAGCTCTTTTCTTTCCTGCAGAAGAGGCATAACGTCCGGACCCAGATTCCTCGACACGACCACCTTCATCCTCTTCCCGAACCTGAAGTGCGATTCCACCAGTGTCAGTCTCTCGCTGGCTGACGCGATACTAGAATGTAAGGACCCAGCGGCGTCTGAAAAGGACATAGTCGGCGGTTTGTGCGTGACTGCGACTGAGATGGTGGCAGAATGCCAGGAGGCTCGTCCTAGGCTCGTGGACGGACGGAAGTGGGAAGAATTAATGCCGTCGGTCCGGCTCTGGGTTTCACGTCCATGCACGCTTATTCACTTTTAAGTTTTCAGATTAAAAATTTATAGGGACGTGAATGGGCAATTCTGTAATCAAGTACTAGCAAAAGCCAGTAGGGATGAGGAGGTTATGAAGAGAGACAAAGACAGCCAAGGCCTACGCATCGAGACTCGCAAGGCGTGCGAATGTTCCATCCGAATTCGATAATCTGCACGTGATAGAGCGCAACGTAAGCAGAATCGGTAACGTACACGCGCTACCTTGTGGTCCACAAGGCATCTCACGTACTTCTTGATGAGGTTTTAGGAAACCCCATGTTACCCGCTGCTCAGGCTGAGAAATGCTACGGCATGCCAGTTGTTGCGCCCGACTGAGTTGCGTGCCGCAACTGAAGCTGAAGCCTGAGGTGCCTGCCATGAAGCTTAAGGTCGACGTTGCTTCCCTGGGTTAGGGATCCGCGGAGGTTGTAAGTAGGTCGTGGGTCCAGGCAAGTCTTTCATGATTATCCCGCGTTAGCTGTGCTTCTAATTGGAGCGATCATACTTAGCACGTTGCGGCGCCGAGTTGTTTCACAAGTGAGACAAGCAGCCTGAGAGACAGCGCAATACGGGGACCGGCTCTGTGTTTCCAGCGACGCTCACGTCTCGCGGTCGCGTGGACCGCCATTGGGTATATGAATATATAGTTGCGTTCGTGGTGGACGGAGTGAGCACCCTCTCACGCGATCCCCCGCCGTCATTGAAGTGGCGTATCCTTGTTTTGCACCTGCTTGTATCGCTATCATGCCCAGCGCATTAACAGCTCTCGATATCTTCCTTGCGCTAATCGGGGGCTTTCTCTTGCGAGCCTTTATCGCTCGCAGTAGACAGCGCGCCCCATATCCCCCTGGTCCAAAGGGTCTGCCTGTCATAGGCAATGTTACAGAAATGCCCACGTCGCATGAGTGGTTCAAATTTGCGGAATGGGCAGAGCGATACGGTGAGCGACCACTGCAGTCAATCTTACGCGACACGCCCTCTTGACCGCCGTATGGCTACGCAGGGAATATAATATATCTAAACCTCTTGGGCCAGCCCATGATTGTCCTCAACTCTGCCGAACACGCCGTCGCGCTTCTTGACAAGCGCAGCAACATCTACTCTGACCGACCCGTGCTCATGATGGGAGGAGAGATCGTCGGCTGGAAATACAGCCTCGTGCTATCACCCTACGGGCAGCGATTCCGCGATTACAGGCGCTTCATCGCGAAAGTGATCGGCGGGCCGACCCAGGTCAAAGCTCTTTTGCCGCAGGAAGAATATGAGACGAGACGCTTCCTGAAGAGAATACTCAACGACCCGGAGCGCATCTCTGACCATATTCGGAAGTAGGTACACTGCTTCCACCATTCGTTTCTGAGCTGATCCATGCGGCAGGACGGTCGGCTGCGTTATCCTCAAAATCTCGCATGGATACGAAGTTCAGGAAGGGCATGACCCCCTGGTCGAGCTTGTTGATACGGCAACTGAACAGTTCTCTCTGGTGACGTCTCCTGGAGCGTTTCTTGTTGATGTCTTTCCTCTGTTGCGCTACGTGCCTGCCTGGATGCCTGGCGCAGGATTTCAGAAGAAGGCCCGGGAGTGGAGACGGATGGTTGAGCGGGTGTCGGACGAGCCGCACGAGTTTGTGAAAACGAGAATGGTTGGTGTGAGTTAAGCTGTTACTTTACGACACTGACGAGCTAGGCATACAGGAAGAGAATACAAACATCCCCAATTTCACCTCCGAGCTCCTACAGAGCGAGACATTAGTCGGGGATAAAGAGTTCAACATCAAGTGGGCCGCTACTTCTCTCTATGCCGGTGCGTTCACGAGGCACCGCCGCACCCTGATTGCTCACTTGAAAGTCTCAGCTGGCGCTGATACCACAGTGTCGGCAATTTACTCATTCTTCCTCGCCATGACCTTGTATCCTCAGGTCGCGGAACGTGCACAGGCGGAGATTGATTTAGTCGTTGGTAGCGACCGTCTCCCCAACTTCGAGGACCGGCCAAATCTGCCCTATGTCGAAGCGCTGGTAAAAGAAGTCTACCGTTGGAATCCTGTAGCTCCGCTCGGTAGGCATGCATCTCCGTTTTGGCAGCGCGGAATCACTTAACACGCGTAGGTGTACCGCACCGCTTGCTCGAAGACGATATGTACGACGGATATCTAATACCAAAGGGCTCTATTGTCATCGCCAACATATGGTTCGTCCCGTGTGAGTCTCCTGTTTGGAAGAAATCTAACAGCCTTGCCAGGAAAATCCTACACGACCCCAAGCTCTACGCTAACCCTTTCGTGTTCGACCCTGCGCGTTTTCTTCCCGAGGATGGTCACATGCCCGCCCCAGACTCCAAAAACTACTGCTTTGGTTTCGGCAGAAGGTACGTGGCCATATCCACGCATTCACATGTGCTGATTGCGACACCACTATCCAGGATATGCCCAGGACTTCATCTTGCGGACGCCTCGGTTTTTACTGCATGCGCTATGGTACTCGCGACGTTCGTTATCACCAAAGCCGTTGAGAACGGCAAAATCATCGAGCCCGAGGTTGAGTACACGAGCGGAACAATCAGGTATACTATCGTACTGCCCCTATCAGAACTTTGTTCTGACGTTTCTTGCTTTCTAGTCATCCAAAACCGTTTAAGTGTACTGCTAAGCCGAGATCTGCGAAGGCGGAAGAGTTAATCCTGTCTGTGGACGAACAGAATTAAAAGGCAAAAGGCGCGCTCTTTTCTATGACGCCTCCGCGTACCGCTGCACACTAACGACGCACTTGATTTCACCTATGTTCTACACCAAAGTCAGCCGAGACACGCAGTCGGTAGGTCCGAGCTTGAGAATATGCGGCGAAATCCTTCCTCCTTTAGCATATTTCCGCTTCTCAGAAGCTTGTAGTTGACCTTTCTTTCTCTAACTTATATGAAGCCGAAAGTTTGCAAATAGCCAAAGTGCGATAGAGCTCTAAGCATCTTCCATGGATTTATCGTTCATAATTTTGTGACTTGTCAGCTTGCACAAGTCGACATTAGACGTGAAGCGTTTGCATGTGCCGTCTCTCGAAGTTGTAAGGGATTGAAGTGCGTCGCGCGCCGGCGCTCAGCGGTTCTCGGGGTCAACGTTTCAACTCTGACCCCGAGTGGTGTGACGCATCACGTGCCAGGCCGGAGGGCGTGTTCGTGGGCGTCGCGTTAGTTTCGCGTCTACCACCACCTCCTGGGCCACTGCGGCCCAAGCTTACCCTCTCAAGTCTCTAATACCTAGCTTGTCTGAGCCGATATATTTCCAGAGAAATGGTTGCCCAGACGAGGACAGCCGGGCAGCCGTCACCCAAGAAACTCAAGTTTCACGACAAGCTTACCACCAAGAACTCCACGACCGATGCCCTACAGAAGAAACTCAAGGCCCTCCACACAGAGCTTGCGGCGATGGACCAAGAGACCGTCGACACTGGTTCTTTCTCAGGTGTGCGTAAGGAGCTCGTGAATACCTCGATACTCCTGCACAAGGACCGCGGCGTAAAGGCCTATGCCGCTTGCTGCCTCGCCGATCTGCTCAGACTCTACGCGCCCGACGCACCCTATACCCGTGACGAACTTCGCGACATCTTTTCTTTCTTCTTCAGGCAGCTCTCGACGGGTCTTAAAGGCCCCGACTCGCCGTACTACAACGAGTACTATCACCTTCTCGAGTCGCTCTCGACTGTCAAGAGTGTCGTGCTCGTCTGTGACCTGCCTAATGCCGAGGATCTCATGACCGAGATCTTTCGTAGCTTCTTTGGAACCGTCCGCATGAACTTGGCGAAGAAGATTGAGCTTTTCATGTCTGATATCCTCGTCGCCCTCATCGACGAGTGTCAGAGTTTGCCTGCAGAGGTGCTGGAAGTTATTATGGCGCAGTTCATGGACAAGAGTGCGGTAAGTAATTCCCGCATCTGCAGTGTCGCGTGTCCTGAAAGGCAGTAGCGCATGGAGCAACCCGCCTACCGCCTCGCTGTGAAAGTCTGCACCGACACCGCAGACAAGCTGCAGCGGCACGTCTGCCAGTACTTCACCGACATTATTGTCGAGCATTCACGTGATGAAGATTATGAAGAGATGCAGACCGCGCACAATCTCATTAAGCGATTGAACAGCGCATGCCAAGCGCTGTTGCACAACGTCGTTCCTCAGCTAGAAGAAGAACTCCGCGTGCAAGAGAATCAGATTCGCGTTATGGCGACTCAGACACTTGGCGAGATGTTTGCGGACAAGGGCGGTGGCGACCTCGTTCGGAAGTACCCGTCCACCTGGAGCGCGTGGCTTGCGCGCAAGAACGACCAAGCTGTCGTTATCCGTCAGGCATTTGTGGAGACTGCCAAGGGTGTGCTCGTGACCATGACTCTGCCGGAACCAAGGCAACAAGTTGGAGACGCACTGCAAGGCAAGCTCCTCGACCCAGACGACAAAATACGGTCAGCGGTTTGCCGGTTGTACTTCCAGCTGGACTACGAAACCGCCCTACATCATGTATCAACGGAACAACTTAAGTCGGTTGCATCTCGAGGCATTGATCGTAAAGTAAGTTACTCGTCCTTTCGTTACTGACACTCGACTGAGCACGAACCAAAGCCGTCTGTCCAGGTGGAAGCCATGAAGGCTATCGCAAGACTGTATACTTTAGCATACCCTGAGATGTGAGTATATGTGCCGCTCATTTCCTGTGCTGAGCCGTTGACTATTCCTGATGCAGTGAGAATAACGACGCAGCCGCTATCGAGCATTTCTCGTGGATACCCCAGTCCATCTTGCACATGGCAAAGACGTCTCTCGAAATTAAGTACGTTAACTTCAACTCCAGCGTCCCCTGTTCAGTCCTGATTTGTGTTTTTGCGTCGTTAGGGCGCTAGCAGAACAAGTCATCGCTGATTATATCCTTCCTCTTCCTGCTGCGTCCTCTTCAACAGGCAAGACATCTGAAATCGACGAAGTTGCTTGGACGGATAGGCTGCTGACAACAATGAAATATCTGGATCCAATAGCGGTCAATACGCTACTTAGTTTGTCCGGACTGAAAATGCCGTAAGTCTAAGTTTTGACGCTGCGCACCCCTGCGATCTGACACCGTTCCTATAGGCGACCCACAGCATATGAGCATTACATTGAGTCTTGTATAGCTAATAACGTAAGAACTCGTGTTTTCAAGGAAGAAAGCTTACTCATTAGGGAATAGGGTGGCATCATCGATGAGGGCGAAGACAAGATCATTGCTCAACTCGACCAGGACATCAAACGCGTCGCGGGTATGCCTCTCAACGTTATTATTCTTCATATGAATCCTGACCCGCATGTTAGCTATGCTCCCTGATCCACAGAAAGCGATCGAAGACTTGCAAGCGTTTGCAACGCTGAACGAAGGTCGACTTTACAAGCTGTCCAAAACCTGTATGGATGTGCAGACAGACATCAAAACACTTGTGAAATCCCAGGTCAGCATATTGACCGCTTAGCTGAGCTCGGCCCTCACCCGGCAGGCCTGCAGCTTCCGATGACCGTAATTGCTAACCACCACTTGCCCTTCGTTCTGCTCACATAGGCTGAGTTCACCAAACGCCTCGACCAGTCCTCTTCCAGTTTGGTGCAGACAATGACGACTTTACTCCGGCGTGCGAGCTTACACCTCGTAAATCAATCCTCGGTACCGGTTCTTCTTCAGCGTATCGCACGCGGGACAGATACCGATGGGACCCTCACTGACACCGCTCAAAGTGCACGGACGTGGCTGGTCTTCGTTGCCAAGCATCAGCCCGCGTTATTCAAGCACCACGTCGGCGAGCTCGTCAAGGCGAGCGCGGACGAGCGCAAGCCGGTACTTATCGAGACGGCGCTCCATGCACTATCCGCAGTATCGAAATGGGACGCGAAGGCAGCGCCAAGCGATAAGTAAGTCCCCATCAACGCTATTTGGACCAAACTCACGTACGTCATTCAGGCGGACGCTCGAGCGGCTACAGCATTTCGTCATGGACGCGAATCACCAGCATGCCAAGTTTGCGGCGCGAATACTAACATGCGTGCCCGGCAAGGATGAAATATGTTCTGCCATCCTCGATGTACGCTTCGTTTTAGTCTTTCAGTCACTCCCTAGGTGCTAATACACTTCGCAGCAAATTGCCGAGGGACTGTCGGAAGCGGACCCTGAGTTACTCGCCGCACACGTGGTAGTACTGGCGCAGCTTGCAACTCGCGTGCCTGATGCATTCGAAGAGCGCAGCGAAGTGATCACGTCGTACCTTCTGAAGCATGTTATCATGGTCCCCATGTCTGCCGATCAGGTATGTTTCCCGCTTACGCAGGTCCTGTTGACATGTTGACATAGACGCAGGATGTGATGTACACAGATGAAGAGTGGGTTGAAGACGCGTACGTCTGGCCGGAGCTACGCGCACGGGTCGCTGCGCTCAAAGTGTTTCGTAACCGCCTGCTTGCACGTGCCGAGAGTCAGGAAGCGAAGGAGCTCGCGAAACCCGCTCTGAAGATGTTCCTCACCATCCTCGAAAATCAGGGATCTGTCAGGCTTGGACTAGATGACGAGTAAGTTTTACTTGCTTCTGGGTTCAGGGAACGTATGTTGACTGGTGCACTAGCCCGCGAGCGAAGTCTCGGGTGCGCCTGCAGGCCGCAATCAGCCTGCTGCGTATGGCCACCGTCAAGGACTTTGCGGAGTCTATTGCGCCAAACTTCGTGGTACTCGCCTTGGTAGTTCAGGACGCGTGCTACCAGGTGCGCATCACGTTCGTCAACAAGCTTGTTGGTCTCCTCACAGCAATGCGCCTGCCGCCGACCTACAACGTCGTGCCATTCTTGAGTGTGCATGACCCAGAGAAAGATGTCGTAGACATGTGCCAGGCATATGTTCAGCATGCAGTGAGAATGATGCCAAAGCGTAAGTGAGCTTTTTTGTCGAGTGGGTAGAGTCCACTAATAAGTGTTGTGCAGAGCTGCGGTTGCAATATTTTGAGATGATGTTCGTCCGGCTTTTGCATTCGTTGGCGCACCACCCAGATTACGCCCTTAACGAAGAGGCAGTTCAGGATATCGCAAAGTACGTACATACTCCCCCCAATTCCATTGGAATGCCCTGCTGAGCAAGGTCTTAGATACATCGAACTATACCTCGATATGATCTGCACTTCAGAAAATCTGTCGCTCCTCTATCACCTCACTTCGCGGCTAAAAATGGTCCGTGATTCCGAAGGACACACCTTTAGCGAAGTGCGTATCTAGCACGTTCCACTCACTTGTGTACTGTCTTAACATGTGTCGCAGCATTTGTACGCGCTCAGCGAGCTTGCCCAACGGCTTCTACGAGTGCGCGCAAAGCAACACAATTGGCCACTCGACACTTTCCCTGGCAAGATATCTCTCCCTGGAGGGATCTTTGCGAAGCTGCCCAGTCCAGAGGCATGCCGCGAGATCGTGCAGACGACGTATCTACCCGAGAATCTCCTCGGATGGTTGGCGCAGCGTGAGAATCGACATGCGACTGCTGCAAAGGAGAAGCCGAAGGCGCAGCGTAAGGCACCCGTCAAGCGGAAAGCAGCCGAGCCGAAGGCAAATGGGCATGCCAAGTACGTGACATGCTTCCCCTTCCTGGATTGTCTAGCTTATTGATGCGGTGCATAGGAAACCGCGTACAAAAGCCAGGAAGCGGAAAGCGGAAAGTGAGGAAGAGGAAGATTCTGAGTCTGAAGAGGAGGACGAGGACGAAGATGAGGATGAGGAGGAACCTCCGCGGAGCTCAGTTCAGCCATCCGAACCTGATGTGGAGGAGGAAGCAAAGGAGGAAAGGCTCGGACGAGGTGCTCGCACCCGTGCCAAGGTACGTCGCCATCACTCGTATTGTCGTTGTCCGTCGACGCTGATGTTCCCGACTATAGGCGAAAATAAAGCAACAGATTAGGAGGCCCACAAAGCCGAGAGCGCGAGCGGGCTCCGACGATTGAGATATCGCTGAATTTGTGCCTCTCAGCTGGCAATGTTCTCTGGTCATCTTATTAGTCCCATATTTACTTCATCTCCACCGGTGTGTCACTGTGCTGTCATCATCTTCTGTGTAATTGCTGTCCATAGCTGCGTTGCCAACATTTGCACGTTCAGGAATGTTTTATTCTTCAGTAACTTCTGCACTGTGTGAAGCCCTCTGATATACCGCTTCACTAATCGAGACTTATACGACGCACTGCTCTCGTGTACTGTAGAATATGCGATGTCAGGACCACGTACTTCGTATCTGGAGCCACCACCCGAACTGCGCGAGTACAATAATCTGTGTCTTCCCTCTCGCCGTCTCTGTTCCCACATCGGCTGCCTCAGGGGTCAAGCTGTCCAGACAGGGGAGAAGGCTGCGTTTGCCGTGAAGCATCGTAGGGTAGGCCAGCCGTTCCTCCGGCTGTGCAGTGTCATCGGAAAAGTAGGCAGTTGGTCGGGTGCTAGTGGGGCCGATCTCGTAGTAGGTGAAGAGAAATTCCAGGCACGATATGTGCTCAGTCGTCACTTCGTTTGGAGACTCTTCGTGCACCAGTGCATCCAGTGTGCTTGAGCAGACGCTGAATAAGGGAAGGAGCTTGACCCTATCCAAGGCTCCAGGCAGAGCTTGAGGCCTATGGACGGGGTGATGTGGGTGGGTCTTCGCAGGCTCGGAATTTAATCTATTGCTGTAACCACAATAAAGAATCTGTTGGGGCTTATGCTCGTGACCCTACTTGAGGACACGAGCTTATGCATGTCGTCGGGAAGTATATAGATTGAGTTTTGGGCACGACTACCCTGTGCAGACACGATGAATCTTCCTCAGCTGATGTGTAATTATTTTCTTACCTAAGAAATCTCTCTTCAAAGCCCTAGTGCATGTTACGCCACACGCGTGATGATGGACTGTATTCATAATATATCCGTGTTCTAGATTCAGACGCATGGAGTATCGTAAAACTTCTCCGCTATTGCAGTGAGGTGTAGGTAGTTAAATAAATAATCACGATAATAAACTAAAACCATTGGTCAAAGAGAAGTGTGATATAACGAGATGATGGAGTTTACGCAATGGTAGTCCTTGTGGTGTTCCGCTGTCTACGTATGAAATTTGACACGGCGCAACTGCAAGTCCAGTTATGAGAAAACAAATCGAAGCCGTCATCACGAGAGTCATGTAAGAGGCAGCACGAAAGGGGTACGAACTCCACACGGCCGAAGAGAAGACGAAGGTAAGATGAAGGGGGTGAGATAGCAGGTGGGGGTTGGCCAGTTACTGCCGAAGCACAACGCCACGAGCTGCCATGCATTGACGGCGGGAATCTGATCGCGTTAGCGGGTATGTGGAGATAAAGTCGAGTGCGAAAGGGTAGTAGCGGTAGTGCTACTTTGGGACGTCAGATGAAGGGCGCGGCTGATTAGGAAGGTGAGCGTGGTAGACAACGGGAAGGCTAGGAGTATGTGACTTACTGGCCGTCTCAGTGCTCAAAGTTGAAGTCTACCCCTTCGGAGTCGAAGCCCGCATTCGAATTAGAGTCGGCCGTGCCAGAGTCCAAATCCATCAACTCTATCCTCTCTTCTGCGGAGAGAAACGGCTTGACGTCTGGGAATGTTGCATTGATGGCCTGGTAGAGCTTTGTCTCCAGGGATACATGGCAGTCGAATGTGTGGGGGGAATCGGCGGGGGAAGATAATGCACAGAGAGAATGGTCTAAAAAGGCTAGCGTTTGTGCAAGTTCCTCCGCAGATTTGCTGTAGCCCCGTTTGAATGAGACGACAACGCGGTCGAGGTCGTAGAAGTTTGATATCGTAGCCTCTCCATCTCTGTCCATGAATATCTCGATGGTGTAGTCCGAAAGTTTGACTGCACAGGCACAGAGAGCATGTCTGTGAGCCACCATGTCACAAGCGCAGAGAACCGAGAAATCTCACCTTTTAACAGGCACCCTTTGTTTTCGGGCGAGGGTTTATCCAGCCAGATAGTACACTGTCCTCGATCGTTGGCATCGCTCATCAGGGCATGCAGTTCTATAATAACCCGGGCGATCTCCCCGAGGGCATTCAAGTCGTCAGGGTCAGGGTCAAATATAGCGTCACCGAACGTTCTGAGGCCTCGCGACGTTGTTGAAGAATCCAGCCTGCCTCGGAACGCGAGCGATAAGAACGTAGGTAACGTACGAACCGGGATGCGACAGTCCACCATCGTGAAAATATTCAGCTCGTTCAGAACGACCGATGGTGGCCAGTAAGAGCGTTCGAAGCCTTGCAGGACGGAGATACACGTGAGATCAATATGGGCAATCTGAGGATGTGCGCGAATGATACAAAGAAGTTGTCTGAGCGACTTGAATTCGACGTGACTTATCTGCAAACTATCTAGACGTCGGAGTGGACGCAGGAGCGCTGAGACTGCGGTCTCGAAACGTGGCGGGGCTTCTTGAACACGATCTGCCAGAGATCGAGGTTTGGCCCACTCAAGACTTTCGACCTGTTGTAAGTTTCGACCTAGTGATGAGAGGGCTAGCGCAAGACTCGGAACCTGGACAGAGTGCAGTGGAGCTCTCTCGGCACCTATGACCACGATTGGTGGAGAGTGCACCGGATCCGCAGCTTTAAAAATGACCTGTAAGCGGCGTAGCTGAGTCGTAGTTCTTACAAGGACAATATTGAACAGATTAGGACGGCATATTTTCGCCCATACACGAGAGACCATGGCAAGCCGGCTTGAACACTTGATATCACTGGCGAAAGGGTATATCAATTCAGAGCCTGAGCCGGCCGTCCCATACCGGGCTAAGGACTGCTCACTCTCGAACAGCTTCCGCGGCGAAGGCAGCAATCATGAGAACCAATTCATTGGGAAGCCGTTTAGCAGCGTGTTCGAATCGTGTCCGCCGCGCTTTGAAGCGGCGCTCAGTAAAATGATCTACATCGAATGCAAATTTCCGCTGGCCAAAGTTGACGACTACAGAATAAGATGTGAGCTTGACTCGGTCGTTTTCCCAGTCGCTCAGGCAAAGAAGGGGGCGCAGTCTTCCATCTTTGAGGTTGTCGATGTCCTGTGAGCCGCCTGTGGTAAGTAAAGTCTGGTGAGCCTCAGATTCCAGACCTTCAAATTTTGACGAATCTTACCCTGAATCCGGAAACCGTTTCTGGTGTAGAACACATGTCCGTCAGCGCGAGAAACTCCGCATCCAAGCGTCTCGCTGACTTTGGAGCGCACAACATCAAGTGATACAAAGAATTCGTCATATGCACAAGCTTACCCGTACGGAAGTCAAGCCCAGCCGCTTTGGGGCCCGAAGATGAAAGTGGGCCCACTACAAACTCCCTATGGCAAATGGTTGGGCTGACAGTTCAACTTTGTGGCTAGGTTCCCGCCATCCGACGGGTAGTTCTCTGCCATTATGTTACAGTCGAAAGTCGGTTTCAGCAGCGAGAAAGCCCCAAGAAGTGTAGATAAGATACGCACCCCAACATAATGCACATACTAGACTCGTGAAGAGATTCAAGAGGATACGTCATAGCATTGGACGGAAGACATTAAGCTTTAGCCTACCTCGAATCGCCTTGCACAAGAGCTTTAACACGAGCTTCGTAGTATTAAAAGGGGCAGGATGGATCGATACTACCGTCCGTAATGTATGACTTGGACGGGTCTGTGGGCTTCTCGAGTGTAGTCGCATGCATGTTTGTCCGCAGTTCTTCGCACAGGTCGCGCATCGGGTCGGGGAGGCCCTCGTCTAACACGATCCCGTTCAAATAGTTGCAGGTGTGCGGGAGGAGGCGTGCCATGACTGAGGAGACGGTTAGAGTCAAAGGGCCAAGCTTCGAGCGCGTCGGAATCGCAGCCTACACGTGGAGATCAACCGACCGGAACAGCCTTGCAGACCTTTTCAAATATTCGCCACATTCGAATAAAGAAGTGTTGGGACATGGTCATACATGTCTGAAAATTTGAGGATCAAACGGAATTGCTCGTTCCAGTCAACCCTAGATTCCGCATATTACGAGCGCTCCGGCGCCCACTGGTGGCGCAGATCCGCTGATGCGCCAATGCGCCTGCCGCCATCAACGAACGCAAAACTTCGCAAACTCTCCTCCATCCCGCTACGATGCTGAGGCATTTGAACAAGGGTCTTGAACCGCTGCAGAGATGTTGGCATTGTTGCCGTGCGTTTTCTGGTCTTGATTGCCTGGTAATCGGAGGCTCGATACTGCAAACCCTTAACAGCTCAAGACGGCTCCCGCTCAAGATCCCTCCTCTTTCGCGTTTCCGAAGTCCTATCCTGCACGAAGCCAGAATCCTTCCTTTTGTAGTGTAGTTCGACGTTGCCAACATATGGACCACTTCTAGGTGCCTTGGGAGATGTGCGTAAATATGACAACATTAAACGGGGTTGGCCAGGTAGCTCACAAATGGTGCGTACACTCGTATTCTCGGCTGTGTAGGTAGGATAGACCATCGTGCTGTAGGGTATATACGCAAGAGGATTCCCCTGGGCGACAATATTCCCCCACACCTACATGGTCGATGTGCTCCCACTTCCCCGGCCTTCCGGCCATCTTCTTGCTATTCTGCACAAGACACACGCATGGCTGCAGCCGACGACAAGCAAATTTATCCGTGGAAAGTCTACCCACATTGTGCGCAACGTCATGAGGCAGTTTCCAGAATGCGTCGCTGAGGAAAGCGTGCTTCGCGCTTCTGCGCATGGCACGGGGTTCCAGCGAGAGCGGGGCAGCTGATATGCGTCTGGGATGCCGGAAGGTTAGGCTGTGAGTCACGGATGACACAGCGCGCTCCTTCGGCGGTTGCGCTCCGGATGTGGCTCGCGGTGTCGGTAAGTGCTCGCGTTGTACCCCACTGCTTTCAACGATCACCAATCCGTATGACCTGTCGTGCTAATACGACGGATCAGGATCATAATTATACATAGAGCAATGCACAGAGCAGTGTCTGAGCCGATGACGAAAGAGTCAAGATTGAGACTGTCGAGGCTGCGAAGGGAAGGCCAGTCAACCGCTCTTGCATGTTAGTCGGTATTCGCGAACGTCCTCAAGTTACCACAGTATGTATGGCTTCCTCAATGTCACTATCGTCGCAGTCGACCTTCCAACAACGATGAAATGCGAACCAGTACAATAAGCATGAAAACGTGGCGCTTGGGTTGGACAGACCGTGGTGCGGCGTATTCTGTCTGTTCTGTCTCCACTAATCAGCGAGCACGATCTGTATTATTCCGTTCCCGACCTCCTCCAATTCCGCCCCGATTTCATCAATTACCTCGCGCTCCAGCCTCAGCTCCTTCAAGGGACCTTCCCGCTGCGCCTGCCGCGCTACAAGGTCTTGAAGCACCGTGTAACAGTCAAGCTTGCGGGGGCCGGTGACTAACACAGTGTGTAGCAAGGGAAGGAAGGCAGGGTTCTCCGCGAGGCACCGCAAGACGGGCGAGCCTTTTGTTCGATCATTGCGAAGCTCGAAGTGCACCGCATTAGGCGCATATAAGAAGAGATTGCCGTCATATGTCGGCGAGTATGCGTACATATATGTGTTTCGGAAGCAGAGTTCGCGGATGCTCGGGAATGCACGAGGCGGCTGGGGTTGATTGGTCCTGGAATCCAGGAATGTGTCGACGCATAGTCGTCTAAGTATCGGTGCATCCATCTGGTCCAGGATTCCGAGTTTCTCGACGGTGAAATATTCGTCGATAAAAGTGAGCGACTGCAGACTGGGAAAGGGTATAATGTTGTTTATCCCAATGACAGACCCGACAGAGCTGAGAGTCAGGCTTGAGAGTTGCGGAGCAGCGTTTGACAGCGCATGCAGATCTAGGATGCTGATGTTGCAATGGGTAATGCATAGGCTTCGCAAGCTGTCGAAGGAAGAAGAGGAATATTCCACTGGCAGCGCTAAGAGATGAAGGTCCTTGAGATTCGGATAACAGAGCTGGAAACGAAGATCGGCCTCCATGTCGTCCTCAGGGTCAAGGTTCTGATTGCTGATGCTCAAATAGGACAGTACCGGCAGGGAGCGCTGCTGCATCGTGTAGAGCAGCTGGGCAAGAACGTGGCCGTAGCAGCTGCTGATATCTAAGAGCTGAATGCGATCCGCGTAATCGGCGAGAAGAGACTCTAGGCACGGCATGTGCCTAGTCGTTACCCCCTCTGGTTCTGGAGGCTGTTCGTCTTCATCTGTTTCGGTGCCCGAGCAACGGATGAACAGGGGAAGGAGCTCTGTTCTATCCAGATAGAGCTTGAGCATGTCCATGGAAGGGGTGACATGAATGTATCTCCAAAGGTACGGGAGAGAAGTAGCAAGCCGCCGCCAGCGACACGAGACGTGAGTGGGAACGGTGGCATAACCGCATTGGCAGCTCTGGTTGAGTCTGTGCTCGTAAGCTTCTTCAAAGATGAGTTTCAGCACGTCGTCGGGAAGGGCGTTGATTGGGGCTTCGTCGGCGCGGCTAGCATCATAGACCTTGTTCATTTTTCGGGCCTGCAAGGAGTCAGAGCCTGCACAGTCTTCCGGAAACGGGTCCCCCACCTATTATTGACGAGCTCTGGCTGCGGTGACTTTTCGATTGCTGTACGCCGTGGCGGCAGGGTTGGAGTTTAGAGTTTAACGTTAACGTTCAACGTTTAGAGTTCGGAAGAACCGTTCAACACGCGCGCATACCAGGCTAAGTTAAATCTCTACCTCTATATACATTGTGCATCGTTACGTCTGAAGTAGTGTATCTGAAGCTACATAGTACTTGTACGCAACTTCCAAACTTGAACGGTCTCTCATCATCTATAGGTCGCTATCCCAAATCTGGCTTCCGAGTTGCAGCCCTTTCAATGGACATCCATTCTGCGCCTGGTGCTTGGCGACGTCGAGGAAGGCGCTATGCGTGGCTTCCGAAGGGTCAGTAGATATCAAGTTCCCAAGGGAACGTAAGCGCATCAGAGGCCTCAGCACTGCCCTGAGGTAGTACTCCAGGATCTCATTGGAATCCATCTCGAACAACAACGTCGTGAGGTCCGACAACAACTTCGCGTCTAGATTTATTCTTCCCTTTATAGCAGCGACAGCATCGATCCAGTTAAACTACTCAAAAAATGTCAGTGCAGTAGAACTTGTTGGAAAAAGACCAAAGACGCCCAAAGGCGTGATGCGGTGATGCGGAGTCGGGAATCGGGACGCCCGCCCGCTCCAGACCCGCTCCTCGGATTGTCGTTGGTTCTACAGATTATCATTCAGCCTTCAAGCTTCAAGCTTTAACCTTCAAATATACAGATTCAGCTATAACACTTCGCCAATATGCCGAGGACTGGTCGGTGACTATGTAAAACTGTGGGGTATTCATCCCGTAGTGCCTAACTCTGCAACGCCATCACCACGGCTAAGTTCTCGCTGCTACTCTGGTCTCGTTTGGCCAGCACTGGCTTTGATGTTGCTTGCATAGTCTGTTACCCTCTCATCCTCGTGCGGTGTAGCGACACATGCTCCATGTCCGTCCCGACCTCCAGCTGCGCAAGTCCATCTTTACACATTCAGGGAATCATTCCGACGTCTCGAGAGTGCCACAATGACGCGCATCTGCACGGTTGTGACGCGACAATGAAGACGGCGCATTCCGATCCTATGGCCGAATACGTTCAATAAGCGGGAAACCGGGTCCTTGGGATATGAAAACCACCCATGGCGCAGGTGAGCGATCCTGCGGTGTCGAGAGGTATAGTGCTCACAAAGCAACCTATTTGGCTGCACAGGCTTGTAGAGTTCACGTCCGACAGTCGTGTGCGAAGACCAGCGCACGGGTATGCTTGCACAAGTTCTGTTCGCAAAGGTTGTTTTGTCGGGAGCTAAACGTCGCGCCGAACCCCGGACGCTTATTCGTTTCAAATCCGAAGATGCGCTTTCATGCGAGAAATTGCATGCAGAGTTGAAGACAAAAACCGGCTTAGCTTGGGGAGAGGTCTGCACAGCAGAGGCTACGGATGAATAACGGCCCAGAGATTTGGTGCGTGAACTGCAGCCGTATCTACATCTATTGTATGCTTCCCCTAATGGTGCCACAGATATAATGACCAGCCTCTGAGATGCCACCAGATGACCCCGAGTGAAAACATATACCAAGCCCCACTCCATTCCACTGATACCGATATCTTCATCCGCGCTGGTCGCACATACAAACTTTGAGTGGTGTAGCTCGCTGAATTGTGAAGATGTGCCCCACGCTTTCGCGCTCAGTGACATTAGCAAAAAAACAAAAAAATTGACGCTACTCTGGAATATCGGAAGAGCGAGCTGTGTGTCGCACGTGACAGACGCAGTACTCTTGAGATGGCATGAGCCAACAGCGACTCGCTGTCTTGGTGAGTGCCTACGATTCACGCTACTTCAACGATTGCTAATTCATACCAGTCGCAAACGTTTCAATGGATCCACTCTTCGAATGCCTTACCAAACATACGAGGAAGGGCAAGATCCAGCGATTCGCCTAATCATCCTGTGCCGTCCTCTCCGAACAAATCGTTCAACAGTCATAAAGCAACCCGCGCGCCGCAATTGAAAATAGCTCGGCGCGCGAACAACAACACTGTCACGTCTTCCCGTCACCACAGACTGTTCTTGACGTTTAGACTTTCGCTGAGAACTCTTGTCTCCACCAACGGCAGATATGGTCGCGTCAACATGATTTGTCTACGGCCCGCACTTCACTCACGAGCTCTGCCTGGCGTGCTTCGATAAGCATGATAGCTAACGGAGAATGTACGGCAGAGCGAAATACATATATAGGGCCCCTCAGGATTCGCCAAAGTACCATTCCCCTCCCACGCATTCGTATCGCATCCAAGATGTCTTTCCTTGGCCCTATCATCCCATGGGCTGCGTTGGGATGCTTGCTTCTACTGTTGTGGAAGCTGGTGGGAAACTATGTTCTCCGATCGCCATTGGATGCGATACCCGGCCCGACTCCACCGTCACTTCTCAAAGGTACATTTCGTGTGTATCCCTGGCCGCAGCTTACGAGTACCGACTCCGCTGGTCGATGATAGGCAACATGGCGCAGTTGCAGGACCGTGGCGCCTGGCCATTCCTCAATCATCTCACAAACGACTACGGGCAGATTGTGAAATGCACTGGGATGTTGGGGGTGAACAATCTTCATGATCATGAACCGCAGACCGTTAGTAATGCCTAAACCTCTCGCTTACAGAGACGCGTATTATGGGTCTTTGACCCGAAGGCCATGCATCATGTCGTTGTTAAAGACCAAGACCTCTATGAGGAGGCGCCGTCTCAGATCACGTGCGTCGTTGTACATTCGCAATGCACAATTAGCACTGATATACTCCCTCACAGAGGACGCAGGTTGAGCACTGGCCCAGGCTTGTTGGCAACCCTTGGTATGAGGAAGCATACACGATATTTACACGGGCTTAATAACGTTGTTGTTAGGCGAGCATCACCGCAAGCAACGCAAGCTTTTGAACCCTGTGTTCTCCATCGCACACATGCGCCGACTGACGCCGGTATTCAATGAAGTCGTGAATCGCGTACGTAGTCTGCATCTCGAGTCACGCTCCCTACGTGACCGTGATGGTGCAGCTCCGCACAGGTATCAAAATGCAATTGAAAACGTCCCAGAATGGGGAGGTGGATGTTCTTAATTGGATGGGCCGCGCAGCGCTCGAACTCATTGGCCAGGGTGGCTTCGGACATTCCTTCGATCCGCTGGTTGAGGACGTTCAGAACGACTTCGCGGACGCCGTTAAGGATTTCATGTACGCTTACTTCCTTTTATTGAGCCCGCGCTTGCTGACCGTACAGACAGGCCTACCCTGTCTCGCCTCGTCTTCTTCCGCCTGATGATACACCTCCTTGACCCTTTCATCGAACTCTGTCAACGGTATCCCGCCCTCGGCGCGTTTGTCAAGCGGCACTTTCATTTCGTGCCACACAGCAGCATGCGGCACATGAAGGATATCCTCGACGTTCTAGAGAGCACATCCTGGCGGATCTACACGGAGAAGAAGGTTGCACTCGATAGTAACGATGAGGGGTTGAAGATGAGAGTCCTGGAAGGTCGAGATTTGATGAGTGTCATGCGTACGTGTGCGTATCTCGAATGCGGAAGTGTAAGCTGACTTAGAATGTCCTCGGCAGTGCGGGAGAACATGAATGCCGACGCCGCGGACAGGCTGCCTGAGGAAGAGATCATTGCACAGATAACGTATGGCCATTGCGCCGCTCTGTGCCGGCTTGGGTATGCTAATTACTGGCGCGACTTATGTGCAGGACATTTACGTTTGCAGGCACCGACACAACTTCCAACGCAGTGGCGCGAATCCTACACCTGCTCTGTCTTCACCCCGATGTTCAAGAGAGGCTACGCTCTGAGCTGCTCGAAGCTCGCTCTCAAAACGGTAGTCAAGATCTGGAGTACGACGAGCTTGTGGGCCTACCCTACCTGGATGCCATCTGCAGGGAGACGCTGCGCCTGTAAGCCGCCCTTTCGACAACGACAAGGAGCTATTACTGACGTGAACAGCTATTCTCCGATCGCATTTGTGTCTCGCGAGTACGCCTTATATACCGTATCACATAACTTCGGCTAATTATGGTACGCTCCCAGGAATACACGAGACGTCGTTATGCCCCTCAGCACGCCGCTCACGTTGCGCGACGGTACTTCAACTACATCCATTCACGTCCCGAGGGGCACCGCCATCATGGTCGGCATATACTCGTCAAACCGTAATAAGGCGATCTGGGGTGACGACGCTTGCGAGTGGAAGCCAGAGCGCTGGCTCGAGGACAAACTTCCTGACTCAGTCACAGATGCGAAAATTCCTGGGGTATACTCTAATCTGTGGGGCCTATTCAATCCTCCAACGATCATTTCCTTACTGAACAGCGCTCAGGATGACCTTCATCGGCGGAGGCCGTGCATGCATGTGCGTTTGCATATCATCTTCGCAACAAGTCTGCCTGAGCTTACTCTCCCGTGCGCAGTGGCTTCAAGTTCTCACAGCTTGAAATGAGTGGGTATCTAATCCTCTATATCATACACTACTTACGGGCCACTCCAGAGGTTGTGCTTACGATGTTAGTGACGTCCTTCCGCTTATCGCTCTGTGAGGGCAAGAACGGCGACATTGTCTGGAACCGTACTGGCATCTCGTACCCGACTGTGGGCCCAGACGGCAGAAAGCCCAGCCTGCCGCTCAGAGCCGAACCATTGGAGACTTAGTCGAGCGCCGGCGTATACACCTAGCTTTGAGTGAGCTGCGGCTTCCCCCCTCTCTCCAAGACTTTTCCAAAGTAAATACGGTGATTAATATCGAAACAATGATACAGTACCACGCGATGCGTGCGAGTTTCCGCAATGCTATAAGACATGTTTTCAAGGCGAGCTCGCTCGATAAATAGGTGGTATTTGACTCATCAGGCCATCCCCACGCTCGGTTATAAGCGTGTCTGCGTACTTTCTGTCTTCAGAGAACAACGAGTCTCTGACCATCGTGCTCCTGGATTACTCGCAATGGATGAAGGCGATTCCTGGTCCTCTGAGGGCCATTCCAGCAACCTGAGTTTATACAGGCATCGTCGTTTCGATTGTTGCTCAATTTTCTCAGTCTTTAACTATAAAGAATTAATTGTGGGTAATAATACCAGTCAGCGACGGATGGCAGAACAATGCGGCCTTTACTCAGATCTAAAGAGGGCGACCAACATGATAACGCGTCCATCTCTGTGCAGATGTATCTTCTCAGGTACAAGATTGGGATTTATTCTTTCTGCGACGTTAAGTTGCCGAAGGAATCTCCGCCTCGATGCCTCACCAGACCCTTGGCGACGTATACGAAGCTATTGTAACCTGCACATGACTCTCCAACGATTCCATCAGTTCGTCGTCTATGTCTTCTCGTATCTCTCGTCCAAGCTTCAGCTCCTTCAGTGGACACCCGTCCCGCACGCGGTGCTCGACTACATCAACAAGGGCATAATAAATATGTCTTCTGCGAGGTGGGTGACCGCTAAGGTCTGTAGATAGAGTAAGGGAGTTGGCTTTACCGTAGTGATGTGCCGTAAGAGCTGGTAGTCGGCACCACTGCAGGCGCGAAGCTCAAAAGTCGATACCTGGGGGGTGCATTGCAGCAGATAATCACCGTATTGTTGCGGAGGTCTGATGCTCACGTTCAGGAAACACAGCGTACGGACCGTGGGAAAGATACGTGGATGGTGTATTTCCTGCGACATGGTGGGTGCAAGAGTTGTGTGCGCGAGTGTCAGAGATGAAAGGATTGGTGCGTCGAGGCAGCTGAGCATTACTTCAGTGTGGCGATTGCACTGAAGAATCAGCGATTCTAGGCAGGCGAAGCGAGCGCATCGGGCAAGAGGGCCTGATAAGTATACCGCTTCCAGGTTAAGAGACTTCAGCCGAGGGGATGTATCAGCTAGCGCACACAAGTGCTGGAAAGGGATCTCGCAGACGGCAAGGCACAGTATCTGGAGAGCTTCGAAGACGACTGGGGAGAGCGATATGGTTATCCGGGAAATCCGTAGAGTCTCGAGCTTAGGATACTGGATTTGCAAGCATGTGTTCGGAAGGAGTAACCAGGAGTCGTGCAAGAGGTCTATGCAGTCGAGTAGCGGGAACGATTCCTCCTGCATTTTGGGGAGGAACTCTTCAAAAAGACGAGAGGCCGTGGTCTGAATAGCGATCTCTGCGACGCGATCTGCGTACTGGAGTAAAAGAATGAGGTGCCGCAAATATGGAGCTAGCCACGAGCTATCGTGAGGTGTCTCCCATGATTCTGCCATGTCCGGTCCAATACAGGAAATGAAAAGCGGAATGGTCCCAGACCGTACGAGGAAGAGCTCTAGAAGAGGTGTAGATGGCCCGACGTGTATGCATCTCCACAGCCTCGGAAGGGAGAGGGCCAGTCGTTGCCAGCAACGCGAGACGTGGGTGACGTCAAGGACACGGGTGTTGGGGGTGCAAACATGTTGCGTGTGTTCATAGGCTTCTTCAAAAATGAGCTTGAGGATGTCGTCGGGGAGGGTGTGCGCTGAGGCGCAAGGTGCGTCCACGCGCTCGCTTTCTTGATGTGCAAGATAATGTTCGCTTATTCGCTTTGCAACTTTTTCAATGCGCTCCTCCGGAAGACCTCTCCGCGCGTCGAGCCCTTCAGTACGCTAGTGGCATGCCATGTTATCCATTTTGTTCCCTTCAGAGCACAAAGACAAGAGCCTGGATAGTGTCGCACTTTAATAAGGTATGTCCTTTTACGACATCCCCAATTTGCACAGCGCCGAAATCCCGCCACGACCGCGACTTACTGCAACACGTGCCGGCAAAGAGAACTGCCCAAGGGGATCGAGCCTAGCGCGATCTTCGTGGTGGTGGTAACGAAGATACTTACTGCTGTCTCGCTGCCATCTTCCCAACCCGAGCCGCTGAGCGCCATGAGGCCCGCACCACCCGTCATGCCCGCGGCGTGCACAAGTCGCACCCCAATATAGACGACAAGACCGATCCAGCCCAACTCTAGGCTGGCGCCACCTTGGGCTCGCACCCAGTGAGTCTCTTCTCAGGTCTGTGTGTGTTCTACGTATGCTGACAGGCTTGACTTCCGCATAGAGCCTGTTCAAGAGCGTCACAGTATCGTTCGTAGTCCCGACGATCAGTAACTGCCTAAGGGCGTGTCTGGCCCCTTCGGCGCATCCGCCTAGGCCGGCATCGATGGCAATTGAACGTTGAACACTTGTCAGACCGCCATCCTTGAGAGTAGTCCCATAAGCTCAACCCCGTCACCTTCACTAATTCATTTGCCTGCACAGGCTCTGTCGACCTTTGTAACACGACCATCCTCAGCATAAAGCATAATAATAATCTTCCATCTCGGACTCGCTCTTGAGCTTGAGCGTCGATATCACTTTCGCGCTGAAAAGGGTGTGAGTTGCTGCTATGCTGTGGGCACGACGAAAACAAGAATAATAATAACGCCGCAGAAGTTTGAGGTGCACACAGCTTTTTTCTCGTACGTTTTGCGCTGCGAGCACAAGAGCTCAAAAAGATTTGTAACAGAATCGAACGCAAAAAGTGGTGGCACCCCGTTTGACATGACCGCCGCTCTCGAGAGCTCCAGTCAACAGCTGCTTCGACCGTGACGCGCTTCAGCACCATTCCATCTGAGACGTCGCTTCAGGACGCCGAAACCGCCCCCCCCCCCCCCCCACGGCTGTATCTGAATCGCCATCAAAGTCAGTCCAAAGCAAAACTTTGGAGACTCTGCGACATTTCGACCCGCAACCGTGATGAGACCCGCCCGGTGAAGCTTCCTGCCTGGTGATGCACCCGAGGATGTTTATGGCGGTGCTTGCTGGACGGCCTCCGATGTGTATAGGCCCGCCTGGCAGCCATGTCCAATCACCATATCTCTTCTCTATTGACTTGATAGCCTCACAGCTCTCCCGACTTCACGTCGCCTACGCTGCCATGTACATCAATGCTCCCGTTGCCAGTGCCCTCCTCGCGGCGACTGCCATCTCGGTCCCGTCCTCTCAGGAGCGTCACGCGGCCCGCATCGCCCGTCGTGCTGGTCTCGTGCACGAGTCACGCTTCAAGGTGGGCAACGAGACCACTCACGAGATCAGCGAAAACTGGGCTGGCGTCGTCTTGAACTCGCCTGCAGTGAGCCTCCTCTCATATATATATATATATATATTGTGTGTGTGCTCACGGCCTGGGCTCTGCATAGGGCACGTACAAGAGCGTCACTGCGTCGTTCACGGTCCTGAACATCAGTGAGCCTGAGGGTTCGACGGGCTTCCACGGCGCATCCGCCTGGGTCGGCATCGATGGCGACACCTGCCAGACTGGTATCCTCCAGACTGGTCTCGACTTCGACGTCAAAAGTGATGATAATGTGTCCTTTGCTGGTTAGTCCGCGCTCTTTGCCCTCCTCTTCCTTACAGGCTGACAAACCATCTGTAATTTCGCAGCCTGGTACGAGTTTTCTCCTGCTGACTCCATCGACTTCCGGGGCATCAGCTTCACATCAGGCGATATCGTCACGCTGACCGTCATCGCGGCGAACTCGACGTCGGGCATGGCAATCATCACAAACAACAGTACGGGCACGACCGTCAATCATTCGGTTACCTCCACTGTTCCTCTGTGCGGGCAGGACGCGGATTTTATCGTCGAGGACTTTGCTGTAGCACTGAACGCCACGAGCACGAACTTTACCCTCGTCCCTTTTGCCAACTTCAGCACAGTCCGATTCACCGGTGCATCCGCCGGGACCACCTCAGGCTATGCTGTCGACCTCTCTGGCGGGCACATTATCGATATGGTTCAAGTCCAGAACAACACTAATGTCACTCTCACTTCCGTCACGGTCTCGCGGTCGGAGATCAATATCACCCGCATCCAACGCGACAGAGAGGATGCAAATTTCTTGGGAAGTAAAAAGGACATAGCATAGAGGAGTCAATGGTTTACTTGTATACCCCGTGCCATAGAAGGACCGACGCTCACTGTATACTAATTGTATCGCTCTGGACTAGAAGCCGAAACGTAGCTGTGCTCAAGCATTGGGCTCCCTTAATAGCATAAACGTGTCTGTTGGGGACTCCGCAATCACGGTACCAACGACTCGACACATGACCTCCGCTACGCTCCCCTGGCACCCAATGAGCAAAGATCGGGGTTGGTGTCCTATGCCGTAGTAAGTCTCGCCACCGTCGGCCACGTCGAGCTCTATCATGATGACACACAGGCTACGTCTCCCCGCATTGACAATGTATCCCGCAGTATGCCGGCTATACAAAGTACTCATGAGCCTTGCATGCGAGTGGGAGCGGGCTATTCCTGCAGGTCTCACAGAATGCTGATGCAGGGCCAGATACGGAAGACGCAAAGCAGGCATGGATTGAAGTTTCAAGGAAGACACTGTCTGAGGCCGAGGTGATACATTACATAGAGCAACTCTCAGCCTCAGCTGCGGCACGGCGCGACCGCGGTCGAGCCTGCTTGACAGGGCGCACGACATCAAAAGTCAGTTTCTCAAGAACTAGACAGGACGAATGAATGCTGACTACTACTGCCAGCAACAGGCAAATAGACAGTAGTATATCAAACATCCGTCCCCAGATACTTCACCATGCCCACACCAGCAAATTTTCGGCCACCATCACCCGCACGTGATTATTCAACAATCTCCTCAGCTCCAAGTCCATTATGATATGGAGCAGCTCTTTGAGTTGCAGCTCTTTCAATGAACACTTGAGTCGTGTTCGTGTCTCGATGGTAGTGAGAAGAAGAGAGTGTGTCTCCACTGGGAGGTAGTTTATCACCAAAGTCTGGAGGGAAGGTAAGGGCGTCGGTCTGGCTGCCATGAGGGATTCCAGGATGGACAAGTGACATCATTGTGACAATCGAGGAATTCAACGACGGTTGCGTTAGGTGTGTATCGAAACAGGTGACCGTCATATGGCGGCCGCCCTCTACAGTTGGACACACTGATCAGGCGGAGCCTGCGTACTGCAGGAAATATACGTGGGGGGTATCATAGTTGATGATCCGACACGTCAGAGTCAAATGCCGTATACACGATTGTCAGGGAAAAAAGTGCTGGTGCATCGAGGCAGTGGAGTGGCCATTCATCCTTGTAATCACATGCAACAGTGAGCATCTCCAGGTGGGGAAAGGAGGCTGGCTGGCTGTGTTGTTCGAGCTGCATAGAAACTTGGTTGAAGTCGAGAACCTTCAAATGGGAGGCAGCATTGGCCAATGCGCACAGGTCATGAATAGTGAACTTGCATCCAGTAATTTTCAATGTGCAAAGTGTTCCAAAGGAGGATGACGGGAATAATATTGGTACATTGGTAGTATCAAACGTCTTGAGACCGGAACACTGAAGTTGAAAGCAAAAACCTGAGTTGGGAAGCACTACACCTACATGCCAGAGCTCTATGCAATTGAGCAGTGGAAATAGTGGGCCCTGCATTCTGGGAAGGAACTCTTGGAGGAGACCCGAAATACTGGTTCTGATAGTGATACGCACAATGCGATCCTCGTATTGGAGCAGAAGAATTGGGTGATACAGGTACAGCCCCACCTACAAGTCTTAACTGTCTTCAACCAGGAAATACATCTGACCACAAGGTTGGAGATCCTAGTGTTATCATGTCTTGCCCAAGGCAAAATATGAGCAGCGGAAGGTCCCCTGACCTTGCAAGGTAAAGCTCTAGAAGAGGCGTAGGTTGCCCAACATGTATGCATCTCCACAGCCGTGGCAGAGAAAGAGCCAGCTGTCACCAGCAGCGTGAGACATGAGTGACGTCGAGGATGCAAGTGTCTGAGCTGTAGCAGTATCCCTGGGGCTTGTGCTCGTATGCTTCTTCAAAGACGAGCTTGAGAATGTCATTGAGAAGCGGTGTACTGGGGAGCAAGTGGCTCTCTCGCACTCGTTGTCGCGGATCGCACAACAAATTTCATCTAGCTGCTTGTACAGAAGAGCTCGTTGCGCGTCGAGCTCTTGAATTCGCTGCCGATGTGTCTTGATGTTCATGGTGATGAAGATGTCATAGAAACGGCCAGTAATGCCACCTCTGGGCTGGGCATCTGAGATCAGAATATTTTAAACACTGGTATAAATTACCTGATCTCGAGGTTTTCCAGTGGCCCGCGATATTCATTTTGTCAATAGTCGCTGTCGTTGGAGAAGGAGGGAGCTGCTCAAAACTTGTTCAACTAGCGCCAGGCGTACCGCACACATTGGCCATTGCGCATCGATATGTTCAGTTTTATAGACTCATCTCTGTACATGGGGAAATAATATGATCGTGCTCCCAAATTGTGATGGCCAAGCTGAGTCTACCAACAGAGATAAGTTGTCAATAGAACCTCAGCTCAGCTTGGACAGCAGTAAGACAAACCGACACCATCGAGTGCAGCACTGCTGAGGAACAAATTGTTTACATCCTGCTTTTGTTATAGCACGACACGATATAATATGCCAACCAAAATCTGCTGGAGGTCCTACGTACCTTTACCAGAACAAAATCATGCGGCAAGAGCTCGGCGCTCGACCAAATATTGGTGGCATTGGAGAAGGGCCATATCATTTTCAACTTGCACCTACCTATCTGTGACAGTTACCCCTGACGCGCGCATCTCTGCGCAATGTGAAAAATGTATATATACATTCCACAGAGGAGAGTAAAGTTACTGCATAGCTAAGCTGCAAGTTGAACGTCTACTTCTACACACTCCATCATGTTTGTATCGGCACATGGCAACTGCGAGTAACTAGGTAACCTGCACGTAGTTTTCCAATGACCTCCTCAGATCTGCCTTTATGTCATCTAAGATTGGCTGTCCGAGTTTTAGCTCCTTCAGTGGGCAATCACACTGCGCTCACCACTCAACGATGTTGAGCAGGACTTTCCAACTCGCCCTTCAAAAGCTGATCAACTTCGAGAGTTTGGAGGGCAGGCAGCGGCATCGGATCTGTCAAAGCTGCGAGGTATTTGAGCACACAGGATATGTGAGAGCAGCTGCGGAACTTGAAGGTCGTTGCATTCGGAACATATCAGAAGAGATAGTGGCTGTCATACAGCGAGCAGCAGCGCACAGCAGCGCAGCTGACACACAGATTGTGAGTGGCAGCGAAGGCACAGTTGTGTGGTAGCAGAAATGGTACGTCTGGTATCATGATGACTTGTGAGGCTGTGAGCAACAACAGGGTAAGTGCGTCAAAACATTCAAGTATCTTCTCTGGGTTGTATCGGCCTTTGACGCTCAGCAACTGCAGGCAGGGAAAGGAAACGAACTGGCTGCCACCATCATTGTCTGAGATGCATAAATCTTCGAGGTGGAGGGAGGTTAGTTGAACAGCGGTATTGGCCAGTGCGCGTAGATCTTGCATGGCAAAATCACAGTGAACGAGGACAAGGGTCTGCAGCGTTACGAAGGATGGAGAGGAGAAGTTCGTGGATAATTCCACAACTCACAATGTCTGGAATTTGGAATTATGAGCTCGAAGGTAGATATCTCTAGAACAAAATCTTGAATCACACACCAGCTTCAAGAAATTGAGTAGCGGCATTTCAAGGTCTTCTATCTCATCAAGGAACTGGTCAAAAAGGCCGTAAGCACTGGCTTCAATGAAGATAAACTCGATGCGATCCACGTAGCAGAGCAGGTGGATCAGACGCTGCACATATAGTGAGATCCACGGGTTATTTTCCCACTCGTCGATGGTCCACTCAGGCTCATCACCGTTTGTGACCAAGTCTTGTCCAATGCACAGAACAACAAGCAGGAGTGTTCCAGACCTGGCCAGGTAGAGCTCTAGAAGAGATTTGGACAGGGTGATGTGTATGCACCTCCACAACCTCGGGAGGGAGATTGCAACTTGCCGCCAGCGGCGCGAGACGTGGGTGGCAATCAAGATGCAGGTATCAGGGCAGTCTTCATCAATCTTGTGTTCATATGCCTCTTGAAAGATGAGACCAAGGATTTCATTGGGCAGTGTATAGACTGGGGCGCAATAGGCTCCCTTGATCTCGTTTTCACGGAGCACATGACGAAGTTCGTCCAACTCCCCGAGGACGTCTGCAATGCAACCTTCCAGAAGAGACCTTTGTTCCTTTAGCTCTTTGACTTGCCGCTGGTGCGTCATGCGGTCCATTTTCGGGCACTTCAGGCCAGAGCTGGGGACGTGGCAGGGTTAGTCCAGTCGGACATGGTTGTCGCCCTATAGAGGTTTAATGGTGTATGTCAGCTCATGGTGAGCGTGAGACCAACTAAGATTACCTATAAGATTGATCTAAAAGTTGCAGAGCAGCACTTGTTGCATAAACTTGACGTTAGCGACAGTCGCTGTGGCTGCTTGTTTGAAAGAAAGCAAGAGCCGCTCAAACAAGTCGAATGCAGTAAAGTCGTTGTGGCGCCGGCGCGCTGATGCGCCTTCCGTCGGGACGCTCAAGGGCTCGGCGCGTAAAGACGGGCACTCGCACTACGGCGCACGGATATGTTCCACAGCCATAAAAAAGTGCCCGCATGGGCTATTTAAAAGCCTGAATCCGTCAGGTTGCCTTACCAGTACCATGAATGATATCACCAAATACCAAGTGTGTTGCAGTTATCCCGGAAACAACGAGTAATTCCTCTGAAAAAGGAAGGCCAGAAAATTGTGGCCTCGGGACGTACAGAGAAAAGTCCCGGACAATTCCGGCGCCAAACAGCCTGGCCAGACTCGAAGCGTCAGCTTCCGGCGAGTGAAGTCGAGCCTGGTGGGACTTGTTACGGACTCGGAAGAGCTCGGAGGGTTCTGTCAAGGGTGGAACATCTCGTGTACCTCCAGAGGACTTCGATAAGATTGAAAGCCGGGTTGACCCTGTGTACGTCTGGGGCGACAGTCTGGGAATACTGCAAAAGACGACCATTGCAAGCGTCTTGTTGTCCAGCGCTAATACTGTGCTGCGCATTCACCGTTGACAAGGTTCGCTCTCAACCATCCCCAGCCGCGCCATGACTAGACAAATATTGTCACCGCGCCGGATATATACCTCAATACGACTACTCTGTGCCTTGGCTCCGTATCTGCTCCAGTACTTCGAACTACCATACTCGTGCGGTCTACAGCCTTGGCCATGCCGCTTCGCTGGAAATCCGCCGACGGCCGCGCCCAGCTGTAGGATATCCATCCGTTGCCGGACTTTGCGGTGCCATGTGTAGGTTACTGTGCCAATGTATGCTGCCAAGACAGCTGCTGACTTTGGCATCATCAACGTTGCATGTCTGCTCATTCGCCCCTAGCCCGCAATATCGCGTGTCCCGCCTCTGAAGCATCATGAAAGCCATGCTGCCCTCCGTGATGACAACGCCCTCTTCACTTCCGACACCCTCTCCGCTGCCCACGGGATTATCATCAAAGCTGTCCACGCCCCGACAGCGTCGATCCGGCGAGTCCCGTACGACAACACCACCCAGATGCATCTCTGAACAGCTGGCAGCAGCCGTCGCGCCCAACAATGATCCGTGCGCGGTAGTGGCTCCTCCGCAGCAGGAACAGGATGAACGACATGCGCAGACAAGGATGTGATATGAGTGGATGGCGCACAGCGAGCCTGAGGCCTCGAGGTACTGACGACATAGGAGCGGGTTCATGACGTCGGTGAGCAGCAACTTTGCAGTGCCGAGGTGGCATGGTGCTGATGTCAAGTAGCTCGTTGTGCTGTATCTCCCTGGTGACGGTCGCGTGCGAGGGGCCGACGCCCGCGAGATCGCCTGTGCAAACCCTCGGAGACGTGTCTGTTCGGTGCTGAAGTACGACGCTCGTCCGGCTTGCTTTTGAAGGCACACACTTTTCGCGTCACGGACGTCGGAGTGCAACGATGCAGACAAAAGTCGGCGCGGACTGGTTTGGTCGGGAGTGCAGTAGTGTACTTGCACAGGCTCGCACGAAAACGGGGGAAATGTCGGCACGGCCAGGGATGTAGACGGGCGGTGGTAGAGGGACCTGGTACGTGGCTTGCAAGTGTGTCGTCATTCCGGTCGCTCACAGGCTTATGTTTCGCTCGGTGCAGAACGTGAGACGAAGGTGGATTGTGGTAAGTGTACAGTTGCGGCGTCATTAGGGTATACGATAACTTAGCACGATGGGATATCTAGCATCCGGATGCCACCAGATGACCCCCCAGCGGAAGCGAAAACAAGACTCCTCTCCCCTCTGCCCTCTCCTCGCAATCTATGCGAACCTGCCCCTCCGCGGCGGCCGAGCATATGGGCCATAGCGCCCCGCCGGCCTGGATAGCGCCGTGAGCTTCTGCATCTGGGCCATGGCGTCCTTGGCGAGGAACACGGTGCCCTTGTCCTCCTCGTATAGTGCGCAGCGCTGGTCGAGCGCGTAGAGGACGTGTATGTCCGCGGGGTGCACGGACGTGCTGTGGGAGTAGCGGAAGATGGTGATGAACTCGTGCCGGAAGACCTTGACGTCCGCGGCGACGAGCGCGGACGCGGGGCTATCTGCGACTGTGTGTACTGCTAGGTGAGACGGTGCACGTAAGAGAGAGAGAAAAAAAGTGGCTGCACGCACGCTGGACGAGGTGGACGTCGCCGTGTATCTGCGCGAACGCGAAGCGCGGCATGTCTCGTGAGTCGTCGTCGATGCTGCTCGTCGTGAGAGAAGGCGTGTATGCGAGTGTGGCCATGGAGCCTGTCCCGAGTGTGGACGGTGTCGGACAATGGTTGAGGTCAAAGGGGCAGGGCGGTGCACAGGCCGAAGAGGGGGCTCCGGACGTAGAGGGGTGGGCCTGCCAGGGCGGACACGGCCGGAGTGCTTTATAGCGGCATCGATTCGCGTGCTTTGGCCACGAGGGCGCTGTCTCTTTCTCTTTTTTTGCGCTGTATGTGTCGCGCGCAATCCGTGGGCAAAAACAGAGTACAGGCCCCGGGGAAGAATCGCGTTTCCACGGAGCTAGAACTCGCTGTGGGGCGGATCGCGCTTAGGTGCACCTGTCCCAAGCTCTGCCGTTCTCGTCAGATCTCGACTGCGCCGAATTCAGTTCGAGGGCATTCAGCGCAGTGCCGGGTCCTGTCCGATGCAGACGCAGACGAGCTGCTGACAACTCGCTGCTCCCAAACAAAGCCCAGAAGCTCGTAGCCGGGGGCGCACGCGGGCAAGGATGCGAAAACGGGGAGGGTCGAGTCAGGCCAAGTTCGCGGCCATGGCACGGACATGATCTCATGACAGCCGCCACCAGGATGGCGAAGATTCGAGTGTTCCTACCGCCGTGTGCCGTATCATCTCTACAAGGCGACATTGCACCGCCGATGATGTCGTATCCATCACGGAGGCTATTACCAACGTCGCTGACGACGTCAACCAGCACCACAACGCATGCACGCACAACGTGGTGAACGGCGAGCAGGATATCCATGCACGAGGTGCGGCACCGTACCTCACCTCACCCAGCCTCGTGCATTGAGCACGGAGGGAGCTTAGCCTACGCCTGGCGGCCCTACGTGCGGCGACTCTGCGCTGATATCTTCGGAGCGGCAGCGGGTAAGTACGCATCCTGTGCTATTTTCTGATCCACACAACTACTGGAGCGAGCACGGCGTAGACGCAGCAGCACAGCTTGCGGCAACGTTGTACGTACGATGCAGATGTGCGCTGCGCTCCCCCCGATCGCGCGTTCTGCGAGCTCGTGCGCAGATTGGAGGGGCCCAGGCGGCCGCTCCAGGCGTGCCATGAACCACGCGCGCGGCTGGTGGCATCGTGGCGCCGCTCATGGGCGCGCGTCGGGTTAATTTCGCCCACCGTCACTGACGCCTTTCGCAAAGTGGGGGAATCTCTTTGTGGCGCATTTGGCCTAGGAGAGAGGTATGCAATACAGTGCATCCATATAGTAAAATTATAAATGTTGCAAGGATACACGGATTTCGGTTTGACGTAAGGAAGATGGCAGCAGGAAAATCAGCAATGCGCGCGCGGCCTTGTCTCTGTACCGCCGTCTTCACCTCAAAAAGGTGAGGTACATTCAGTGAATGCGGCGCCGTAGGAAACTGTCCAATGCTGTACACAGATTTGAGGCCTTGGAGCACAGCAGAAACTTCCTATGAACCCGCCCGGAATTCCAGCAGTCGCGTGACGCCCTTCCGGCGTTCTGAGGTGCCCGTCGAAGACGCGATGATCAACCATGGGAAGGCAGCTTGCGTCCGGTAGCAGGACATCTGATTCATGCTGCGACGGCCGAAAGCATCGAACCCCTCATGACCACGTACTTCTGCCGCCTGGCTCTCAAGGAGTGGCGCACAGGACAGGGTATTTCACAGTGTGGCCGAGTCGCCGAAGCGGCCAATTAGTGCGCTCGCACTTACTCACAGCTCGACAGCGCTAGCCTGCTGTGCATGCAGAACGACCCTGCCAAGCACGAATAGGGCGTTCCAAGTATAGCACCGCCGCTCGACCCTGTGCTTACGCATGATAAACTCGCCATCAAACAGCAGGGCCACGGCGGATCTTTGGGCCCGAGGCGCTGGCCACTCACGGTGCGCAGCCAGGTAGGCGTCGGAGCGGGGCGGGGCGGGGCGTCGACAACAGGCTTCCGTCGACAGTTCAGGGAGAGAAGGCGTGGGACCAGGGTAACGCTGCTGTCACGACGGCGCGCGCCGTGCGAGGCACCGGGACGAATCTGGCACAAGCATGGTGCGGCCAACGGGCAACGGGGCATTACAGCTCGCCCGTCGCGAAGAGTTGGTGCTTCGCAGAACAGAACAGATCTAGTCGGGCACGGCATAGTAATTCGCAGGCGCGCAGCGTGGTACACACGGGCGGCTGGGAACGCACGTCCCACGCGAGCAAGCGAAGACGACGCGCAGCCAGCCAGCCAGCCAGCCAGCATGAAAATGAGCCGCAGCACGTCGAGACGAGAATACCCACACGCCTGGCGGCGAACCTGAGAGCACAGGGCTGCTCAAAAGCAGATCGTACTGCATTTACAAGCGTGGCAGCCGTCAGATGCCAAGCTTACCGCGGGGACGCGTACCAGGGCGGAGCTGCCGCCGGGAACACGCTCGCGGGTTACGTGTAGATTCGCCTTTCTTATTGTCTCTATAACTACACAGCGTTAGTATCTCCGTTCATGTGGCGCTGCCACTTATTGGATGATCTCTGATCGGCACAACGGGCAGCTGGACGAGTGGCTCGAGTTGAACCACTGCGGGGGACGGGCACCGTCAGCCGTGGTGCCGCTCGATAAAGCAATAGCGCCTACCTTGTAGAGACACCCGGAGTGGAACTTGTTCTTGCACGTCTTGCACGGCTTCTTGGGCAGACTGCCGTCCATAGCACTGATCATGCTGCAAGAGAGAATGAGCATTCCTAGGCCGACAACGAGACGGCAGAGAGCACGCACGAATAGCAGATCGCACACTCGGACTGGCCCTCAAAGTGGGAAACGACGTTCTTCTTGAAGAAGGCCAGGCCGTCGACGATGCTTCCGCCCTGCAGCACACCACGCACGTTCAGTCCCTGCCAAAAGCGCGGCAGCAAGGCACTCACGCGGAACGTCAAGATCTGCTGCACGCCGAGCACCCACGAGCGCCAACGGTCCTCGGTGACGCCGACACGCGCCGCATCGGTGACCTCGACGGCGTGCAGCGGCCAGTCGGACGGCAGGCGCAGCCGGAGCTCGAGCTCGTACTCGTCGACCGCGTACGACGCCGTGACCTCGTGCACGCTGCTCGCGACGCGGACCTTGAGGTGCTCGTCCGCGAGCAGCTCCGCCGCCGCGACGGGATCCCGGATCTGCGCGAGCTCCGCGCGGATGATCGCCGGCGAGAAGTGCGTCGAGGTGTACGCCGTCACCGTGCCGTTCAGCTGGCGGTCCCGGCAGTCTGCGAGCCAGCTGCGCACAAGCCCGGGCACGACGCGCAGGGCGCGGTAGTACAGGTGTGCCGCCAGCAGCGGGAGCCGGAGGGGTATCTCGGATGAAGTTACTGGGCAGCAGTGAGCGATCTCCCCGAAGGCATGAGCAGTGCGACTTACAGTCTAGGTAGTATTCGTCGATAGACCATATGTCCAGCTTGAAGGCGCGTACCATGCCTTCGTACAATCCGAGCGTGTTGAATACCAGCGGGAGGAAGTAGTCTGCAACTAGGCCCTCCCGGCGCAAATGATTCATGTACTCGATCTTCACTTTCAGCGACTGTGAACTTCATCAGAAAGGGTCAAAAGTTCTCATAACTGGACACGCACAGCGTTGATGAAAAGATCAAACACCAGCATCCAAGAGAGCATATGTCCAAACAATTTCTGGGAGGAAAATGAGCACCTTGAGACGAATGTATATGCGGAAAGGCTCACCTGTTCACGAGCACTATCAAATGCGTCCTCGTCTGACAGACTGCTCTGCAGCAATTGCACCAGCTCCGGTGGGAGGTTCAGCGGTACAGTCGCTTCCGAGTCCACGCTCGCCTCAAGAACGAGGTGCTCAGTATACTTCGTGGCTGACGCTTGCAGAATCTTGTACGCCATTTTTGGTACCGCTTCAGAAGCGTCCAGGAGTAGATGACACATCTGTAGCAAAGTCAATAATGAGAAGGCACATTCAGATCCGAAGAGTACCTTCGCGATGGCGTCCTTGTCGACGAGACTCTCGGGCAGGTCTTGGATCACGGACAGTGCGAGCTCGCGACAAAGGCCGAGCGGAGTGTCTATCGCGTTGTCTGGCAGCACTATCGCGTCAGCACGACGCACGGATGGCACAGCACGACACTGACCTATCCTCTGTACCACCAAGTCCCGAACCAGCGTTAATGTGGCGGTCCGGTGCTCCTGCCAGGCCGTGCGCAGGGTTTTCGTTGTCGAGGACAGGTCCTCGATCGCAATCACCAGCTGCAGCGTACGGTACAGCAAAGGCAAGCTGGACGCTTCGCCCAGAGACGAGTTCTACAAAAGCCCTGAGCAACGAGGCCAAAAGGCAATCAGGTTGACGCACTTCCAGATTGTTCTCCACGACATCGAAGATGAGGTCCCAGTGAGCGCCGGGGACGGTCTGGAGGATCGGAGCGAGGTGGACGAAGATGAGCGTCATCTGGTATTCAACTTCCTCATCCAGGTCTTCGTCGGACGTGATCCATTGCTGCAGCGGCTTCATCAGGTTGACCGCCCGGTTCGTCGGCAGGTACACGATGTCAGACTCGGGGTCTGGAGCGATCGCAGCCAGGCGGCGCAGAAGCCAAAGGCCTTCAGTGTTTACTTTGGAGACAGAGACACCGAGCAGGCCCGCGGCCAGCTCATTACGGAGCCTGTCCAGCCTTGGAGGTTCCGGAGCGTACTGGGTGACGGCGTAGACGATTGCAAGCGAGGCACGAGGAGCTGGACATGTGCGTGAACATTTGGTATCAACATTTAAAGAGACGCAAGCATCGCCTTACCTTTTTTCTCAGCCGTCCTGGCGAGCCCAATCAGCACGTCTGCCTCTTCCTTGGTGACTTTTGGCAAGACGTGGCGCAAAATTGAATGAAGGACGCGCGATTCTCTTGTAGTATCGCCAGCAAGAGGGTTGATCAAGCTGCTGAACAGCACCTCCACTTGGTCGCTGACGTCGACTTTGCCACTCGATAACCTCGAGGTCGCCCGTGCGAACCATCCATCGTCGACAGAGTGATTCAAGAGATAGGCTGTGAGCTGCTCGACCTTGGATACGATATCCTCGAGCGCACTTTTACCGACGCTCTTGCCGAAGACGGGGTTCGCCATGCTCGGCACGTGGATCACGTCCTTAGCGTACAGAGCAAGGGCCTGGAAGTGGTGAAGAGCCCAGACGTTCTGCTTAGCGGCATCGCGGTCGTCCAAGAAGTGGAGCAAAAGCGAGAGCACAACGCGAGCATAAGTTGAATAGCCAAAAGCATCGAGACCGGAGGGGCTCTCGGCCTCCTCATCGTCCCAGTCGCCCGGAAGGACGAGCGGATCGATAACGGCAAAGCTGGGATGAGAAGCGTATGTCGGCAGATCGCTGAGCATCCTGTCCAGCTCTTCCCGACTCGGGAAGATACCATTCACTAGGTCTGCACCCAAGTGAGAGGCGCTGTCCGTAACTATGCGAAGGATTTGTGAAGGCCTTGATATGTGAGCATCGATAAGTCCTAGTGTGTAAAAAAAAAAGGCTCACTTTATGGGAACAGAGAGGTCCAGGAGGATGTCTTGCAGCCGCTGCTGGACCACAGCAGAGACATGATGACGGATATCCTCAGGAAGACCGACCCAGCTGCGAGACAGAATATCTCCTGCTAGATGATACTGTGGCTGCAAAGTACTAGATGGATGCAAGGTCGGCACGAGAGCGGAGAATAGGAACAGCTTTGGGAGGATCGAAATGATGTCACCCGATGCTAAGGACATGACGTCGCCCTGAGTAACAATGTCAAGAAGCGTGAACAACGCAGGTAGTGAACCGGCGGCTGTGTCCTCTTCCCGTAGACTTGCCTCAGCGTGCTGCGCGAAGGTAGAGCAAATGCTCGACACTAGCCCCCGGAGGCAATCGTCTCGGATGAAGTACTCTAACGCGACATATATCAGTATGCGCACAGTGGAAGCTACGGAGTGTCCTACGATGATGCAGTAGAACGCGCCTCAACAGGTCCAGGGATTGCGAGCTTCCCGTCGTTCCACTGAGCCCGGACACAAGGAGTTGTCCGACGACCGCGTCTAGCTCATCACCAGCAGGCCTAAGAGTGTTTGGCAGAACTCCTTGTTCCGCAGCGCCCAGTAGGGGCTCAAGGGCAGTGGATGGCTCTTCCTGTCGCTCTGATATAGCCTGTAGGACGTTTGTCCATAAGTATACACATTGCTGGCTGTTGTCGCGGTGCGCCAGATAAACGAAAAGGACGTCGGGCGACAGTACGAGTAGACGGTACGCATGCTTCGTGCATGTTGCGTCAATAGCCTGGAAATACCGTTTAGTATAATGGGCGCTAGCAGTTAGAAAGGGGGCAATTACTGAAGCCAGACCCTCGTCTGCGAATATGTCAGTACCAAATGCATCGAGGACGATCACGAGCGACCTCAACCGTGTCTGGTCAACCGCAATGGACTCGTCCTGATCAAGGATTTCTTCAAATCGTCGGATAGTCGAGTAGATCACGTCATTGATCAGCTGGTCGTTTGCCTGTGCAAGCGTAGACCCCTCAGTTGACGAGCCACGGAAGATTTTGAGGGTAGCCGGGATGAGCGACGGAACGCGCTGTTGGGAGGTAATCAGCTGAACCTTGATGGCGTCGCTCAGAACACCCCATGCTGTCCGGAACAGCTCTACAGGACATATCAGCTTTCGGAGAGGCCGCCAAACTAAGAAATATTTTACCTTCATCAGCCTCATACAAGGCCATCAATGTCTTGCTCAGCGATGTGGCGGCAAGGTTCTCGTCTGTTTTGAGTCGTTCCGATGAAATCTCCTCCCACACACGCTTGAACTGCTCTCGCACTAGATCAATCGCAGCTTGGCGTCCGTCCTGCTGATCTTCAGACAGGAGGACGGCTGCCTGGTCACCACGCAGGCGACGGACCATGAAAACAACGCATTCAAGTAGCGCAGACAAAAAGGCAACAGATGCTGCCACACGGTCCAGACCACTGAGGGCCTGCCCGTCAACGGCTGCCCAAAACGAATCAAACAGTGTAGAGATCGGCGTAGGGATCGTAGCAAGGATCTAATTGCGCCATGTCAGGTCCGTCGAATGCAGACTGATGGAAATAGCTCACCATTGGCGGAATCGTGGACAGTACAATAATGACTGCTGGGTACGCCTGTACCGGAGATCCCATACAGCCCAGCTCGAGGAACTGACGGAAGTCGTCGTATGCCTGAGAGTGAGTGATCTTCTGCTCCGCTGCTTGAACCTTCAGCTGTGCTTGTGCCTTCGGCGTCTCTACATCTGCCTCGTCCTCGGAGTCAGATTCGTCTTCTTCTTCGATGTCGGGCATTCCCCTAGCCTCTGTCTCCCATGCAGTTGGGTATTCTGCGGAAAGGAGTGTCGAAGACGGTATATATGTCAATCGAGGAGTAGTACGGACCTTTCAGGAATGTGAGCAAAGGCTGCCACATGGGATTTCTTACTGCAGCGTCGGGCTCTACCCAGGCCGAGCGGAGAACAGCGATACTCAACGACTGCTCTAGACCATGAAAATGCCCTGAGGTGGAGACTGGTAGGTAAGTCATGGAATGCTGGTCAGTTGTTCTGGCACGCACCTTTGTGCGACTTCAACAGTGCTTGAACAGCGCCCCAGCATGCCTTACGAACACCAGGCTGGTTCCACCCAAATGCCTCGAATTCGTCATCCTGCACGAACGGGGGATGTTGCCCACTGTAAAGTGCGGACCATAGTGCAATGTTGTCTAGCGGGCTGATGAACCCTTCCGCAGCTTTTTCATCTTGCCTAAGCTGAGATTGTGCACCTGATCTATCATTGAGCAACGAGTACATGGCTCGGCACACGATGTACAGACCCAACATCCATTCAAGAGCCCCGAAGCCACTAATCCTCATCCGCGCTTTCCTGTCCGTTTCGCTTTCCTCCTCTTCATCTGCCTTTGTGCGGGTGGGCGGTTCTTCAACTCGTCTCGGTACCGGAGTGTTCTTGCCAGAGCCCTTGCGAGACTGAGGAGCTGAGAGAGGCATTGCAAGTTGTGGGGGGTTGATTTGAAGGTAGACACCAGATGGGTCCAGTAGCACTCTTTGCGCGAATTCCCAGAGTGACAAAAACGTAGCCGAATCCAAAGCCAAAGTGGAGGCGCTGCCAGAACCTCGCTCAGCAGAGCGAAGGGCAATATATGCGTTCCAAGCTCCGAGTGCCGCAGCTGAGACTTGCCGGTCGACATCGTAAGATGCTAGGAGCCAGCTGCCCAGGATAAAGTCGACATGGTCTGAACTGGTCCCTTCGCTGAGTAAGAAGGCTATCTCTTTACCGAGCGGAGGCAGCCCGAGAAGGGCGACATGCAAATTTATAGCCAGCTGCCTTACTCGCCTCGAGGGATGCAGGAATAGGGCTGGTACATGATGAAGCTGTGCAAGATGGTTGAGAGCTCCAGATTGCATTCGCAAGAGGCACGGGACATACCCACACGGGAAGCACGACCTCCAAAACACTCAAGACACTTTCGTCGCTTCTGCTCTTCTCTACCCAATCAGCGTGGAAATCTTCCAGAGCGCGTCGTTTCGTCACAGAATCCTTCTTCGCAAGTTTCCTGAGCACCACCAAGAGGTCGGCCGGGATTCGCTGAGCGATACCGAGTGTATCGAGAGGGTCGGGTTGAGCAGGTATAGGTTTTGCAGGAGGGATGTAGACTTTCTTCCTCGGTTCTTTGCTGCGCTTGGATCCCTTCTCCTTGCCCTTCTGTTTCTTCTCCTTCGGGGCCTGCGGCTCGTCCAAGAGCCCGCCAACTGCTGCCGCCTTCCTCGCGTGTTTCTTGCGCGTCCCCGACGATGCAGACGACTTGCCCTTCGCCATGGAACTTGCAAGCCGCTGCTCAGCGAATTAGATGGATAAATGGTGGATGCAAAGAGTGAGGTGTACGCAAATGCTGAGCCCTCCAGAAATCTCAGTTACATGCCTCGATCCGGTAGCGAGATCCAAGTCAGATCTGGGGATTGCATCATAGCGGTATCAGGTGTCCCGTTCCCGTTCCCAGGGTCCCTGGATCGTGGCCACCGCTGAGTCGCATTTGCGCAAACCAGTCACACAAATGAGAGAAGTAAAGATAAACGGTCTAGGTCGTAAAGATGGTATAGGATTTATAGCAAGATAGGGTATAAATGATAACACTACAGGGATTTCGAGTCCAGTGCAGCCAACTGATCTACCAGGTCCTCCATAACAGACTTTGGGTGTTCATGCGCTGATTGGGATGGACCAGCATCAAAGGAAGCTAGTGAGGCATGCATAGAATCTCGTTTTACGGGCACAAGCGGTGTGCTCCTCGGTTCAAACCCTGGCGCAATGCGTCGCAAAGCCTCTCGTTTTCGCCGCTCCTTGTCGTCTTCACGGGACTTGAGATATGCTTCCCGCCTCGCAGCATGCGCTGAAAGGGTAGACCTCCGTGATTCCTCGAGGGTTAGAACATGAGGCTCAATGGTGAATGGATAGACAAACTGCATTGGCCGAAGATAAGGAATGGCAGCACGGAGCAATGACAGGAAAAACTTACGTATGGTGTGACAGAGTCTGGTAACGGATGGATATCCGGAGGCATCTCTACCTGTTCTATGCGTTACTCTCTGACAGATTCATAGGAAATCACAACTTACCGGAGGCGGTACTCGGATACTGGGGGACTTCATCAGCGGCGCGTGAGCAGCCGCTGCATACTGAGTTTGCGCTTGATCTGGGTCAACTCTATGCTTTCACGCTGCTGTTTATAAGCTGACTTACACTGTCCTGTTGTAGACATGATCTCGACCATGTACTGGTTTGCGAGTGATATTGGCGGTGTGGGAGTGGAAGATGCATGCGCTCGCCTGCCTAATCTGGTATGCGGGGGCTTCCGTAGTTAGCGCTTGACGCTGCTCGGTCTACGGTGTGCCGGACGATAATGATGTCGTCCTACATATTTCATGTCAGTTTATAGAGGTGTAAAGTCGACCCAAATTATCTCTTCACTTTATAATTTCAAGATGTCGTCGTGCAGTTCGTTGCACAAGAATGGCGTCATCAACGATCGCTGTCGAGAAAAAGACGGTGGCCGTCCCTGCCACGTCTCCGAGGTACGGTCTCCGCTCAAGGCTTGTAGATAGACTTTAGTCAACGACGACAGCGGGCCAAAGTTCGATGCGCAACGATTCTTACTTGAGAGTCGCATAGAAGACAATTTCAAGCAATTGGATGAACTACGTCTTGCGCTCCACGAGAACGAACGCGAGAGAGCTGTTTGCACCCCAGTACACGTGCTCCCGGACGATATACTGAAGCTCATCTTTGAAGAGGCCTATGCACACAGGCGTGGATACTACCCAAATACCAATCACGTACCGGACAAACTAATCAGTTTTCCATCCACTGCTTCAATTATTCCATTCTCAACTCTTTCTCCATCGACAGACACACTACTTCGCGTATATTGCTCGGGAATAGTGATCTCCAGCGCCCTGCAAACGTCGACGAAATACTGCGGTAGCGGCGCGGTGAGGCCTAAGCGGAACCGCTTGCTGGGTCCTGTCCTACGATATCGCTGTGATAGCCTCTGTTAGTACTAGCCCCAGCGAGAGAGGTTTGGGAACACGCACGTATAGCGAGATAGAGGAGCTGTGAAGGAAGAGAGCACCCGGCGCGAACTCTGGTAGTTGCCATCCAACCAACCTTCTAGGACGTTTCATCTCAGCGTACAGATCGTCACCTAAAACCGGAGCTGCACGTGGACGAAACATGAGCAAGGATTTGCCGGCTTTCGCGGCTGGACGCACCTCTGAGCACTTGCGCCGTATGAATGCGGATCTGATGCTTGCGCCCCGTCTCGGGCATGAACTTGACCAGCTGGATCGGTGCACGGGGCTGCCATTTGTTAGCTCTCCCGAAAAGCAGGATCCAGGTGCAGCGCAAGCACTCACCGAGACCGCAAGCCGTTCCCAGCGCGTGACTGCTGGGAAACCGCTATATCCCTCCCGTGCGATACATGGCCTGCCTTTCCAACTGCCTAGGGGAGCATCGATTGTCCCACTCTCGCCAATATCACGCGCAGTACGTAGCAGTGCAAGGTAAGTCTTCTCGATGCTACGCTCCGCGAACTGCTTCACGATGTCACGCACGGTGGGGACCGACTTGCCGCAGAGGACAATGCCTGTCGTCGGCTGCGGCCGTACAAGCGTGTTCTGAGCAAGATACTTCAGAGGAAACTAGGAGATGGCACACCTTATCGATGCGATGGCAAGGGAGGACATCGCAGTGAAGATTTTGTTCTCGTACGTACTCTAAGGGCTTGTGGTTAGTCCTGTTCGCGCAATTGTGAATATAACAGCACGCACTATCTGTTAGCTCCCGGATCAACCCTGCTTCATTTGGCTAGTGCTACATCAGTTGAGACCTCCTGAAGCGTCCGGCCGATCGTCCTCACGTTGGCAGTGTTGGCTTGTACGCAAAATCCCGGTGGCTTGTTCACCACAAGCAGGGCTCGATCTTCATACAACATAGGGTTCGGAAATGCGACAGAATGAGAGTGAAGAGGGGCGCCATCATGAGTTGACTGGAAAACTAGCCTACAGCGTGAAATGAGTATTCTAATTTCAGGTATGCGAGATGCGTAGACGCACGACGGCAACGCTGCAGCAGCGCGCGGCTCTTGTTGAACGGCCGAATTCAAACATGCTTGCGATGTAGAAAAAGGTCTCCGGCGGGGCGGTAGGCGTGCAGCAACGCGCTGGGCAGGGCAAACGAGCATGGACAAGGTGGTCAAGTACTCAGGCGCTGAAAGCCTAGCGCGGCGAGGTCGCGTTGGCTGATGGCGGCGGGCATCAGCGAATCTGACTCACTGGGATCGACGTACTGTATCCGCACGGAGAACCTCAGCCAAGATAATTGTCTAAATAATCTTTTTTTATATCCTTCTTGCCTCTGCTCGTTCAACTCCCTCGCATAGTGTCAGCCCTTTCTTCAGCGCGGGCCATTGTCTCATGCTCGAGCGGAACTTCTTCCCCTCTGTGTAGTTTGGGGCCGGACCTTCTCCTAGAAACCCCAGGGATTGCAAGTCGCCCTGCCGCGGCCGAGATTCGCTTCCCGGCCTTTGAGGAAAGTGAGATTCAGCACCGCCCTGTGAGACTGAAACTCTCGAGTCCCCACTCATAAAGCAACACTACGGAAATTGCTATCTCTGGAGCATCACAACCCCATATTTCGAGACGAATAAGTAATGGATGTACGCTAGCAGTTATACGGCGCCTTAAGGGTTTCGCTGATCATATCTAAGTAAACTGCTAATGTAAGAGAAATTTTGCGGAGGGATATGAGTCGTACAGCAACGCGCTGAACACGATTGACACGCGCATCAGCGCCACGAAGACTGGCACACGCCGTTTCGCAGCAGGTCTCAGCTTGATCTCGTCCCATATCTCAAATACGGAAGTGATCTGACCACAGCGCATCGGAAGGCCGTAATCGAGCGATAACGAAGGCATCCAAGGCTGTTCTCTAGTATGCTACGTTTTCGGTCATTCGTGAAGGCTATGCGCCAGGTGGCTGCCATATGACTACAATAGCACTGTCGCGGCACCGCGCCAAGTAGAGTTATGTACATAGAAGGCGTAGCACGATACCAGCATCTCTGATGCCCCAAACGGCCCACTACTATGTGAAGCCTGCAGGTTTCACTTTGTACCATTCGCTCCTCTTTACCTGCTTGTCATAGTGACAAAGTAACTTCAGCACGTCACGTATACTCAGGAACTTGTTAGCCGCCAGGACCTAGATGTAACGCTTGTGAATGAATTCTCTCGTTGTGCAAATGTCAGAAGATTCACTCACGATGAGGAAGGCCCTCAGCGCCGCCCAGCCAGCAGCACGATGTATCATTACGTAGTATTCGTCGATAAAAGCTTGCACGCCCGAACGGTACGTCTCGCCTTCGCGATGGAAAGTAAACTTCACCCTAGTGTGTACGTCAAATCAGTAGAGTCATGATGCTGGCACGAAGTCTACGCACCGGTTGAGAAATATCCACCTATTCCACAATGCCATCATCACCTTGTCCTCATCCATGACGTCCGCGAGCTCATAGATCTCCTCCTCGCGGTCAACGATCGACCATGCAAGTATGCCATATGGTTCAAGCGGCAATTCATTGAGCAGGTCATAGATCCGCGGGCCACCCGGGCGGCACGACTCAAGCGGGGGTTCCGCGGCAGGCCCAAGGGGATTGGTCTCAGGTGGAGGGACGAGCTCGCCCATCTCGGTGATGCCTGTACGCGGCACGCGCCCGGGTGGTGTGGGTTGCCGTTGAAGAGCGATTTCCTCGTCTTCGTGCTTGAGCGCGATGTTAATCATTGACGTGGGCGGGGTGGTGCGGGAGGATTGCGAGTTGATCTCGACTGTGTCAGACTCGTCAACTTGCATCGGCGAGGCAGATGTATGTTGCCGGGCATTAGCCGGAGCCTCGACAGTAGATGTAGGGGATCTGGAGAAGGTCAGAAGTCTTGAATGCATTGGCATAAAACATACGTACGGCAATCTCGGTGGCAGGTCGACATATTCTAACTCGTCGTCTGAGGACTCTTGCACTCGCAAGATATCCTCTTCTTCTTCATCGTCTTCAGATGGTTCATCTTGCGTTAACTCAGGCAGATGAAACGTGTAATGCCCAGTATCACCCTATAATCACTATCAGTTTGCACAAGAAATGCATGAAGCGGAGCACTGACCTCTGTTCTCCACGTCATCTGCACATCAGCGTGGCCTTGGGCAAGGTGATAGCGGAGCATTTGTTCTGTGTTCAGGCGGCCAAGCAGATCACAGAATGGGCACCGCCATTCTGTCACCAGCTCACGATACTCAGACCAACGTGGAGTGGGAACTTGTCCTGGGAAGAGGTCTTGTGGGATACGGAAGCGATAAGTGTATTTAATAGCCTTTTCAGGCTGTTTTGGCGGGAGAGTAGGTACTCCTCTGAGTTCACAAGTGCGTGTGAAAGATTTACGGAGATTTTGCAAGAGGAAAGGCACCCGCTTGTGCACTTGCAGGCGTATTCCCACTCTGAACGATGCAGCTGCTGCCAGGAAGCCCGCTTGGTCTTCTTGGGGATCTTCTTCCTCAGAATCGCTGGAGATGATGACAATTTCTTGCATGCGCTTCGCTTTCTGAGGCCTGGCCAAGGTAGCAGCGAGGGGTGTAGTCGTACGGACTGCGGATGATGCCGGCAAGTCATCTGTAGACAGGATTCCCCGCGCAGCAACTTTAGTAGACTTTCTGCCAACCTGAGATGATCCCGTGATGGACTTTGTGACTCTGAGGCTAATAGAACAATTTAGATATATATATATATATATTATGAAATGGGAGAACGTACTCATCTGAATCTTCATCGTCAGACATTTGCACCAGTTCTCCGTCCCGCAGGTGAACTCTCCCACCCGGAGGGGGAGTATAATGGGGAGTGGAATATTTTCTTGCCGCGGATGCCCTAGAAGAGCGCATGCTCATGGTGGATATCCTTGAGCCAATGCGACGAGAGTCTTGGTCATTGTCATCGTGTTGAGGAAGATCCAGAAAGCTGTGTATGTCTGGGTAGGTGGACTTGGTCGCCGTTGGATAGAAGTTAGATACACTAGGTGTAGAGTAGTTCGGTGCGCCGCCACGCTGAGGATGGCCTCTGAAGGGATGTTCTCGCCCTCGGAATTGATGGGGCCTTGGAAATTGGAGCGGATCGGGGCGCGGTGGCAGAGGATGGGACACCTGCGGAGAATTTCCTGGCCTAGGTGCAAAGCTATCGGACCCTCCCGTGGCCGGACGAGACGAGGAACCGGGTGTGGCTTGTGGATAGTATGTGCGGCTGGGTGGTATCCGCTCATCCCTTTGCCGGAGCGGATACATTGTATTTCCTATACCATCACTATTATCAGCAGTCCTCATGAGGTGAAAGTCCTCTACTCATACTATTGATGTTCTCGCAGCAGCAACAGACGGTGGTTCAGAAATGCAAACTGGACGCGAGGGTGGGCGGCAAAAAACGCGGTTCAATAATTCAGAGAAATTGGGCAGACTGTAAGAGTTGTATGTGAGACACTGCATAATCCCAGTACTACTGTAGCTCTTACACAATGATCTATCAGCCGAGTAAGTAAGAGGTGGTCGTAGACGTGTACATGTGGCGGACAGAAACAAAGTATGGCCGAAGCGTCCAAGCCCTGAGACTATCGAGGAGACGCCGGTGCGAAAGTCGCCGCCCACCGCCATGGCAGGCAAACAGAATGACGGGCAGGCAGAGAGAATAGGTTAGTAATCTGGAAACACTGCGAGTGGATATTCAATTGACTCCTACATTAGACTTCAGCAAATTTGGCGGAGCAGAATCACTCTCGGAAGGTCGGTCACCACGTCGGACGGTCATCGTGTCTCCCAGCAAGGATGGGAATGATGACTCGCTGTATGGGCACCCCCAGGACCCCTCTGACTTTCTATGGATCATGACGGAGGAGCCGCATAGGAGTAGGAGGATGGCGATTATGAAAGCCCACCCTGAAGTGCGTCGTTTTGGGATGCTGGAAGCCGCGTTGAGTTAAAGCGATGCTCTAGGTCACGAAGCTCATGGGTCATGAACCGCTCACTAAGTGGGTTGTTCTCGGTGTAGTACTGACGCAGTTGGCCTGTGCTTTGTGGCTTCGCCATACACGTCCCCTCTCTCCGCTCTTTCTCATTATCGCGTACTCGGTTGGAGGCACCCTCAACCACAACCTCTTCTTGGCCATTCACGAAATCACGCACAACTTGGCATTCAAGGGCATTGGCGCAAACAAAGCTCTGGCTATCTTTGCCAATCTTCCCATCGGCATCCCTTATTGTGCCATGTTCAAGGTACGTCTTTATCCTCCATAGCAACGAAACAGGCCCACGGACGCGTTTTCTCCAGAAATACCATCTCGAACATCACAAACAGCTGGGAGAAGATGGGATTGACACGGATCTGCCGACCCATCTAGAGCTACTTGTCCTGAACAACGTGTTGGGCAAGGTGTTCTTCGCGTACGTCCCGCGCTCGTCCACGCCTTTGCGTATCTAATGTCTCTTCAGGACCTTTCAGATATTGTTCTACGCTCTCCGTCCAGGTTTCGTGAAGGCGCAACGACTAACAAAGTGGCACTATTACAACATCGTGGCTCAGCTCATGTTCGACGCCCTTCTAGTCAAGACCCTCGGCATCAAGCCCCTCCTCTACCTTCTCTTCTCGAGCTTCTTTGCTGGCAGCTTACATCCCTGTGCGGGACACTTTATTGCCGAGCACTACCTCTGGGATGGTTTAGAACAAGAGACGTACTCTTACTACGGACCGTTAAATACTCTGGCTTATAACGTAAGCTCGCCGATGCTCTCTATGATTGCGCATCTCACTCTAAGTAGGTTGGATACCACAATGAGCACCACGACTTCCCATCAGTCTCCTGGACGCGTCTTCCCGCGCTGCGCGCACTCGCACCCGAGTTCTACGACACGATTCCCTCGCATCCGTCCTGGCCGATGATCATCGTGAACTTTATTCGCGACCCCAATGTCGGCATCTTCTCGCGCGTGAAGCGCCTCAGTAAGCAGGCGCGCGCTGACGCCGAGGCAAAGCATAAAGCTACGGACGCGAAAGATGCGTCAGAAGGCAGCGTTGCAAGCTCGGACGATTCAGACGACGCTGCTGAAGAGAAGAAGTAGAGTTTGGTGCTTGTAAAAGCTTTGGGAAATAGATTGTTTCATTAATTTGGGACTGCGCTGACAGGCTGTCACTCATACCTTACTCGTAGATAGACTATTCATGCTGGACCTGATAATGGCTGTAAAGCAGTACCGCGCACATGTCACTCTCTCGCTCTTCATAACCCTCGATGGACACCGCCCGGGGGGGAGGCAGTTTCATCACGAACACGCTTCCTTGGCCGAGCAGACGTCTCCACGCGTACACCCTAGTCACTGGAGAAGCTCGTCCGTGAACGCCTGATTGCCCCCGAATTCGCCCCGGACAAATTAGCTCGTAAAGCTATCCCAACCGCGCAAGTGAGCCTTTATTCAACGAACTGGCTTTATCGACAACAGATCGTCCGGTGTCATCTTTCGGTCATCACCGTCTTGGTGAGCTTGTCTAGCTTGGTGTCTCCTGTTGCTCTTCGCGCAAGCTAATTCGCCGGCGCTCTGTAACCGTCAACTCGGCAGCTCTCAATTATGCTCTGCCCGTGCTCCATTCAGACTGCCACTCTGCCAGTAGTGAAGTCGTCCTCGAACGTCAGGGCCACGATATTGATCTCAGCTTGCCCTTCCTCTCGTACCTCGCTTCGCGCGATGCGCTCTTTCCGTTTGGGTCCGCATTATTCCTGGAGTAGGACAACTTAGCTCCCACACGAGCCTGCTACATATCTCAATGGCGCGCGGTACTCCGAGTGCCAGGACAGCGTCAGCGGTCATGAAGTCGCTCCATGCGTTCTGGCGGCGCCGCTTTCCCGGCATTCATGGGCCGGGCCAATGGCCATACAAGCTGCCGACCACTACTAGTACTAGTCTCCCGATACTTACGGGAGGTACACTCGCGAGCACCCAATACTATTGGTGCTATAAACCTCGCTGCAAGCGCGACCACACCTTCACCCCTCTCATCACCAGCCCACCCAACCTTCATCTCACTCAATAAATGAATACTGGTCGGTACGTTGCGCACGGACCCCTGCTATTAATTTTATGGGTAGCCGGTCTACTCATAGCTTCGATCGCACTCGCTGCGCGAGTTTCTCTCATATCTACAGGTGAGACAGCAACGTTCAGCTCGCAGTAATACGCCGAGCTAGTTTGGAGTCCCGGTCTCACCTTTGGTAGCTGATTTGGGTACTTTCTGGATTGTCGTTAACTTTTTTTGGCTCTGCTAAATACTCCTTGGATATAAGAAACGTGATTTTGGAAAGGATCTGTAAGCACTCGTTTGTCTCCTGAAAGTGATTGACTAATAACATCTGTCCAGATGGCTTCGGCGGAAAAGTCAAACTACAAGAGGCTTCGATAGAAGCTGTGATACGAGAAAACCGGGTAACAGTGTTGCAATGCAGATCATAGATGTACTGCTCATGTTGCTCTTAGGAGGGGGTGGGCGGGACACTGTTTTACGTCTACGAAGACACAGATTATGCCTTTCATACTGATACTTTAACCGCCAACGAATGCACCCGCGCCATCACAGAGTACGTTAGCTTATTCTCACTGCTCAACCAGAGTCTGTTGACACCTCCACTCTGTAGGACGAACGAGATGCTCCCCGAGTAGTTCTTTACGTCACAAGACACCTCCGGCACAGAGCTCCCGCTGGTTCTGTACAGCTGGACGTGGCCTTATAACGTTTTCTGAATACCTATATCCCCCACGAACAAACCTTTCATCGGGCGTGCCTACCTTGCGCAAGATAGAACAGTGCGGAAGTGGTGGTTCGCGGAGATATGATCGTGGATTTCGCGTGAACAGCTAGAGTACATCTTTAGATTTTCTTACATGCTCCTAGAGATATGGATCTATGGTATGTTAAATTTTCCCTTTGGACAAGGCTCCCTCCAGCAAGTCAAGTGTGACCGAAGCTGTTCCCCAGGAAGACTGGAATCCTCCGCCACCATGTCTGCGAGAATGCCATGAGCGTGGATGCACTTCCTCGATTAGAACTGCGCCTACCCGTAGTTGAACACAATAGGGATCTCCTTATCGCCGACGTTGACCCAGTCAACGTCCAGTCTGACACCACCCTTGCGCGCAGGACGGAAGCCACAGCCCTCCTCAAGTACGAGTGGGAGTAGGTCGTCCACCGTAGGCGTGCGGACAGATCGCACCTCTGGGGGCGCGAGCTCCGGACAGAGGGCGAGGCAGCGTTTGAGAATGTCGGTGGTCGTCTCCGGGCGTGCAACCGGATACCTGGAAATCCATCAGACCATCCTTCATTCATGCACCGCTACAGAGTTGGTTATTACCAATCGTTTTCTGCCTTCGTCCCTCCGAGAATGACCTGTTTCCCACCATCAGCCGGCGCTGTCCAGATATCATTTATACCAGGTGTACGTACGTCCCCAGTTCGCCGTGGAATAATGTAAGTCCAGAGACCGTGTTGCAGATGACTTGCCGTGCGCCCGAACTTGATCCATGGCGCGCGGAGGAGCACGACTTGGCCACGAACAGGGAATACGTCAACGTCCTCGATACCTCCGAGCGTGCGTGCACCGAGACCAGGACAGGCAATGATGGCGTCGACAGGGTGTTTACCTGCACGGCTGGGTGTGAAGACGTGCGCGCCGCCTTCAGCGACCTGCTGGACATGCTGGACAGATGCACGGACGACCGTGCCGCCCTTGGCCAGGAAGCGCGAGAGCAGGTAGTTACAGTACGCGGGCGTGTTGATCGTTAGAGTTGTGAACTTGATCCCGAACTTCGCGTCTGGGATGAATGAGTTGGGGGAGAGCTCCGCGTACTGTCATCCCTTGGTCAGCTACAATGGTTGGTGAGATTATCTATGAAGGCGCGCACGTCCGGCATCCATTCTAAGTGAGGGTTTCGGCCGTCGTAGAAGTAATCAGTCTGTGGAAGGCGGAGGAAGCAGCCTTCGGCCTCTCCTCCGGGTGCAGACATCTCCCACATGACTTTAAAAGTATCTTCATCTATTTCTGTGTGTTAAATGGAAAGGAATCAGCGTGTCCATTCTGAAAATTTTGAAGTCTGAGTATACTTTGCTGCTTCAGATCGCCTTCAGCATGGCTGACGTGGTGTGCACCCTGTATCACAGTATCTCAGTAACGCAGACGGCTAGATTCAAGGATTGGCCGCAACTTACAGCCCATAGGCTTGTATACTTGATGGTCTTGGGGTCAGAAGGAAACGTATCGGCCACAATGGACACGGTGTGTTCGCCTTTCTCCAGCACTTTCAGAGCCGTGGTAAGGCCGACCACACCTGTGTAGAGCAGCATCAGTCACCGTCTGCCACATGTGAGCCGTTAGCTGGAACAAACCGGCTCCGATGATCACGATGTTCTTGGGGACGTTTGTAGTGAACATTACGTTAGGCAGACTGCGCTAGGAAATTCAAATCAGCTGGACAAAGATTCGTTGGCTTTATACGAGGCTGGTTGCAGCGATCACGTCGGCAGATATTGCGACTTTGGCTAATACAAATAAAGGAATACGCAGCGAAACGCCTGCCAAGCAGGTACCGGCCGGTGTGGGATGTACCTGGAAAGCTTGTATATGATCCCAGCTACACGATATATGGACACGCCACGTCACTAAGCAGAGTCTAGGGCCGGGTCTTGAACTCTGCCTTTAGCTCTAAAGCTCATGCATCATGAGTCACCGACTCTACATGTACACTTGCGCCCAGATTGTGGTAGTATCACCAGGCTGAGGCAAGTGCCACCGCAGTACTAGTACAGCTCAAAGTGGAGACAAGAGCGAACATGTCGCCTTCCTCATTTACTCTTGTCTTGTGTCCTTCCTTGTTTTATAGCGGTGGTTGAGCACGAGGTATGGCAGACGGGTACGTTGCATAAGGCTAGGCATGAATTTCATCTACATACACAGCAGGCGAAGATGTAGCCCACCCTACTATCTAGAAGACCATCATCGCGACGCACGCAATAGAACTGCTAGCGAAAAGGGAGCCATAGCTTACTCTCGCCAACAAATAAATGACTCCTTCTCATAGACGGAATGCAGAAGAAGCGATAGGGATGCTGGCTGAGGAGCACTATTGCGGTAGGCGTCGACAATTTTATGTTATCCAGTTCGAGCTCCGAATTAACTAAAAGCGCCATCAACTAATGCGCCATTCCCGGACGTCAGAACATGCAATAGATACCAGGTACTTACTGAATCGGCCGAGTAGTGGAGATCGCAGGGTTGTTACCTGACCATTAGGAATAACACCAGTGAGTACATGGAGGCCCTGAGGACTGCATTCCACAGTTCACTACCTATGTGCGGGATCGCCGTGGTGTTCCAACCAGATAAAAGACGGAAATTATACAACAATTCTAGCCGTACAGTCATAAGTGATCCAAACAATTCGCGGCGCGCAGTATATCAAACAACTTCGACGAAATTGGCAGGGAACGATCCTGTACGGCCTTCCAGCTTACCAGTCCACCTGTGTATGCCATCAGGCGAAAGAAGGACCTCCGAGCCTAAGGACAACGCACCAAGTATCTGTGTTGTCGCTCATCTCGGTGACTGTAATGACTTCGCCCTTTTTGAATGACAGATCTCCCGACTACGGGGAGTCAGCTCAACGACTGTTAAGTCGAAGATACAAGAATTTACCTGAACAGCATTGAAATCGAACAGCGCAATGGCCCTTGCAATACCTTCATGAGGCTTCAAAGGTCGAGTCAACTCCATTTTAGGCGTCAGTCTAGGCGGTGGAGGACTGCTGCCTCGGATACTTCGTCCGACGCTGGGGATCGGCGCTCCAAAGACATCGTTGTCCCGCTCGAGGTCATCGTGATCATCGAAATCGTCAGGGGAACGGTCGTAGGGTGACTCGAACGGATTGGAATTGGACCTCGCTTTGCCAAAGCGGGACGACGTCGGCGGTGTATATGTGCTCACGGAACGTCTGTGAGAGGGGGAGTTGGAGCCGATACCGGTGAAGTGATAGTCTGTCCCAGTAGCAGGGATAGAATCCCCACGACGACGAATATTGCGGGGCTCATCGTCTGGTCTGTAGTCTGACTCGAATCTGGTATCGAAGTAGTCGGTAGTTGGTTCGTCCCTGCTCCTACCAGCGTAGGTTGAAGCTCTGGGGCGGCTCTCCAATGATCCGCTGCTGTCACCGAATTTGGTGTTCATACCAGTACGCCATTCGCGGTGAGGATCGGTGTTCTCGCTGAAGTCAAAATAGCTGCTATTCCTGGAGCTCATGCCGGGCCGCTTCTTATTTTGCCCTCTACCGCCGCTCTCTTCGCGCGGGCTCTCCACATTGTCGAACATGTAATCATCGTCGCGATTACGATTGAGCTCTTTGACCCATTGACGGTTACCCGGCATACCTGTGCAGTTCTCAAGCGTCCTAATGAGAACTTGGGCCCACGCGTGAGGCTCAATAGCACCACTCAAGAGCTGCTTGGCAGATACGTCGGAACGATAAGCTTGCGCATTGGCATCTTGGCGCTCTACTATAACCGATCCCTCGAGAGACACGCCGCCGAACAAGCCTCTGGTCTTTGAGTAGCTGTACCTGTGAGAAGCTATGAGTAGTGCAAACGATGATTGAGCACGGAGGAACCAACATAGCAGCAACCTTTCCGCTCGTGTTAACGGATCCGATCGCTTCCCCGTTTCGGCCAAGCGGACCCACGGCGACACTAAGATTACCGCCAAGCGTCACATTTCCCGCAGCCATGAAGGATTGCTAGGAGAATGATGAGCAGCAGCGCGATGCTGAGGAGACAGTGTGCTTACGACAGCCTGTAGAAATAAGCGGTCAATACGTTATGAGACATCAATGTTAATGCGGAATAGGACTCACAGATCGAGAGTTTAGCACGACGAGAAAGTCAGTCATCTCTGCGCCGGCCTGGCCGCCGACCCCGAGACCCGCGGTTCCAATGGCACTCGGGGCCGACCACGCTGATGCAAGTCAGACGAATACAGTGAGAGAAAGGGTAGGTGGTACTGACCTCCGTCCGACAAACGGGCAATGACCACGCCGCTGCCTGCGCGGGCTGAGAACAAGAAGCCGGCCTTGAAGACGGTGAAGATGGCGAAGCCTTTAGCATTCTCGAGAACACTACGCGGTACGACCTAGCAAAGTGTACCGGTCCTTTGTCATGCAGTCGTGACAGCGCGGGGAACCAGAGCTTACGCCGTCGAGCCCGTTATTACCGCCGTCTACAAAGGACTTGACTGAGAGGGTTGTTAGCGGCAGCCTCGGTGAGCTAGATGTCGTACATACAGATCCTTGACGCTTTCTCGCATTCCTTTGGGAGGTTGTGGGGAATAGGCGAGTTGAATTTCATGGAGGTAAGAGGTGAGGGGCACGAGCCGTGGCTGCCGTTCCGGGCTCATTACCGCATAGATAATCCGAAAATGGCATTCTTTGAGTTTTTTTTATTACAGTCCTCTCTAAAACCCTACAGGGGAAAACCGTATATTAATTGCGCTATAACCCTCGCTTGAAGCAACATTCACCTCTTGTCCCAACTTTTACACTCAGGCATCCTGGATTGGTTGCGAAAGCTGTGACCAGCCTCGGCCGGCCTGTCTTGCGCAAACTCTCTAGATCATGTCGTCAAAACGCCCCGCCGGTGCCTCCCCGGACACGAGACCATCCAAGCGACCGATGACCTACTCCCCCGAGGAAGGTGAACTCGACGACGCTACGCCTCCTCGGCCCAGTGGGTCGTCCTTTGCGCCTTCTCCATCTCAGAGCAAGGCGTCAGGCAAGCCTGGGGGCAAGGTGCCCTTCCCGTTCAAAAAGAAGGCTACCCTACCAGATTCTCTCCCAGAGAGACCACTCCCGCCGCTTGCATACAGTCGGATTGATGACGATTTAAGGCACCGGGAGGACGATGTACGGAGAAATGGACATGCGCGTCCTCCGCGCGCGCGCGCAGGAGACCATTGGGCGCCGGCGTACCCTGACAGCAGGGGACCGCCACCTCGTCCACAATGGGACCAGCATCCTCCGAGGTATGATGACGATAGATCGTACAGGACGCGCGGAGAAGCAGATCACTGGGAGCCGCGAGATTATCCATCGCAAGGACTTCTTTCCCCTAGACCTAGCCGAAGATCTCGCTCGCCGTCTTCGCCTCGTTCGCGCAGTCCATTGTCTCCGGAGAGCACTGGGAAGGAGAAGCATCGTCTGCCACGACCTACTGCGGTTGATGCGGACAGACGGTACGATGACGAACGGCGCCGTTCGTGGGACAAGTCACGAGAACGCCTGCACGACTACAGGAGGGAGCGGAGTCCGGGCTGGGGCGACTCCTACCGACCGGCCGATGATGAATATTATGGCTCGCGCATAGACCTTGACGACCGTTGGCGTTCTCGTCATGCAGACGATGAGGACAGAAAGTATTCCTACACTCGCAGCTATGACCGTCCGTCATATAGACCCTCAGAATCGTACCAACCATTATCACCCCGTACTCCTCCGCGACCATTGTCTCCACCTCGGTCTCCTCGTGATGTATCGCCCCATCGTGACGAGCCTAAGCAGGTTACTATCGATGGGAAGTCTGACGCGCTGCCTTTGCAGCACAGCACGGTCAAGATTGCTCTGCCGAAGAAACTGCCGACCCCACGGACAAGCCCTTCTGCATCTCTTCTCATCGGCAAAGACGTTCGGAAACCACCTCCGCAGGAGCAGGATTCTCAGCCGAACGGAGAGCTTTCTGTACCTGAGGCGCCCGCAACCACGCCTCGGCCCAGGCGGAAACCGGTGTACCGCACGCGAGAAGAAGAAAGGAATGCTTATGGACGTATATTTGAAGGCCGCGGATTGCAGAGCGACTACGACGTTCTTATGAAGCTCGGTGAGGGAACTTTTGGGTATGTGCGTTTCTGGGCTTTGCAACGGATTCGATCGACTCTTGCCACGAGAGACATTTTTGATTACGTTTACTGACGTATCTTGCTCTGTAGTGAGGTGCATAAAGCTGTACATTGCATGAAAGGACACCAAGTCGCGCTCAAACGCATTCTCATGCACAATGAGAAAGAGGGCATGCCAATCACGGCCCTCCGAGAGATTAAAATACTGAAGGCACTGCGTCATCAAAATATAGTAGATATCCTGGACATGTTTGTTGTTCGCAGTGAGTCAGTCCTCTTTTTGCGTTGCTCTCACAGACTTACTCATCGCTACGCCAGGCCGAGGCAGCGAGGCACCGTTGTCCGTATACATGGTCTTTCCGTACATGGATCACGACTTGGCTGGACTGCTGGAGAACGAACGCGTTAAGCTCTCCCCTAGTCAGATTAAGCTGTATATGAAGCAACTTCTGGAGGGTACGGAATATATGCATCGGGTACGTGTGCGAACTTCCACTCACATCGGACGTTTAAGTGACAGCTGCGCAGAATCATATTCTTCATCGTGACATGAAGGCGGCGAATTTGCTCATCTCTAATAATGGCTCGCTGAAGATTGCTGACTTCGGCCTCGCCCGCGCCTTCGATCCTAATCTGGTCCGAGACATGGCCAATGTTCCTCCGGAGAAGCAGAGGAAGTATACCAATTGCGTCGTGACGCGATGGTACAGACCTCCTGAGCTTCTCTTGGGTGCTAGGCAATACGGTGGAGAAGTGGATATCTGGGGAATCGGGTCAGAGAGCATTTCAAGCATCTGTCAGTAGCTGTCCACTGAAGCTTTTGGTAGCTGTGTGCTTGGTGAGATGTTCTGGCGAAAGCCCATTCTGCCAGGGTCCTCCGACCTCGATCAACTCGACAAAATATGGCAGCTGTGCGGCACACCCACTCAGTCCACCTGGCCGAATCACGATGCTTTACCTGGCTGCGAAGGCGTTAAGCGATTTAACATGTACCCCCGACGGGTAAAGACGATGTTTGAGTCGTAAGTCAGCCTGGTTAACAGTGGGTATTCTTGGCTCATCGCCCCTCCAGCATTGGTCCCGAGACCGTGGATCTCTTGGATAAGCTCTTGACCTGCAATCCGAGGGAACGCGTCACAGCAGCTCAAGCACTGGACCACGATTACTTCTGGACAGATCCTCTGCCAGCTGATCCTAAAACGTGGGCACTTCATTTTATCAGCCATCTTGGGCTATTGCTGACAACCTCACGACCATCGTTCGCGTTTTTTGTTGGTACGTATCCCATCCCTCATTCAGTCTTCCTACGTATGAGGCATCCCATGAGTTCGACAAACGTGGCCGTCGTCAACCACCTGTTGGCCCGCCTGCCCCTGCCCCTGCGCATCCGCCTATCGAAGCGTCATACAGACCTCCGCCAGCGCCCACTCGTCCACCACTTCACTATACCGGCAGACCTCCGCCACCAAGAGAGTCTTTCCGTAATGGTCCTCCGCCTTCACACCACCATCTCCCTGCTAGCCGACACCCGCCGCCCATGAGACACCCGCCGCCGGCGTCCGCACCGATCACACTACCTCCTTTAGTTTACCGCCCGTATGAGCTCCCGCTGCTTTTCCCACCGCCACCTAAGGACGACCAGAAGGACCGTTCCGCTAAGGACCGCCCTGCTAAGAACCGTCCCGCTAAGGAGCGCCTCACGCAAGAGCGCCCTGCGCACCTGCCTCCTCGCCCACAGGTCCCGCTCGGCGACGAGCGACCGCGGGACGACCGCGGGGGCAGCTATGATCCACCGGACCCGACCTCAGAACTCAACTATGGTTGAAGCACTCTGGACATACTATACCTTCTCATTGTTTTGTGCTGTCGCTGTCGCATTGCATTCTTTATATATCCTTGTTCTCGTGCGCGGTTGATATTCTTAGAACCCCGATCTTTCGCGGCACTCTCGTTGCCTCCCGCGACGCGTGCGCTAACGCCTTCGGTAGACGCCGACGCCTAATTAACGTGTTGCTCGAGGCGCGCCAGGTTCTGCAGTGTAGCACATCCGTGCGTCGTCCAGGAATGTTTGGACCAAGTATTCTCAACGGCCTCCCATGGTGTGTCGAAATGTAGTAGGTGTCGTTTTTTCTCGTTCTCACGAGAGCTACAGCTGGGATGGCCCGTCGATGTTCGTGAACAAATCGGAGACGTGCGCGACGCGCAAGCTGCTGCAGTGTCGCGACCTTGGTATCTACATGAACGACGTCTGGAGCAAGTTCCAAGGAGACAGCATCCCTGACCTGCCCAAGGACCACTTCGACGAGCGTCAACGCGTTGTGAAGGCGGTGGAGAAGTGGTCTGAGGGGCACGAAGGATAGGGGTCGACCCTCGTGCCTAAGAATGAGTGGACACCTATTCTGTACAACTTCGAGGTGTGTGGCACATTTCTAGCTGTGTCAAGGAGCTTCACCAGGCGATCAGGCAGCGAAAGCCTCTGCGAGGCGCAACGTGAGTGACAGGGCTGAAAATTGTCGTTTTCTTCACCGTTCAGCGTGCTCCAGCAAGACTGGGGACATCTCGTCTTTGTTGATCTCACTTTAACGGAGATCCTGCTCGTGATGTGCTTTGGACCTGACGAAGACGGTGGGTGTGTTAAGACTTTGATAGGTGTCCTGTACCAACACTGGAGCCAGGGCACGGTAAAAATGCTCACGCCCACTACTTCACCCTTACAAAGTACCATGCAGACCGCTTCATGTCGCTGCTGAAGTACATCTTCCATGACGAACCTAAGCCTAATTGGTATATGCTCGGAATGTCACTTGTATGGTCGCTAAGACACCAACTATTCGCAGGGTTCGAGCGACGTACACGACTTTCACGACATCGATCAGCCCACGACGAGGTGGTTGCCCACCAGCCTCGTCCCAAGCTCCTGCACTCGACGCGGCTCTGTGGCAAGTCCGCTGAGGTTTGTGGTAACTGTGACGAGGTCGCTACGGCGAAGATGCTCCAATGCGGCGTGTAAGCTTGCAACAAACATCCTGTCCTGTTTATCAGAATCCCTTACAATATTTGTTTTCATAGGTGCAAAATCGTCCGGTACTGCGACAAAGTATGGTGCGCTTGCTGAGGAGGTCACTTCGATAGTACCAATCGCTTGCGTATCTACGGCTGCAGCCAAAGGGCTCACTGGCCGATTCACAAGCAATACTGCAGGAAGCATCGTGGCTGAGACTCTAGTTTCTCGATACTGCTTCCCCAAATTTCCTGGGCGGTATTGATGGGTATATGCGGCGAGATTTTTGACATCATGACAAGCCGAGCACGTTTGCAAGACCTGGTTGTGCAGTTCTACTAAACCGTGCGAGTTCCGTGCAACGAGGCCTCTTACGCCTTCGGTTAATGCTTGTTCGACATCAATTCATGATGATTTTCTTTTCAACGACTGTCTAAGGCAAATGACTGTATACTGCCCTCGCTCCTCTATGGACGAGTAATAAACATAAGGATTTGTATTATCGGGGATGTCTGGAGACAACCCCCAGGCTGCAATTGCAGCAGCATGTTCTCGGTCAACGTCGGGTACTACCGTCGCTAGTACAGATTTCAAGACTCACGAAAAGCTCGCAGAGAGCTGGACCGCGCGCAAATGGTAATCCTAAGGCAAACATTTGACTTGCTGTGCAATTCCGCCCTACGACGAGTTAAATAGGCCGCCTGGACGGGTGTGCACACTTTCTTTGAAGAAATCCCGCCAGACACAACATCGACTTTTAGGCGCCGCATCTTCTCGGATTTTCTCACGACAAGCGTGTTCTCCATTCTGACGGTAAAGATATCATCCGTGATGAGGATCGCACAAGAGAACAGGCCAGGCTCTCTGCGATGCCGGTCACGGTGGAGGATGACCAAAGCCGCAGCTATAGTAATGTCTCCACCCACATGCGACCCCTGCAGGGTCCGGGGAATTGCTTATATAGTATTCCATGAAATTTCTCTGGTGTCATGGTCCCCAGCTCCCTTGCAGACAGACCTTTACACTTCCCCAGACTCCCCTGTGAGGAGGGAGGCTTTTTCTGACTAGTTCCACATCTTGTCTTTTGCGCTGCAGCTGCCAGTGAGCGAGCATGAGCAGTACCAAGTACCGGGACGCTTGTATCATCGCGACCGTCTGCTGCGTGACAATCCTGAGTGTAAGCCCCGCTGGCATCGGTGCACTTCTCGTATACTCCATTGACGTCGGCTACGATAGATTTTTTTGACCGGGGCCACAAGCGTTGCTATTACCACTATCGGTAGGGACCTAAACTTTTCACAGGAGGATCTCCAATGGCCTCTGAACGTCTACTCGTAAGTTGCTACTATGCTGGCATGCTGTTAGGTAAAGGCACTGAACCCGACCCACGTTACAGCTTGTCGTATGGATGCTTGCTGCTACTCTGCGGCAGGCTGGCAGACATGATTGGTAGCAAGAGGGTCTTCCTCCTCGGTTCGGCATGGTTCAGCGTCTGGTAAGTAGCTCTATGGAACTGTCTCATCGACATTGACGTTTCATCCCCCTTAGGAGTATTGCAGCTGCTTTTGCAAGGAGTCCCCCGCAGTTCATCGTCTTTCTTGGGCTTCAAGGCATAGGATCTGGTTCGTCTTGAAAGCTGCTCGTGTTATCACTCCCAGGGAGCTGATTTTGCGAGTAGCGGCAAACACTCCAGCAGGCATTAGCCTCATCTCTTCGTACTTCCCACCAGGCAAGAAGAAAAATACTGCGTTTGCGGTGCTCGGCGCTGGCCAGCCTATTGGATTTATCACCGGCATGATCCTTGGCGGCATCCTCAGTCAGTCCAGCGCGTCGTGGCGCACGATCTTCTGGCTACAGGCCGGGTTAAGTGCGGTCCTTTGCGTTCTGGGTTGGCTATGCCTGCCCAAGGACGATATGTTAGGTCGCTACAACATGGGTTTGGACTGGGTGGGCGCTGTGCTCAGCACCACAGGCCTCGGGCTCCTGGTGTATGATCTTGCGTAGGTAACTACCACTGCTACCGATTAATCTATTGCTAACCTTCCTCATCAGCGAGTCAACCGCGACCCCTAAGGGCTGGGCAACGCCGTTCGTCCCCTCCCTGTTGGGCACGGCCATCATCCTCATTGTTTCTTTCGTCTTCTGGGAGCTGCGCCGTGAGGCCAAGGGCCAGTCAGTCCTACTGCCGATGAGTCTGTGGACCCAACCAGGCGCGAAGATGGGTCCCGTCATCTTGCTCGTGTTCTTCGGCTGGTGGGGCTTCAACACCCTTGGTTACTTTGTACCTCTGTTCTTCCAGGAAGTTCAGTTGCTAAGCCCCTTACAGACTGCCGTTAGGCTTGTACCTATGGGCATCTCTGTACGCCTCTTTGCAATAAGATGCACGTCAGTTGCTCACGAGACTGTCATCACAGGGTCTCGTCGCGAACGTTGCTACTGGATATCTCGTTGGTGGTGTCCCAGGGCAGATTCTTGTTGTCATTGGCCTGTCGTCTGCTATGGTCAGTCTCTGCGATGTTACTCAGTCAGCTGATTGCTGATATATCTTAGGCTTCCTGCATCATCTTCGCGCTAATGAAGATCACCGCGACATACTGGTCCATGGCGTTCCTCGTCATGACTCTGCTTCCTATCCTTGATATTGCGTACACTGTAGCCAATATGCAGGTGTGCTCGAGTTTCCCCGCCCATTCCCAGGCACTTGCCGGCAGCATCTTCAGCGTCGCCACTCGCGTAAGTATCACCCTAACCCCTCTCCGTTTGCTGCGCTCACGCTTTATGACTGATAGCTGGGAACATCTATCGGCCTCGCCGTGACTTCAACCATTGCCAACTCTGTCTCAGCCAAGTTCAACCGCCAGCATCCCGAACTAGGTGCCGAGGACCCGGCGGTGCTCATGGCCGGCTTCCGCGCAGCAGGATGGACTTGCTGCGGCGCCATCGTTATTGCACTCATCATTGCCGCCGTCGGCTTGCGCGGCATAGGGCTCGTCGGACAACAGCGCCCTGCCGCATGCGCAGAGAAGTCCGACGGCGATATCGAGCTGGCCACGGGCAAGCGCAAGCCTTCGCCCGGCTCTGCGAACCTTGTTTCGGAGCGCGCGTCAATCACGACGCTGGCGGCTGGGCGGGAGGCCTCCAACAAGCCTGGCAAAGCGGAGTCTGCGACCGATATGTGAACGGTATGACGAGTGCACACACGAATTCACGACCAGTACGCCTGACGTCCTCACGTCCTCAAAAGCCATGAGAAGCTACGAGCTGCATAGACGGCCTGTTTACGCATGTAGCATAGCGCGGTAGTAGATTGATCGCTTAGAGTCATGGTTTAGTTCCGTCGGTTCACCCGTGCCCTGAAGCTGGCTCTTTCTTGTCTACGCTCGAAGCGCGTTTCTTTTTTCATGTAATATACATATACACAATCGTCAATATATAGACTCGCACGATCAACAGCATGTAGTAAGCTTAGGGGATCGTACGTGACTTGAGGTGCTGAGTCGCAATTGCTAGTAGCAGTTCTCATCAACGCGCTGCGGCTGCTGTGACAGCATTGGACTACCGCGAGGACGGAAACTTACTCCGGGCTTCTATCCATCTCGCCGGCTCAGGTCATAAGGGTCGAACTCCCGTGACGGTGGGAATGTACCCAGGAGCATATATATACATACAGCGCGCACGTACAGGTGCTCGAGGGCGTTCTCGGGAACCCACTGTACGAGTTCGATACATAACAGTGGTCCGTGTGTACGTCCCTGATATCATTATCTAGATATCGCGTGTCTTGCACAGTCCTCGGAATCTAGGAATCCTTGAGGTCCGGAAAATAGGCTGCACACGGGGACTTCTGCTTGCCTTCAGCAGTGTCCTGTTCCGTTTACCCACAGCCCCGGGCCATCCAGAGACCTCTGCTTGCAGATCAGCGGTAAGGCCGGTATCAACAGGACCTGAATAGCGACTAAATCTTCTTGCCCAGTGGTACCAATGTCAGGCGTTCCCGGCGAACTATGGAATGCGAATGAGGCTTCCCAGCTGCAGACAGATGCATCTTTGCCATCCCGTCCGCCAGAGCCTGCTACACATGACGCTATGGCCACGGCGGTCGCCGATTCTTTGAGCGAGAAACCGCTGCATGATTATATTCGGTACGCTGCTCCTGTGCAACATCGCCTCCTGCCCTAACTCGTCGCAGGCAACTGTCCAGAGCTGTTGTGGCATACCAGAATTTTGAGAAGCGAGAGAGCGAGATGCGGAGAAATCAGCATCTGTTGCACTCGCGAGACACGAGCAAGGTTCCCGCTGTGCTCCTGGATGCTGTCAAGAAGCGCCTCGAGGCAAACGAGACAGACATTGCAGAAAGTTCTCGAGAATTTTTGCGGGTCGCGAGGCGCGTGCAACTGCCACCTCAACTAGAGAAAGCCCTGTCGCAAAGCGATCAGTCTGACATGCACACACACATATTGGACGCAGTCTCTGATCTGAAGGCCCACGTCGCCGAGGTGAAGGCGCGCCTGGACTCCGCGCATCCCAATGTGGTATGCGGGAGTCGATCCACGGAGGAAGAAGAGGAAGGAGAGATTAGCGAACACCGGTCGGACGTACCTATGGATGTTGTCGAGGGTAGGGAAGAACATCATGGCCGTGCTGTTCCTCCTGAGAAAGACGCGGAGGAATTCAAGCGCAAGGTGATACAACGCCTGAAGACGCTCGCGGAAGACCTCGCGAAGGTAGGGAGCCAGCTCTACCAGGAAAGGAACGACGATCAGGACAAGGCCAATGCATACATAGAAAACAAAGTGAAGGAGCTTAACTTGCAGTCCTCACGCGCAGAGGAGAGCTCCGCACAATCTCAAGGCCGCTTGGAGCAGCTTGAGACGAGCTTAACCGCCGCCAGCGAGGAGATTCGCGCCTTGAGAGAGGACGCTGCGGCGGTCAGGGCGCGCGCGGAGGCGGCAGAGTCTGAAAGTGACCTACTGAGACAAGAAAATGCAATCATACAGGAAAACAATGGGTATCTGGAAAAGCAACTGCGTGAGGTAAGTGTGACAGCCTTTGCATTACGCATGATGATTCACACGTCGGACAGATGCAAGAACATCAACGGGCAAGGGCCAGCACCATGCAAGAGGAAATTCAAGACCTGAGCACAGCCGTCGCTCTGCTAGCGACCAAGCAGCAAGCTCCGCCTCCTGATCCCAAACGAATAGCAGAAGCAATTTTGCCCTACGCCAGAGAGGCAATCCGTGAAGAAGTGGCGACACGAATTGAGAGGGCAGTAGAAGAGATCCAGCAAACGTTGCAGAACGAAAGGCAAGATGCGGTGAACTGTATCATGCCGAAGCTCAACCTCACCATTGAATGTGGAGAGATTTTAACGAGGGCCATGAGAATGAAGGGTGTAAATGATGAGTCAGTATAGCTTTAGTCCCCCGAGTGTGTATCTCCATACTATATGACAATGGATCGCATTTCGGATCCTGGTCTTGGAAATAGAATCGCGGAACGGTCTTTTCAACGAGACGTTCAGGTGCGTGACATCCATAAAGTGCGACGTACTCCATGAGATGGCGCCGCATATGATGACATAAGTGCGGGAAGTGTGCGGGTCGCACGATCGTATTGCATATCTCATAGTGCAAGCATGAGCATATAGAGGGTGCGAGATGATGAAGACGTAGACGAAGGGACCAGGTAGAAATACAATCACTGCAGCCATAGAGAGTTAGCTGATTGGATGCGACAGGGGAAGACAGAAGGGCACGCACGAACGTGAGAGCTGCACCCTTCGTCTTCTTTTCACCGCCAAGCTCGAAGCTAATAAACAGCGTGAGGTGCGCCGTTCCGAACAGATATAGGAAACGATAACATACTGCTTGCAACGCTTGACAGCTAGTTGCATCTTGTACTTACATACGGTGCATTCTAGCCGGAGGACAACCTTCTTCGTTGTCTTGGCCTAGTTAAGACCGTAGGCGTTTGAGCACTGATTCTCTATGCCTCAAGCTACGATACGCCCACCTTCTTGTGAAAGACGGGCTTAGTCTGACCACCGTAGCCGGACTGTTTGCGCACATAGCGACGCTTTCCCTGCACGACCTGCGAGTCCTTGCCCTTCTTATACTGAGTGACTTTGTGTGGACTATTCGGAGGCGATTGAGCCAACCTGTAATCACATAGATACGATGAAATGGTCGACGTACGTGTGCTTCTTGCAAGTCTTGCCCTTGCAGTCTATCCGACGCGAATCAAATCTCAATCATCTCTCCGTTTCTGTAAAGCCATTGTATAACTCACAAGTCCGTCGTGTCCTAGACGATTGGTACTAAGTATTTAGTGTACCGTGATAGCTTCATACTGCGGAGACACATACTTGGGAATGTTGACCATTTCGACGAGTTTGACGGCGACAACGACGGCCTGAGGGATCCTTTGACGCTACAGGCCTCAGTCCATCGGGACTCGCCGAAGATGGCGACAGTTCCTCACTTAAAGTTCACTCTCCGATTCAGCCACCGCATCGCCCATTTAGCGCCAGCCAATTATGCGAATGGTATCCATTTGTTACACGGTGCGCTTTGATCTACATGGAGCATGCGAAGATCCTACGGTGCCTACGGTGAAGAATTAACGGTGCTAGATTAGCTGACTACTTCGGTCTTATCTTCATTGCCATTCATAGTGGCTGACACGTCTGAGAGTGGCGCGATGGCTTGCTTGCGAAGGGCAATGGTCTCTTCTGGAGCCTTGAAGATGGTAGAACGTTCAAACCTGCTATCGCACGCCTGCCTAAACTCGTCTGTCCTTGACGATGAAATATTGTCCAAGTATGCGAGAGCATCCAGCGCAGTCTAAGGATCACCATGAGCCAGGATCAGGCCAATACAAGCTGGCAGGCAGTACCTTAATGTCGAGGTTGGCCTCAGGGTGTAAGAGACCAAACAAGGTACTTTCGATCTCTTCTACTGGCGCGTCGAGAGCCTTGAGCGCTCTAGCAAAGGCGAATGAGGCACGCGGCGATCCTGGGTACTTTTGCAGGTACTGGGAGTTGAAGGTATCCAACGCCACATCAGCCGGTAGCAGCCCAGAGATAGATTGTGAAACGGTGGGCCCGATGGGTGCTGGAGGTTCTTGAGGCAGGGACGAAACTAGTTTCATAGTCGTCATAGATATGCGCAAGACAAAACCGAGTATACTGACCGGTCTTCTTGAAATGTACTAGGCAGAAATGAAGCTCAGAGTGGCCTTCATCCAATGCACGGACACGGTTGAGCGCTTGCACAGCCTGTAAATACTTCTCTACAGCACAAGATTAGAACCGCGTTCCACCAAGTATCCATCTGCGTACGTACTTCTTCGGATGGCGACGTTATAAATAGCGATCCAGACGTCGATATTTTCCGCCGCAAGCGCAACAAGCGGATTGAGAAATTTTGCCGCACGCTCAAGGACATCGTCTGCTTTCAGCAGCTTCGTGCCGTCAGGATCATCGTCTTTCGGTGGCCCGGCGTCCAGACCCTTATCATCGTTTGAACTGGCGGCAGCTGGAACAAATATTCGATAAGCTAGTCCACTATATATCACCGGAAACATACGTTTCTTAGGGTCTTCCTGTACCTTTGATGCAGCTTTCTTTGCTTTCTTCTTCGCCTTCTTCTCCTCTTCGGACATCTTGGCTAGCATACATACGGTCACCAGGGGCATGACCCAAACCTGGCTTATCAAGACTCACCGGAAGAATTTGACCGAGAAGCAAGGGTTGGATCATCGTATAGTCGGATGTAGATCTGTTGGCGCGTCAGAAGCCATCCAAAGGCAGAGTGAGGCTGCAGTCACTCACCTGTGAAGCCGCGATTGCTGCCCTAACGTACGCGGGATGCGACCGGAGACTCTCTGCCCAGTCGATCATACTTCGTGGCGGGTCAGCTGTAGGACACAAAGATATATTTCTCCAACGCACTTCAGGTAGATATTGATCGTGAACTTTCGTAGCGAGTAACCGTGGAAGTCGAACTGATCGTCCTCGAACTCGCTGAAAAGTTTTTGAATGGAAGTGTACCTCTTTAGCGCCATGCCAAGGTTGCCATTTCGTCGGTATGCGTCCGCATCCTCGAGGAGGAAGAGCACGGACTGCATGTCCTCAAGGTCGGCGCCCGGGCTAGGGGCGTCTTTCTAGCGCATATAGTCAATACGATAGTCTTGCGAAGCTCAGTAGGCTAGAGCAGTATTTAGCACGCACTTTGGTGAACAAGCTGAGCACGTCTTGCGCTTCCTCGTTCATGCCTGCCCGCAGACGGTACTTGCCACACTTGGTATTCAAGAAGCGATCTTGGAGGTCCAGCACACGCGCTTCATCCATGCAGCGCGCCGCACCATACGGATCGCCGAGCCGCTTCAGCACACGACCCTTGAACATGTGCAGGTCCGGTAATGTCGGCGTGTGCGACAACGCCTCGTCGAGGAGTTCGAGCGCGCGTTCGTGCTGGCCAACGTACGAGTAGTGCTGGGCAAGGAAGTAGAGCGTCCAGAGGTACGTTGTTGGGGGTTCTGACTCGTTCGGTGAAGGCTGCTCCTGCGCCTTCAGATGTGCATAGTGGGCCTCAGCGATCGAGGCGACAGTGGAGAGCTTTTGAGGGTCACGATATAATGACTTGATGTCTGCAAATAGAGAAGGGATGTTTCTATCCAGCCCGGAAGTAAGATAGGGCTCCGCCAGTTCCTTGAAGTCGTCGCCTAAATGAAACGTTTGAGTGCAACTCCCGACGAATTCAAGCATGGCACAAACCCGTTGCAATAGCTAGTGCTAACCGACGCGGGGCAGCAGCGCGTGGAAGCTGTGTGGAAAAGCTCTTGAAGACTTCTAGCGCCTTCGGACGGGTCTCGTCCGTGATACTGTCTGCCAGGGCGGTTAAGAGTGGGAATGAGGATTGGGAAGTATACGAACCGAGATCTACTCCACGGTTGGACAAGAAGCCCTTGTAATAGCTATAGTGGTCTGGATTCTGTTCAATCAACGCCTGCCATGTGTGCTCTGCATCATCGTTCATGCTGAGCTTCGAGAGCAAACGTGCTGGCGAAATGTTTGTTCAACGCCGACACTTTGGATCTGAAGCGTAAACACCATACCTCTGAACTCCATGATCGCAACTCGGTCGATGATGGCACGCGACTTGGCGCTGACATCAAGAAGATTGAGGGCCTCGTTCAGCTCACCCAGGTCTTCGAGCACGCGGACGTGGTAGAGCAGGACCTCGGAATGCTCTACGTCGTAATCTGGAATATTCTGGATATACATGTGGCACCGCTTCCAAAGAGCCTACGTGAAACACGTACCTTCAGCGAGACCTCATAATGGTCGAGGACCTTCTTCGCCTCGCCCGACTGGCCGTTCAGATGGTATGCGACCGCGAGACCCAGCCAGTTCGAGCGAAGATTTGGACGCAGCCTGAGCAAGGTATGCCGTGTCTCAACAAGACCATCGTACTGTCTGAGTTGGGTCTGTAAGTGTGCAGCATCCCGAAGGATATTCATGTTCTCCTATGGTGCCGGTGAGCAAAGACCACGTTCTGGTGACACTATAGCAAGCACCTTGTCGAATTTCAGAGCCTGAGTATAGGACTTGAGAGCCTCCTCATAGTTTTTTTCCCCCTTCTGAACAAGGCCGAATACATGCCAGACGATATGCGATGTAAGGTCGAGCCGGACACCTTTCTTGACGAGCTCGAGGCCTTCTTCGCGTCGTCCCATGTGCGTCAGGACAAGCCCCTTCATGCATAGCGTTTCTAAAATGAAATACTGCTCGCAAACTGTAGCTTAAAGAGTAATTGTATCCGCATACCTCCATGCTCGGGGGATTTCTTGAGGATCTGGTCAGCGGTCTTCTGCGCCTTTTTAAGTTGCCGCGTTTCATACAGGTTTAACAATTCCTTGAAAAGAGCGGCTTCTTTGGATGGCAAGGCACGCTTTGCTGGTATTCCTGCTGGTGGCATCGTGGTGAGAGGGTAAAACGCTTAGGTTGTCCAGCGCAAGTAAGCGATGCGGCTGTAAATGATGTCACGTGCACACACTTGGCATGCGTTCCTGGTTTTCGGCAGCTTTTGGCAGTATATCCTTTTGATTCCTACCGTGCTATTGCAACTAGCACTTTTCAGTACTACGTGGGCAGAATGCGTCATGCTGGCATAAGGGCTACAGAGTTTTCCACGATAGGTAGCCACCACACCTCCGACTAGTGGCACAATCCCTCACAGGGAGCTTATGCGCTTTTGATCCCGTACTGGTCCCAGTATGCCTGCATGCTCTGGAGCTCCTCTGTTCTTCCGCGCTGCTCGAGCCAGGCCATGATGTGCCTCATCTTTAGGATAGTGGGGACGCGACCCTTCCCTCCGACAAGTCTGTCGACCTCTTCAATCGTGCTTTCACCGTTCTTGCCCACCTCCTCTCTGTCCAACAACAACACAGCTCCGATGACTTCCCCACCTTCCTTGCGGACAGTCTCAATAGCCTGTCTAATCGCAGTTCCTGCGGTAGCGACGTCGTCCAACACAAGGACCTTCTTCCCCTTCACTGGCGCGCCAACCATGACACCGCCCTCGCCGTGATCTTTAGCCTCCTTCCTATCGTAAGCATATCCAACATCAATCTTGTGGTCGCGATGAAGGAGTAAAGCGGTGCATGCCGCAAAGGGAATTCCCTTATATGCGGGGCCGAAGAGCACGTCGAATTCGGGCAATCCTGGTGAGCCAGCAGCAGCCGTTTTCAAAGCGTCAGCTATAGTTGACGCATAGGCAGAACACAAAGTGTCCAGGACGGGTCCAGAAGCGAGCAATCCGGCGTTAAAGAAGTAGGGAGAGCTCCTGACGTGGTTGGTGAGGTTATGCTGCTTGCGCGAGCTGGAGGCAGACAAACCGGCCCGATTTGAGGGCAAACGTGCCAAACTTCAAAGCACCGACAGCCATGCCATGTTCGATGAGCTCTGTCTGATACTTTTGGAGGGTCGACATCGTAGATGGATGGATGAAGCTGGAAGCTGCTCTCTCGTGCTGAGCTTCCTGAAACGGTAATCTTCCAGCTTACATAATCTAAGCTATCCCCTTCCCTCAACCACCTCACCCGCGCCCAGCATGTCAGCTATGCTTGTGCGCTGCAGGCGATGTAGCCCTTTCTCCATATTCAATCTCGCGATATTGTCTGCGCGCAGCGATTTTCCACTTCAAACGCCAGATCACGGTCGATTCCCGCGCCCATATATACTTGGCTAATACGTCATTTGGACCGAATCCACTTCGTGCAAGGCAATATTCGCGCACCTCAGCATTCACATTGGACGATGGGTTTACCAATCATCCTATCGGCTCTGCACCTCTTTTCAATAGCACGACCACGACATAGACAGAGAGATCCGGAAGAGGGGGTTCAGGAGAAAGACAGAGAGGCGGAGAGTGGCGAAGGCGCGACAGAAAATGGTCATACGGAGGCGGAGGAGGCAGAGACGAACGACGAAAATGACATTGACGACGATTCCTACGATCCCCTGGCTGATCCACACAGACGGCTACATCGACTAGGCTCTGCGACCGACGTCACTTTCTTCTCTTCCTCCGTACATCAGTCCTTTTCAAGTAACGGTTTAAATGCAAATCGGCCTTGGTATACAAGAATCAAGGATTACATATTTCCACCAGAAGAGAGCGAATCGTCGCTCGAGAAATTCGTTCCCCATTACCGATGGACACCCATCATAGCCGGGGTCGTCGTCCCTTTCGCCCTACTCCTCGAGATTCCAGGCTTGACAGAAGACTGGTACATTCGTACCGAGGCGAACCAGGTAGTCGAGACTAAGAGCAATTCCGCGATTTTGGATGCAGGGCTTGCATTCTCCATGGCCTGCGGACTATGTGCCAATATCTGTCTGGTTCTCCGATTTTTGGAGCAGAGGGTCAAGACCGTCACTATATTGACTATGATATTTCTCACCATTCATGGTGCGCTCTCTCAGCTTACCTCAAATATACACTCGCGGAAGCTGATTGCTGATTTGTCTTTCGCAGACATCATCAATATCGTCGCTGTCACTGTGTTCGGCGTACAGCATCGGTTCGATGATGGCTTCACGTATGGACAGTCCTTCTGGTTGACGATTTGCTCAACTGCAGCTTCTACAATAACAAATTTCACCGTCATTCTAGATTACATCAGTACACCCGACTTTGCTCGCAGCGGTGAGCGCAATGAGCGTATGTATCAAAAGAATATGCACTCATGCTGTGTAGGGAGCGGCTTAACTCGTAGACAGCGTGCACTGGTGATAATCGTCATCCTGCTACTCGTCTACATCGCCTTCGGTGCACTCGTCAACACCTTCCTGCTGAGCCTCAACTTCATCGATAGCCTATACTTCACCATCGTGACCATTGAGACGATTGGCTTTGGCGACATTACCCCAGTCAGCGCCGGTTCTCGAGTATTCGCCTGCTTCTATATGGCCTTCGGCATTCTAATGGTCGGTATCGCCGTTGCAATGACACGCGAGACCGTCCTCGAAGGTCTGGAGCTGGGCTATCGCAAGCGACTCCGGAATCTCCAGCTTCGCCGCCGCGAGGCCCGGCGCTTTCGGCATTGGGAAGCACGTTGGCGTCGTGCCATCGTGTGGAGGCTGAAAGAAGCAGGCAAGCCTATCTGGGCACCCGACACTCAGGCGTCTCAGGAAGATGTACGCTTCATCGGTCTGTCTGGCGGCAGGGACGGCGCAGGCGAGGTTCATTGGATGCGTAGGTGGATGGAGACGCTAGGCATGAAGAAAGTGACGCCGTATGCAGACCACCGAGTGCACGTTCGGGGTCATTCACGCGGCAAGCACCTGAACATCGATGCCCTGACCCCACAGCAGCTCGAGGCTGCCGCGCTCGAAGCCGGTGTCCCGCTCGAGATGTTTCTCTCGCCGCCGTCCAAGCGGCCGGAGCCCGAGCGTATGGGTAGCCAGCGCGGCGCATCCCCGGTACCGAGCGCGTGCAGCGGCGGCGAGAAGCGTTCCAGGCTATTCTGGTACCACCGACACCAGGATACAGACGGCTGGCCGACGTCGCCGCAGACGCCGACGCACGCACAGGTCGGTCGCATGGCGGCGATGATGACCAAGTTCGCGATGGCTGTGACCGGCACGCACGTTCATATGCTTGGGCAGTCGCCTGAGGCCCACCAGCAGGTGGAAGGGGAAGCGAATCACGATGCGACGCCCAATCAAAACCCAGCGTCCTTCGACGAGAACCAGTTGCACGATAAGCAGCCACAATATAGCCCTAATGCATCCCATAGCGGCAGCCAGCAAGGTAAGGGAGAGGGGCAGGCAGAGAAACAGCATGGCCAGATCGATAACAATGAAGACGTCGATGGTGATGGCGACAACGATCATAGCCGGAACGAGGAATTTAGAGATACTACTTCCAAGGGCCTTGTTGTCGAGGGCAGTTTGCATCCTAATGTCCCTGCATGGGCAAAGGACCTGGCTAGTGGAAGGAATACGCGGACGGGGATAATGTATGAGCACCTCAAAGAGGAAATGGAAGCGGAGGAGTCAAAAGCCTACTACGCAAAGGTATGTTCTCAGTCTTACTTTTGGTCTCAGTCGCTCAATTTTACCCAGCTTACAGTTGCATGGACTCTCTTTTTGGTCTTCTGGCTAGTACGTTGAGCGCAACTGTTCTTGCTCCGATGAAACTTACGAAAGTTTTCAGGTTGGTTCTGCGATTTTTCACGTTACGGAAGGTTGGACTTACGGTGACGCAATGTATTTCTGTGAGTAGCCGCCGCGTCTAGTATCTATTTGTCGGTTTTGTGATCTCGTGCTTCCAGGTTTCGTGGCATTCACTACCACTGGGTACGGAGACTTTGCTCCTGCTTCGCCAACCGGCCGCTCTATCTTCGTTGTCTGGGCACTGCTAGGCGTTGCGACAATGACAATTCTCATATCTGGTGCGTAGTAGTTGTCTATCCATCAAATACACGCGCTGAATTACGATATCTGCAGTCATCGAAGACGTCATGTCGTCCCGCTACAAGAGTGCTCTCCATTCTAGAACGTTTGACAGTGCCGTGAAGAAGTTCCGCGAGCGCGAGGACCAGCGGACGGAAGCATTGGCAAAACGGGCGACGCCGCATGCGCCTCGTGCGCACAGCACCTTATCACTTCTGGAGGCTGTCAGACAGGCGGAGGAGACTGCCCGGCAGGAGCTCGAGAAACTGCCAGCGGAAATTATTCGCCGCGTACGTGCCTTCCATGATCAGATGCAGTTCTTCGTGAACAGCAGCGGCACCGTCGCGGAAGAGACTGTCACCCAGGAAACGCAGAATCAGTCGCGGATACCTAAGCAGCTGAGAAGGCTTCTCGACGAAATTGCGGAGCTGGAAGAGATTGGCGAACGTGCGAAGCGGGAGATTCTAGAGGATGACGACTCGAGGAATGTGAGTGGCCTTACTTATTGCAAGATGGACATCTATAACCAATACGCGCTCATGCCGTAGACTCTGTTAATGCTCAGTATAGAACGTGAGTGCATATTTCGTGGCCGCATGTAGATCTCAGCACTAACGGGACGATGTTCTAGGTACCCTACGAAGGTTGATTAACTCCGCCGAACGTTCCCTCGCAGCTTTAACCGAACGCGACGGTCTCAATGCCCAGAAAGAGCAGCGTATGCAAGATAGACCAGCTTCCCATGACGAGGATTAGCCCACGAATGACTCTGAGTCCAAGTAATCAGGCCGTTGACACCAATACGAGCACTCACGATCATTAACTTATTGATCTAGTCCTGCAATATCAGCTAATTGTACACATGTCGCATTATCGTGTAGCACCAGAGATCTCGCATATCTGCCACATTATTCTTGTATATCGTACATTTAATGACAATAGTAATGCGTTTTGTGAACATCACTTGCGTCACGAAGCTAGTGCTATTAGATGTCTCTTACGGACCGAGTCAGCTCGACGCTCCTGATAATGCGACCGCTTAGAAAATGTATTTGGCGAGATAAAATCATGACGCCGTTCTTCCGTGTACTTCGCCACCGTCGCATGCAACGCCTAAGGTCTTTACGAGCCGCATGCTTACGCAGTGAGTGTCCAGTTACTATCTCGGTCGCCTCAGCGGAGGTGTCTCATTGATGTGCAAAGCATTTTATGTTCATAATTTTCGTTTGGACTTAAAAGAAGTAGGATCGTTCCGGCACTAGGACAGTAAAACTACACACAAAGCAAGTCGTAAGATAGTTTATAGATATATACGATAGTAACCAAGGTCGTCAAAGAGAAGCTCAAAACACAGCAATCGCAAAACAGAATATATTATAGCGCCTTAACGTTCCGGCGCAGCGAACGCTCAAGCGCGGTCAGCATGTCGTTGACCCGATCGCGTGCGTCCTCGAGTGCGGCCGCGAGGCGCAGGTCCTCGGGCGACTTGCCCTCGAAGTCGAATGCTGACGACGCGAGCGCAGCACGGAGCGAGACATGCAGCGCCAGATTCTTGCGTGACGGTGATGGTGGCGGCGAGAGGATAACGGACACGGCCGTCGCGCACGAGGGGAACGACGAGGGGAAGATACGACGGTATACGAGTGTCGCACTGAGGAGCGCGCGGATCTCGGCCTCGTCGCTACGCGCGAGGTCGTGTTCATCCTCCCACCCTTGGCCTTCATTACGCTCCGCATATGACCTCGGGAGCACATCCTCGTGCGAGCAGAAACCGGTGTCCCAGATGCGCTCAAGGAATGTCGCAAGCTCGGCGGTACGGCCGCCGATGGACTTGCCCGCCTCAATCGTCTCGCGGAGCTGCTCGCCATCCTGATAGTCCTTCTCCGAGTCGTAGGCGGCGACGAGGTTATCTGAGTCGCAGGTCTCTGATATTTCGCGAATCTCGTTCGGGACGACAGAGCGGACGAACATCGCAGCAGCGTGCTTGCGTAGTCGTTCACGAATGAGGATGGCAGCGAGCACACCAAGGGGTGTGCGTTTCTCGCATGCAGCACAGCGGCCACCCTTGCGCTCAGTATCGTGCCAGCGTCGCCACTTCTCAAGCCATTCCGCGGCATCATTGACCGACATGTTCGACAAGACGATCCGTTCGTGTGGGCGAAGCACTTCGCGGTCGGCGGCACGGTCCCAGAGTTCTGTCGCCTTGGTTGACGAAACCGGAAGAATCATAAGAGCGAGGGTAGTCAAGTCCGAAGTCGAGGTCGCGAAGGTCGAGACGTGCCAGGACATGCACCAATAGGTCTGAAGGCGGGTAGTCTTGGGCATGGAACCTTAAGTGAGATATTAGTCATATTTCTGGATATTGGGCGCAAGAGCCTGACCATCGAAAGCAACCAACTCGCCCAGTCGGACCCAGGCACGCTGCTCCAACTGATTCATCTCGAGGCCGCGATCGATTCGGGCTGCCTTGATGACGCCTTGCATGAGACCAAATACACCCGTCGTCACACCTAGCGCCTGCCTCAGACGGGCAGCTTCATCGGGTGCGCCACGAGCGGCTTGCGACAGCGCATCGACAAGAGCAATACGCTGGACATATCCCCGAGAGTTCACGGGTGACATGGATACCGGCGATGGCTTATGAACGCGAGTCGCGTAAGAGCGCAGTCGCTGAATGACAGCAGAGAGGACGGCGTGATGTCGGAAAGCGCCAGAAAGCCAAGGGAAGACGATGTAAAAGAATACCATTGTCGAGACGAGGAGGTGGAATGCCTGAACCAGCTCACCAAGCCCGTAGGTCTGCCGAGCGACCGGAGCAGAAGCAGTGGGTATCATAGTAGGGTATGCATTGAGGACAGTGCCGCGATGGGTATGAGCCTCAGAGTGGGCATGCGTGTTCGTGCGACCGAAGCTTGACGCGAGTGGCGAGTTCAAGACAGAGAAGAATGCGAAGACGGCGAGGAGATATTGTGGAGTGGGCTGGCTGACAGGAGAAATTATGTCTTGTTGCACAGGGACAATCGGGGGAATGATGGTAGCCGTTACTCCCTCCATAGGTGTGAGGGTCGTGGCAGGAACAGCCGGCGGCAAAGGGACTTTGCGCGGACGACCACGCTTCCTCTTCTCTGGGACGGCGCCCGGCACCGCAGGAACAGCGGGCGGAGGAGTGGGCTTGGTAGGCCTCTCTTTCTTGGGAGGCTTGGCAACCTTCGCTTTCTTGCGAGCACGTCCTTCCTCGTCTTCACCATCGCTGTCCTCGCAATCACCGTCCTCGTCGTCGCTTCCAGCTGCAGTATCGTTGCCCTCAATCTCATCTTTCTCTTCGCCGCCAAATAGCTCTCGCCATTCGCGCTCCCATTCCTTCAGCAACGCCGGACCGCCTACAAGCCCGCCGACAAGAGACTTAAGGCCGTCCTGCTCTTGCTTCAGACGAGCTTCTCGCTTCTTCAAGACGCTGTGGGCACGTGAGCGCATGTCCAGCTCTACCCTGCGCAAGCGACGTACCGAATATACTCTGTAGCTTTACCGAGGATATTAGCCTTGCTCATCTTCCGGGCAACCTTGACACCGTCTACAAAACCGCGAGAGTCGACGATATCACCGTATGGTGATGGTATACCGTCCTTAAGCTCGAGCACACGCAATGCAGGCACCGACTGTCTCAAGCCGGTGATTCTAGCATTGAGATTTGTCCGGTATCGTCTCTCGATGGTGGTGTGGCTAGTCTTGGGGCGAGGTGTGGGCGCAGGTGCGTCAAGGTTTGGGCTCTGTGTCGCGCTCGAAGACGCCGAAGTAGTGCTCCCCGACTCGGACGGTGTCGAGGCCGGCGGTGATGCACGCGAGATCACTTCGAGGATAGGCGACAGCTCCTTGGGGGTCTTAGCGGGCGCAGCAGCGGCAGCAGGCGAAGGCTGCTGGCGGGGAGTGCGAGACATAACAGGCTTCTCTTGGCTAGCAGCAGCAAGCTGTTGGGCCTGCGGGCTCACGGGAACAGCGAGCGTAACCCCAGCAGCCTGACGTGCACGCTGGGCGAGCTCGAAGGCGGGGTCCGAGTCCGACGTCCCGCAGTCGCTAGAAGGAGGACTGCCAGCAGAAGACTGCGATTCCAACATAGGCGACAAGGACGCGCCCGAGGAGGATGAAGACGACGTCAAGCTAAGCCGACGGGCGGTGCCAGGCTCCATGTGACTACCTGTTGGCCATGAAGACGCGTCGAAGGAAAACATGGAAGCCGAGGAGACGTCCGGGTTCTGTGGCAGGGAGTAGTATGGGTTCTCGCTGAGAGCCGCTTGGCTGAATATTGACGTGTTGAAGTGCAGAGAGCTGGGGTCGACCGCCATATTCAGCGGGTCTACATCTAGATCCATGGGGAAAGTGAAGTTGAATTCGTTGCCAAAGTCTGCAGGCTTTCCGTCCTGGGCAACCCAGGAAGACATTCTCGACCAGTCTTCCGCTGGGTCGGTGACCACTGACGGGTCACCGTGCTGCGTAATGGTTTGAAGCAGCAGCTCCAGGGCCTCTGGGTCATCAAAGCGCAAGTTCTCGCCGAACTCGTTCTTCAGCATATCGTCCGAGTCGCGAAGAGAGGGCGATGGGGAGCTCGCAGAGGAGCTACTTGACGAGAGAGGGGGGGTAGACATTGTCGAGGTTCGTAGTCAAGCGCAGAACTTCAAATCGGCCCACTTTCTTGATGGGCGCCTCTATTCACGCGCTTGTTGGGTGGAAATACGGACCCCGACCACCCCCGCCCATCTCCGGAAGTGGCAACACCGACGATTGGCGACCCACCGCCACTACGCCGCCACATCCGCAGCTTTGCGCCAGCTCGTCAACACAATTAAATTCTTGCAGACTACTCCATTTCAGCTGCATTTATAGACAGCATATTGCCTTGGCAATTCCAATGGTTAACGCTAGACCCCGGACTTCCAAAGCTTGATATGCTCAATGACGGGAGCTCGATCCGAATGGGTCGATATCCTGTGCAATGCTGCGGGCTCGCAGTCGCCGGTGGAATCGTGTCATACGACTTGAATGCGACCGAGCCGGTCATGCTTGAGCATGGGGAGTAGTGGCTTAGAACTCCGGGCAACGGCCCTGAACGTACTCCGAGGACCCTTGTCAGACATCGTACTTCCATCTCGCTATCTCGTACACACGTGAGGTTGTTGCGATGATGTGCGCATGGTTCCGCCCAAAAGCACACCAATGATATTACTACAACCATTAAAATGATATAGACTTACTACATCCAGATACACTACAACTATGTCCTGCGAGCGGCCCGGCTTTTATGGTAGTATGCGTGAGTTGAGATAGATGAGGTAGTCGTCGATATAGAGGGGACAAAGCTCGTGGGAGACGCCTCAGCAGTCGTGTTATGACAATGTCCGACAACCTGCGCTGGCGAGGCAGCTGCGGTAGAGACGGGGGAGGCGGTGACGCCTTGAGCACTCAGACTCAACAGGATGCTCGCAGCTTCGGACGGGTTAATGGTGCGCACTTCAGGAGGGAGCGATGTGGAGAAGGCTGGAGGAGGCAAGGTCACTGTGACCGTTACCACTTCGACACCGCTGGATTGGGTAGGCGCATGGGAAGCAGATTTTCCCGAAGGCGATATACTCAGTGAGGAAGTGGACACTGTGGGAAACGCACGGGTGTCTGTTCCGTTAGAGAGCGGACCTTGCGCACCCGCCGCCTGGAAAACTGTTTGCGCATCCTGCTTAGTAGTGCATGTCAAGATCTGTAATGAAAGGATTAGGGAAGCGAGCCTCAGCCGTAGATATATCACGTACCGTTCCTGGCCCCGTGGTAGAGGGCACAGCGAAACAAGCGTTGGATTGACCACAGGATGTGATATTCCACGATCCAAACCGGCATATCGCCACACCCTCGCTCACACAGGCCATCTGACCAGCTACGCAAGCAACTATTAATAAGTGATCAGGAATTCCAAGGGCTACCCACAGTCGCACGGGTCAGTCTCATTGAGACCTTGGAATTCTGAGTTGAGAATTTGCGCATCGATTGTGTTTTGGTTATACGTCGCGGAGCTCAGAGTCGGTATTGCCATGGTAAAACTAGCAGCAATGACGGAAAGCAGGAAGTAGGATAGGGGAGCCATATCTCGTGTTGTAGCAGTCTTGAGTGAGCGTGGATAGAGATTTGAACAGAGAAAATACGAAAACGATTGTCCACAACCGAGAGCTCCAGGCTCGTCAGTGAAAGGGAGAAACTGAGTGCGTAGAGCATCCGTAACAGCCTGTAACCCGCATTATATATGCGATCCGCAAAGCAATGAGGGCTGCAGCGCTGAAGAACAATGCCTGCTGTTGTCCTCGACAAACTCGCTATTGTTGTTTCCGCCATGCTTGCCAAACTAAGCGAAGCAAGCGTCGGCACGTGGAGTTTCCTAATCCAGCATGCGAACCTCATGGGCGACGGGCGTACGAGATAAGCGCCCTGGCTTCCACAACGTTGTCGGGCCTCCCTCGCGATCCTCAAGAAACTGCCGACGCTAATTCAAGATGGTGAGCTCCTTCCCGATCTTATGGAGACCCATCTTGCTATCCGGCTACCAAACGATGCCTAAATCGTGTGGATTTTGGCTGGATTGCGATGTGACTTTTGGATGCACCCGCCGGTCGCTTGCTGAACTTGCTTGCTGAAATATCCGCTCTGTAGACCAAGAAGCGAAGAAATAATGGCCGCAACAAAAAGGGCCGTGGCCACGTCAAGTTCGTCCGCTGCTCGAACTGTTCACGTTGCGTCGGCAAGGACAAGGCCATCAAGCGTTTCACTGTGAGGAATATGGTTGAGAGCGCGGCCGTCCGCGATATAAGCGAAGCCTCCGTCTACCCTGGTGCGTAGTTCGAAAATGTTAAGTCCACTCAGTTCGTCTAATCCATGAAATTGCAGAGTACGTTATCCCGAAACTTTACATCAAAATCGCATACTGCGTGTCGTGCGCCATCCACTCGCACGGTAAGCCGGGTTCCCTGTCGAAGAAGCAAACGTATTTTGAACACCCTCTCCAGTCGTCCGTGTTCGCTCTCGCGAGGGTCGTCGCAACCGTGCTCCTCCTCCGCGTGTCCGGTGGAAGGACGGCAAGAAGGTCAACCCCGCTGTCGCAGCTGCTGAGGATGCCAAAGCGGCGGCGGCGGGTGCTAAGACTGCATAGGTGTATCATGTGTGAGGTTGCCTCGCTCTGTATTATTCCTACCTTTTCGCTATCATCGCATGCCACCCCTAAATTTCCGCGGAGTATGCAGCCTGGCGTGATTCCTAAGCAGATGGGTGAATCTTACAGGGTAGGTGGATCTAAGTTACCCTTGTCGCTAAACGTATAACCGTCTTAGGTAGTACAACGAATGGCACAGCAGGCGCAGTTCGAAGTCAAGCGGCAGTTAATGGCCTCCTAGTTGGCGCGGCTTATCAGCGGCCCTGACTTATCCCTTCGCCCAATGCTCGCGTCTATAGGGATGAGCTGGGTAGGACATCGCGGCTTTCAGCTCAGTTGGTGACCTCCAACATCCGTCTTTCACTCTGCAGGCCGCTTTGGTCCTTCCATATATAGACCAGCAATGGACATGTTGAAGTATCAGGCTTAGCAAACGTCAATTTGCCACCAACCTCGCTGAAGGTGGCATTTTTTCTGCGGCTGCGGGACCGAAATTCACATTGCACGGTCGGAGACTCAGCAAGCATCGAGCTCCTCCCATTGACGTGCTAGGAGCATTAACATGCCCCCTCAAAGGTCCAGCCTCGGAAGAACACATACTGTAACGGGCCCATCTCGACATTGACAACGATCTTCTGTCGGTAGGAGATGCCCAGATAATTGATGAGACAGACTTTAGTGAGAGGTGAAGGCACGTGTCCAGGACGAGCCGAATCATCTCACGAGTGCTCTTGCTAGGAAACGTTACGAAGTCTGCCACTCTTGAAGGTTCGCGTTCTGACCACACGGACCCCACTATCTGAGCAGCTTCAGCTCCAGCTTGCACGGCTGATATTACAGAGGGGTGTCGAAATCGCGGGAGCTTACGCTATACATATACAATAGCAAAAAAATCAATGTCCAAGGCTTCGACCCGATGACCAGCCGGACACAGGAATAAACGATAAGCATGCGGGTATGCGTGGAGGTTCAAAGAAGATTAGTCCTCATCTTCTTCCTCAACTGCCTCTTGTTTTCTTTTGCGCGGCGCTGGTTTCGAGGCGGGCTTCGACTTAGACGGCGGGGCGGATGACTTCTTGGGGGCAGGCTGTGCACATGTTAGAGTCGGACCAATGGACAACTATCGAGATTGACACGGACCTTACGCTTGGGTTTAGACTCTTCTTCCTCGTCCTCTTCCTCGTCGCCGCTCACGGCGTCGATTTCAGCGCCGAAGTCCTCGCCGGACTCCTCTGAGTCTTGCTTCTTCTTCGATGCCCGCTTCTTAGGTGCGGCCTTCTCCTTCGCAGGGGCTGCCTTCTTAGCCGCTCCGCGCTTGGGTTTGGGTTTTTCATCCTCATCCTCATCGTCCTCATACTAGGCGAAGCATGCGAGTTGGGGCTGTGATGATGCACGAAATAAGATGCACTGTACCTTACTAGTCTTCCTAGGCCGCTTCTTAGACCTTTCCTCGTCCTCACCCTCGTCCTCGTCCTCATCCTCGTCCTTCTATGGATTGTCGATGGTCAGCGAACGTCTATCTGCATCGCCACCAAATGCATACCTTCGCCTTCCTTGCCCTCTTCTTCATGGGCTTCTCCTCACCATCGTCCTTCTTCGCCCGCTTGGCTGGGGCTTTCTTCTTCTCGGTGACGATAGGCTCGCCTGGGCCCTGGTCCTTCTCAGGGATTGCGCCCTCGTCCCAGGCGCATTTAACTTTTTCCTGTTCAGCTTCCTTGAGCTCGTCAAAACCCTCGATCTCCTCAGGCTTGGAACACGAGGTCTTCAGCTTCTCGATCGTAGATGCGGGAGCACAGCCCCAATGCTGGTAGGAGCTAATGAAAAGTGAGATAACATATAGTCGTACTAGCGAACCGCGCGTACAAAGACTTGTTGCCCCGGAAGTCGACTTCATGCCCGAGCCTGAAGTAGCCTTTACCAATAGTTTCGCCACATCCATCTATGTCGGATGATATGAGTTCAGACCTGAGAGTCAAACAAGCGTACATACCCTTGCACTTGGCACGACCGGATGATGCGTACTCGAGCTTGAACTTGCCAGGTTTATCCTCCTTGACTTTCTTCTCCTTGGCCGCGGCCTTCTTCTTCACAACTTTCTCGCTATCCTCTTCTTCCTCGTCCTCCCCGGCAGGATTGCGCGCGGATTCGGGAATGTCCTCATCAGCAACGTGACCCTCCTCCCAGGCCTTGCGGATGCGCTCCTGGTCTTCCTCCTTGAGGTCGTCGAAGCCGTCGAGCTCGTCGGCATTCTCAAACTGGCCCTTCATGTTCTCGATGACCTTGGAGGTGACGCAGCCCCAATGGCGCCATGCACTACAGCATAACGCGTCAAGAATATTATTTGGACGACGGTATTGTGCTCACAAAGAGGTGTTCCCCTTGAAGTCGACGATAGAACCGAAACGTAGCGCGCCTTTAGGAATGGGTGTCCCTGTCGACTAGTTAGACCTGTCTGTCAAAATATCTAGGTCAAACACCCACCAGCACATGGCTTAGGTCCTGCGGGTTAGGAAAGGACGCGAAAAATCGCGAAAATAAGTGTCGATGTCTACGGGGGCGGTGCCGACGACACACGCGCTGCGGCCACGCACCTTTACACTTGGCGCGTGCGCTGCCCGCGTACTCGAGACGGTAACCGCTTTTCTTGTCGCTCTCTTCGTTGTCAGACATGTCTGTGAGTGTTTAGGGGTGTAAGGGAGAGGGTAGGGGGAGAAAATCGATGAAGAGGGTTTCAAGTTGAACTCTAGGATTATATGGGCATGGAGATAATTCACAGTCCGCTTGTATTTGCGCGGCTTATGCAATGCAGATACTTTGGCCACTTTACCACGCTCATCCTAGGCCCTGTCGGAACGTAACGGAGTGTGCTGTGCGCGAGAAATTCCATGCTTCGTTCGAAAGGGGTGGTCAAGGAGGATGGACGAGGCCCGCAGGCGAGAACTGTGCAGACTCCGGGCCAGCCTGCGGAAGTTCTCCGCTGCTCTTTCTCCGCCTGATCTCTATCGCTCTGCATTTGTGGATCCGCCTGTCTCCGACCACTCAGATACCCGACCAGGACGATTGAGGGAATGAAGATTGAAGCACTCATACGATGAAACAATACACTATGACTTCGCTGGCTAGTAGCGCACAGGAGCAAGAACGAGACTATGCGGCAGACAGGTAGATCCTCCTCAGTTGCTTCGGTACTGCAAACTCTCGACAGACAGGGCACATCTTCTTATTCGACAGCGCCGTGCGAATACACCTGTCCGGTAATGACAACTAAGTCAATCGTTGTCAAGCGTGCGGGAATCGGTAGCACTTACGATGTGCAGAACAAGTGACCACACCTCGTTGCGCTGGTCTCCTTTGGGGCTTCCAGGCAGAGTGGGCAACTGAAGAAAAGCCCTGATGTCGGGGGCTTCTCGGCGTCAGGCGACTCGACCTCCCCATTCACGCACTGGTTCTCGGTGGGCTGACGGTTGTGCACTGTAGTACTGTGCGAGGGATGTGCGCGAGAGATAGAGGCGGGTGAACGCGCGAAGCCATGGTAGCCGTCTCGTTCTTCCTCGAACTCTTCCATATCGTCGTCAGTCCAATAATCAGGGTCTTCCTCGTCCTCAGAGCCGTCATGATATTCCCGTCCGTTCTCCTCTGGGAATACCCGCTCCCCAATCTCATCCTCCCACCCTTCGGAGGAGTCATCAAAATCGTCGTCCTCTTCATCTGAGTCGCTGTCATCGCGATGAACCGCAGCATACTCGATATGCTGTAATTCAAAATGTTACACCGATACAGCAAATTGATACGAGGTGAAGACATACCACATGCAGACCAGCTGCAGTACGGAAGTTGCGCTCGCATACCGCACAGTAGTGGTGACGAGGTGAATATACATAATGCTACACAGCAGATCAATTTATCTGTGTAACTTACCGCAACTCTCATGAAACTTACATTGCGAAGCGAGTTCTTATTAGCGAAGCGACGGTTACAGGTGTCGCACCGGGGGTGGTTAGGCGACACTTGCACATGTTGAGCTCTCGCCTCTTCGCCCGGAAAATAGCGATCACAAAGAGTGCAGTAAGTCAAGTCAGAATAGACGAAGTCAGACATTTCAGCAAAGATGGTGGGTGGTCAAGTCAGAGCTGTGCTGGACTCGAGCCCATGATGTCGATCCTTTATAGAACAGCGGATAAATTCGTCATTTCATGATTGCTCGGCTTACAGAGTGGAGCTAGGACCGACCTACATGCCTGTGTGACTGCCGCCGTCGGACGACGTCGAAGAGGCAGTCGTCGTTGAGATCTGGACTGAGCTCGAAGACAAATGCTCCACAGCCGAACCGGGGGCAATATGGCCGGGTCTGCAATTGCCATGGTAGTCCATGAACAAAATAGCTAAATACGACCGAGTAAAACCCTGACAACGTACGCACCCGTGGACATAAACCCCGAGTCCGCGATGACCTGGCGACGAACAAGTCGTATGACGCTTGTGCATAACGGCGGTTCACCCGGATTTGGCAAAGTACTCACTGGTAGACGCGCATAACGGACGCGCTTACGATCTGGCTCTCACTCACCATTTCGACGATACCCCTCGCTTTATTCTACCTCGCTTTTGCTCTACCGTTATACTGTACTCGCTATAATTCTGTACCACTATGAGGTTCACAAAACCCGCCTGGGTCGCCCACAGAGGTCCGTACGCGTACCACATAGCAACACAATGCATTGAAGGCTTCCCCAGACTCCTCGAGCCGCGACCAGAGCAAGCGGCTCTCAATGTTTTCGTGTCATGTACATCCTGATTGCTCGCGGATTGCTACCGGAGGTCTCGACGCGAAAGTACGTATATGGAGCACAAAACCGATCCTGAACCGCGATTCCGAGCTCTCTGGACGTCCGCCGAAGCTGCTCTGCACCTTGTCAATGCACACGGGCCCTGTGCTGACCGTGAGGTGGGCACATTCTGGGAGATGGCTTGCGAGTGGGAGCGATGATGCTATCATTATGATTTGGGATCTTGACCCGTGCGTCCTCTTCATTTGCGTTGAGTGAGACAAGACATGCTCATGGTCCGTCTCCATACCAGAAATGCAAGAGGAAAGGTCTGGGGCTCAGATGAAGTGAATGTAGAGGGGTGGAAACCATTGAAGCGTTTACCGGGGCACGAGAGCGGTGTGTACACATCTGGACATTCCCTATGCCACCGTTCATGTTGAGCAGATGTCACGGACTTGGCCTGGTCTCCTGCTGACAGGTACCTTGCTTCTGTGGGACTAGATTCACAAGTGATCATATGGTGCGGCTTCACGCTAGGTGCGCTTCGAAGAATATTGTTCTAGGGCCCTACGTTAACGCTGCCACAGAACGGCTACGAAGACTCGACCAGCACCAAGGTTTCGTTAAAGGCGTCTGCTGGGATCCTGTTGGAGAGTTTCTCGCAACTTCTTCTGATGACAGAACGCTCAAGATTTGGCGCACTGCGGACTGGGGCCTTGAAGCCGAGGTCAAGAAGCCCTTCGAAGACTCGCCTGGCACATTCTTTCGGCGGCTGAGGTGCGCTTCATCATGTAATACGTACTTCTGGGCTAAGATCTCGCAACAGTTGGTCTCCTGACGGTGCTCATATCACCGCTTCTAACGCTACCAACAATAAGGGATATGTCTTCATCGCCGCTGTCATTGCGAGAAACTCGTGGACGTCAGAGATCAGTTTAGTTGGGCATGAGAACACGGTCGAAGTTGCTGTGCGTATATACGTCGCATCGAAATTCTCCTCCAACTGACCAATCTCTAGGCATATAATCCACACATTTTCCTTCGCGATGCTAACGCTCCAGTTGTCGCTTCAAATATATGCTCAGTGGCAGCTCTTGGTGCAGACGACCGCTCTGTCTCCGTGTGGCAAACTAAGTCAGCGCGACCGATGGTAGTAGCAAAAGAGGTGTTCGAGCGCCAAATCATGGATTTGAGTTGGTGCGTGCACGCGCCTTGTGCCAGGACGAAGCATGGATGCTGATCAGGGGCGTCTTAGGTCATCTGACGGCCTGACTTTGTACGCCGTTTCGTCTGACGGGACCATGGCCGTTTTCAGCTTCGACCCAGACGAGCTTGAAGGCATCGCACCTCAATCCGCGCAAGAGCTATATTTGAAGAAGTTCGGCTTCACACCGTCACCACTGCCCGAAGGCTACTCACACCAGCCGGAGCAACAAGACACGAGGATGACGCCGCCGCCGTCTCCAGGTCGCACGCCCGCCAACGCGCATGCACAAGATCTCGGCTTTGGCATAGCATCCAACGGTGGCGAGGTCGTCAACAAGCTCGTCGCCAAGCGCAAGACACGTAAACAGGGGCAGCCAACATTCATCGGCTCGTTCGGGGGGTCTATTCCTTCCGCAAACGTCCCCTCGGCCCACGTTCCATCTGCCAGCACTGCATCGGCGCCCACGAGCACAGGCCCCATCACAAGCCCTACGCGGTCCACCGGCCGCTCCTTCCACGAAATTGCGGGCATTGTGCCAAGCCGCCCGCCTGCGTCGTCGATGCTACTGTCTGCACCTGAGCCGCCCTCGTCCAGCAATGCATTTGGCACAGGCCGTGGGGCGAGCGAGGAGGTGAATCTCGATCTCGTGTACCCCGATGAGTACGACATGAACACCGAGGTGCAGATTAGCGCACTCGACACGAACGGACGGCAGAAGCGCAAGTCGAGTGTCATGGATGCCATCGACGACCGCCCGAGCAAGGCACGAACGCTCGGCGGAGACCGCCCCAGGGATATTGTGGCCGTCAAAGAACTTGCGCCTGCGAGTAGCACCATCGTCGTGTACGATGCGAGCAGTGCGACAGACGCACAGAATGTGGCCGCGAGGCTACCTATAACGCCATTGTTGACGTATTTGAAAGCTCAGGCCGAGGGAAGCGAAGACCTGCTTGAGGCACGGAACTCGGAGGATGGATGTAAACTATTCACGTTCATCTTTGATTTCCCATGGTGCTGACGATCGTGGCTATAGCTCCTCACGAAGTCATATTTGTTAGTGGCAAGCAGACTCAATGGCTGGACTATTTAGCATCTCCAGTTCTGGCACTGGCCGTGTCCAGCGCGTTCTGTGCCGTAGCCATGCAAGACGGTTCACTGAATGTTTACTCTCCAACGGGCAGACGGTACGACGCGGGGCTCTTTCGATTCGCACCAGAACTAACATCATCGTCATGGCAGACTGATGCCAACAATGAGCCTGGGAGCATCGTGCTGTCTGCTTAGTGCCAGCAAGAATTGTCTCCTTGCGCTGAGCTCAAGTGGACAAGTTCATGTATGGTGTGTATTTTTGCTCCCGTTCAGAAGTCGTGTTTTCATGTTTTGCTGCAGGAATATCAAACAGCAGCGAGCACTTTTCCCTCCGACATCTGTGCTCCCCATCATCGGCTCGTCGCCAAACTGCACCGTCGTCTCTGCCACCGTCCGCTCGAACGGCGCTCCCCTCATTTGCCTCTCAACGGGCATCTCCCACAGCTAC